TCAGAATGGGAAAGAAAGGTGATTTAAGCCATTTTGAGAGTGGCATGGTTGTTGGTGTCAGACGGGCCGGTCTGAGTATTTCACAATCTCCTCAGTTACTCAGTTGCACAACCATTTCTAGGGTTTACAAAGAATGGGGTGAAAAAGGAAAAACCTCCAGTATGCGGCAGTCCTGTGGGCGAAAATACCTTGATGCTAGAGGTCAGAGGAGAATGGGCCGACTGATTCAAGCTGACAGAAGAGCAACTTGGACTGAAATAAGGCCATCCTTAAAAATATTTTGGTTTGCAGTAACAGCAATTTTTTTTTTAAAAGGGTCGGTAGGTAGGTCTATATTTTTTTTTCCAAGATTCAGTGTAAAAAAAAAAGGTACAATTTTGGAGATGGTGATCGTGAATTTAAAAAAAAAAATGCATATTGTGACGTCACTGACTGGGTCTTCAAACTGTGCATCCACCGCTAGGTGTTCATGCAAAATACGACCAGTTACATTTTAGGCTAGTCACAAAATGTATAATATATCTACTTGTTATGCATATATACATGAGATAAGTACAAACACATGGTCAAACAAAGAATACAATTAAACAAAGATACAAATTAGCCTATATACACAGTGCTTTAATTTCAGGAAGGTCTAAAATTAGTTAAGTCTGTCGCTCTCTCTGAAAAGAAATTTAATTTAGCTAGTAATCAAATGTAAAATGACACTGCATAGTTTATCATAGTTAGATTAATGCTTATTAAAGTTTAAGTTATTCATTCAAGAGCTGTGAGTGATTTTTATCTGCCTTTTGTTGTTTGATTCGCATTGGCTCAATCGTCACGTTTATTAGACTACTGCCCCTTTAAGACCGAATGCAGAACTCTACTGTAATATATGACTGATGCACCATCATTTTCTCCCAACTATTTATGTCCAATTAAGACATAAACTGTTTTTAAATGAATCTCAGAGCAGGTCATTTTATATTTTATGTATATTTGATGGTTTAGATGCGCACATGAAGCCCAAAATGAGGCGATAGCCTACTTTTCTTGTCTCGTTTTAGTGCATTTCGGAGCGCGCGTCGTGAACAACGTCTCTTGCGCAGACTTTTGTGCTTTTAATAGCTCTTTTAATGATTGAACGTGTCCGCAGTTTAGAAACAGTACAGACTGCATTTTACAACAATCACCGATCGTGCTGATTCTGACGGTACGTTTGGGTTTTAGGAAGAAATGACAGCGCAACGCTGTGAAGGGAAGTAAGTTGCGCTAGACTAATGGTTTCATCTCAAATATCTTCTTTTTATAATCTTTGAAAGCGGAAATCTAAAATACAATTAGAATAATATCCCAGATCTAAAGTGTAACCACGTTTTGTCCTCATTGTCACTCATTAAGCAGGGCTGTCGTGCTGTGCGCGCTGTGGCTCCGGGTGAGAGATCGCTCTATCTTCTGGACTGCGAATAGCAAAAATTGCATCACAGACAAATTGTTTAATATTTTTATTATACATAGAAATGGTTGATATTCAGCCCCGTTGCCCTTTTAATACTGGGTACCAAGCGGGAACACTGAAACGAGCGAACGTACAAGCCATATAGTGACACGCGTAACGTTAAACTAATGGTGTAAACATAATCTGATGAATATGACGCCACGGGTTTTTATTTAAGAAAGAACGTAGCCTACGTTTGTAGGCTATGTAGACACAAGCAACTTTCACAATACTAACTAAAATATAATTAATATTATTTTATTGAATTTGAATTAGTCGTTTGAAGAGTAAAAAAAATAAAAATAAAAAAAATCGGTCGGTCTGAACGCAAGTTACAACCGGCAAGTCGGTCGGACTAAAAGGAAAAAAAAATAAAAAATTGGGTCGGCCCTAAATTGACAGGGTCGGTCGGGTTACGGCAAACAAGAATATTTTTAAGGGTAGCCTGACCACTTGCAACCGAGGTATGCAGCAAAGCATTTGTGAAGCCACAACACGCACAACCTTGAGGCGAATGGGCTAAAACAGCAGAAGACCCCACAGGGTAGTCTCCACTACAAATAGGAAAAAGAGGCTACAATTTGCAAGAGCTCACCAAAATTGGACAATTTAAGACTGGAAAAATGTTGCCTGGTCTGATGAGTCTCGATTTCTGTTGAGACATTCAGATGGTAGAGTCAGAACGTGGCGTAAACAGAATGAGAACATGGATCCATCATGCCTTGTTACCACTGTGCAGGCTGCTGGTGGTGGTGTAATGGTGTGAGGGATGGTTTCTTGGCACACTTTAGGCCCCTTAGTGCCAATTGGACATCGTTTAAATGCCACGGCCTACCTGAGCATTGTTTCTGACCATGTACATCCGTTTATGGCCACCATGGACCCATCCTCTGATGGCTACTTCCAGCAGGATAATGCACCATGTCACAAAGCTCGAATCATTTCAAATTGGTTTCTTGAACATGACAAAGTTCACTGTACTAAAATGGCCCCCACAGTCACCAGAACTCAACCCAATGGACCATCTTTGGGATGTGGTGGAATGGGAACTCGTGCCCTGGATGTGCATCCGACAAATCTCCATCAACTGCAAGATGCTATCCTATCAATATGGGCCAACATTTCTAAAGAATGCTTTCAGCACCTTGTTGAATCAATGCCACGTAGAATTAAGGCATTTCTGAAGGCGAAAGGAGGTCAAACACAGCATTAGTACGGTGTTCCTAATAATCCTTTAGGTGAGTGTATACTGTATATTGTTTCATAAAAATATTTAAACAAAATTATTTGCATTGGCTATTAACAGTTCATTACCATCTGAATTCTTAATTTTTTTCCCCTCGCACAGTAATTTTCATTTTGGGTGAACTATACACAATACAGATAGTCACTAGTATCAACAATTCATATTGTTGCATATTTGTATTGCAGTATTTTGCAAAACGATACTGTAACACCCCTAGTCAACATGGTTCTTTAAATTTGTAATAATATTTTTGCAATATTATCAAATAAATGCAACCTTGGTGAACAAAATAGACTTCTTTCAAAAACATAAATGTAAATATTACCAACCCCAAACTTTTGAGTGCAGTTAGTACTAAAAGATTAGTTGATGGAATAGTTAAGTATTAAGTAATCAGAACTGTTAAATGGAATCTGATAATTTGGACAAGAATGGCTCAAGTCAATTCTATACAATTCACATTGCTACACAAGTGTCCTGCTGGCAAAAATAATGTAGTTGATCTACCAATTAAAATCATTGCATTTAAAAATATACAAACTACAACAGACTTTTAGTACAGACAAAGTAAAAGCAACTGCTAATCAAGTCCACACTTTAGCTGTTAACAAAAATCACAAGACCTGTGAACAAACAATATTCTCACATGAGAATAAGAAGAACAGATCATTTTTAAAGATCCCATTTTGAAAACCACAGTAAGAAACATTCACCTATTTTCATTTCGCCTGCACTGTCTGCAGTCAAGACCTGACATGACCAAGCGATGTCCACTTGCACCTGTGCAAAGTACACGTATTACTTTAACACACTTCCATACTTCCTGATGGGTTCAGTTTCCAGTCCTGCGCTAACATAACTTTGTGACAACATGATGAGTAACTGACGAGAGGGGGGTGGAGGGGGGCACTCAAGGCCACGAAAGCAACCTGTCTGCCAGCCAGACATTTACTCTAACCTACAGCTGGGAAAACATTTTGCCCCATGTAACATCTAAAATCCCAAACCTTTCCTTAGAACTTTTTCCTTTAAACGCCAATGCTTTTTCATACACTAGGCTAAACACTAACAAAAAATGTAAAAGGGACATGTTCAAACACCTCTTCCACGTGTTCGAGATCAAAAACTCTGCCCTAGAGTGTTATACCAGGAGCTGACTTCACATAAAACCCATAATTTAGACTATAACATGCGCGATGAAGAAAGATCTAAGAAAGTTGACCAACAGCCATTTTTACCAGTCATAAAAGTTTACTTTTGAAATGTGCAAATCGCTTCTGGCTACTAACAATACAAGCATGAGCCAAAGTCTTGGTCACCATAGCCAATAAAACAAACACACCACGGACTCCCTCACTAAATCTATAAGTACTATAAAAGTATAACTGCTGATGAGAATACAGTAAGTTTAATTGGAGTCAGCAACCTGAAATCGAGAGGAGTAAAAATGGAAATGAACCTAACTCAAAAGAGGATTTGTAAACAACTCATAATATTTGCACTTTATTCAAACCAGTGGAGTCGTGCAAGAGAACATGACAGTGCAGAATACTGTACTAACCTGACGTTTTCCACTATAATATTTGTTTACCTAATAACTACCTAACTGCTATAGGGAGGTGCTTCTTATTAGTTTTTGCTGATTCTTATTGATTGTACCAGTGGGTTTTGGATTTGATAATGACACCAGTTATTGCTGTTGTTATTAATAATAGTAGTAACTCTATTAATGGCACAGGAGGTCATGTGATGGGGCGACCCTCTTCTTCTTAAATAAAACAACTTTTTCTTGAAAACTGACATGGTCTGGTTTTCATCTTATGTGAGTGTACATCATTGTAATCGACCTGTCAAAAGTGCAGTGTATTTATCTAAACGTAAAATTGTATTCATCAATTAAAAAATTACTATGTACACCTTTAAGGGGGCTTCTTTGGAACGGAGCCACAGCAAATACAAACTGCTTTAAAACCAATCAAACAAAGCCAATGCTACTTACATTCGAAAGGTAAACAATAATAGTATAGTGTAAGGGTAGGGATCATTAATTATGACGTAAAAAGAATGGAACTTACTGGTTTAGACAAGCCTAGCCAGTTTGCGACACTGGCGCCTAGTCAAATTTTCATTTGATCATAAGTTTTTTTTTCCTTTATTCAACTTATTCAAATTTTGTAAATGACGCTGAAGTGAGTCGTCCACGCTGTTTTATTGGAAGCTGAAACGCGAAGTGACACTGTAACTGATCCAAAATAAGCGAGTTGAACTCACCCATACTGTCCTTCGATAGGAGACCGTCTTGATCTGATGTGTACAATCTGCCGTCCTAGCTGATGTTAGCTAGCAGACTGAATGCTAGCAGTAAATCCTTGTGCGTGGAATAGTGTTGGTGAAGTGCTTGTTAGCGAGTTTATTTGCGCTATTAATCCATTCGACTTGGTTTAAATGTCGGCCTGGTGTTAAACTGTGAGGTATGATTCTTAAGAGTACTGTGCAGGAAGTTATCCCGAAGTCTCCACCTTTCTTAGATTTGCCTCCGCGATATTTCAACGGGAGGATCCCGCGAGAAGTCAGGTTTCCATCCTCGCTGGATTACGAGAGGCTGAAGTGTAACATTTCAGTGTAAATTGAGTATTCATGCATAAATGTTCATACCCGCGCAAATCTTGCAGTGATTTAACAACATATTATTTAAATTGATATATTATGTAGAAGCATATCTACTCTGTGGTTATGTAGAGCATTGTAAAGCAACTGGAAAATATTTTAATAATTTTTGTTGTTGTTTTATTATGTCTTAAATATTTTAATACAAAAATCAATATGCTATATTTACATCAATATGGGAGTGGGAATATATATCAGTATTTTTTGTCACTTATATTTTTTGTCAACAGAGTAGGCCTAAAGGTTTGATGTAGCTGTGAAATCTCATCTTCGCTCAGCTGAATGTCTCTCTGTGGCTGAATTATTTGCATTAAATTTGGCTATTAAGCTGTCAGCTGTAAACTGAAATTGTCTCAATCAAAGCCAATTTCCACAAGCATCTACTTCCCTAAGTTTTTATGACTTGTTTGAAATGATATCTTCTCTGTTTATGATTACACAAAAACCACAAACAATTACATTTACTGTGAAAGATTAGCCTAGTTGCATCAAAATAAGACTACATTTCTATTGGGAAGGGGAAAAGAACATGGTAGTTTGGATCACATTGGATCACAGTTAAATAACAAAAGAAAATAACAAAGAAGAAAAATAATAAAGCAGAATAGTCAGATTATTTTATCATGTTTGAATTGGGTATTTATGAGGAAATTAACCGCAAAAACGTATGAGAAAAATACTCCATCATTTTGTGTTGAGCTTTTAGAGGCTTCCTTCTTTGCAATCTGTCACCAAGAACTGATTTTAAACTTTTATATTATATGACATTTCAGTAAATTATGAATTTTTGTGAACTGCTATCATTATTATTCACACACAAATATTGGTTAGCTAATGACAAAAAGCATACAAATGACATTTGTAGAGAATTAAAATAATAATAATAATATAAGAGATATGAAAAAAATATCATGCACTTAAAAACATCTGTGTTCAGAAAAAGCCAAAAGATGGCGTCAACGGTCAATCCACAATTTACATCCCTCCACATAATAAACATCTATCTAGAGGGGTCATTAGGTCCAATGATTCCCACTAGAAATAGAGCTCAAGAATGAAGTCATGCTTTCTGTGTCTTCCCTAATCCATAGACATAAACATCACTGAAACGTTATGGGTTGTTCCAAAGCACAAATTGTAGATTTATAAGGGTCTATTTGATCCTCTCATAAACACAGTTCAGACATATCAGCATTACAAGACTGTTCAAGGGCAAATGGCCTTAATAACCGTAATATATTATTTTATTTTATTATTTTACCTTCTGTGGTACAGCAATTCTTTGAATATATTCTTGTGGTTTTTGTCTCTCTCTGCTGGGCACTCCATGCAATTGTGTAGACTTGCACAAACAGAAGTTGCCTCCTAACCATCTCAAATCTATAACTAAACTTAAATTAATTTTAAACTGCTTTAATATCACTTGAACTCCCTTAAATCCAACATCAGTTGTAGAAACTGCTTTTAATATTAGATCAAATAAGGTTAATAGTATTATTTTTCTGTCCTCAAAACTATTTTTTTTTTTGCCAGCAGAGGGCAGAATATGAACAATCTACAAAACTAAGACAGGAACGACATTGTATTTTCTTTTACTTTGACGGTATTTCTTCTCATTTCTTCTTTTATACTTTCGGTTCTCCAAATGTCTTTTTGTTCACATGAAATCAAATGATGCTATGTGTCAAAATATAAAGCAAACTCTTTATTGATCTTCATTGATTGCTGAATGTACAGTACAGTTCATGATGCTTTTGCACCACAGAGCCTCATTGACTTAAACAGATTTGTTTTAGGGTAAAAACTTTACACATTTGCACATGATTGGAAAAGAGCAAACTATCAGGTTAGTAATATAATATAATATAATATAATATAATATAATATAATATAATATAATATAATATTTACAAATAACATTTAGGCTATTTTGGGTATTAACTGACTGGCATGTAAACATTTGGTTGCTTCAGATATATTTGTAAACACTTGAGATACAGTCTCTCTTCATCCCTTTATATTCTTCAGCAAATGATGAGTAACAAATAATCTAGTGTCAGCCCACATAAATATATCTTGTAAAATGAAAAATAAATTAATTAATTCAGTGCTGGTAGAATATTGTTTGTTTCTAGGTGGTGTGTGGTAAAATAGCCATATTGTTGTTGTACATTTCAGCATGGATGCACTAATGTCAGTCAGATCGAGGCATTTCTCTTACCCTATCATCTAAGTCAACCCACTTAGGGATTTCCCGGGGCAGAAACTGTGTGGCACGTGAGAGCTTTTCCCCATTTCATCCTTTTAGCACTCAGTTGCACGTGTCGGCCTGTCCAGATGGTGCTCGCTTCATCTGCCAGTGGCCTCTGAGCTCTGCCTGTCTGAGACAGAAACACACTGGAAATGATCTCCTGTCCTTGTGCCAGTGACACAGAAGAGCATTCTGTTTGCATATGTCTAAGGCTTTACAATGAGTGTGTGAATGCAGCACTTTCTTTCAAACAATAATGCAAATGAGACTGGACAGTGTAGCCATAGGCATACAAACATTCCTACATAGTACATATTCATGAACGCATGTATACTTTAGTTATATTTTAACTTGTAATTTATTATGATTATATATAGTGTTTGAATTAAAATGTAATTTATTCCTGTGATGCAAAGCAGACTTTTCAACATAATTACTCCAGTCTTCAGTGTCACATGATCCTTCAGAAATCATTCTGATATGCTGCTCAAAAAACATTTATTAGTAAAACAGTGTTGCTTCATATTTTTGTGGAAACCGTGGTCGATACACTTTTCAAAAGTAAAAAAAATAAAGAAAAAGAGATTAGCACCATTTAAATTGATCAAATGTGACAGTTGACATTCATATTTGTTACAAAATATTTCTATTTAAAATAAATGCTGTTCTCTTGAACTTTATATTAATTTAAAGAATCTTAGAAAAAAATGTATCACAGTTTCCACAAAAATATTAAGCAGTTTCATTAACTGTTTTCAAAATTTACACTGTGCACCAAACCATATTAGAATGACCAACTTGTTTATTGTTTGAAAGTTTGTCTTTGTATCTTATGTTTGTAAAAAAAATTGCAATAATAACAACAACAATAATAATGGATGCAGACAATGCAGCTTTGCATCACAGGAATAAAATACATTTTGACATAGGCTATAAGTTGTAATAACTGTACTATTACTGTACTATTTTTTATCAAATAAATAAATTAATTCAGCTTTGGTGAGCATAAGCGACTTCTTACAAAAAACATTAAAAAAAAAACATAATTTAATTTTGACCATGGAGTAGAGTTATAAAGTCACGTTGTCCAGTTTACTGTATTGAATTGCCACAATGTGTGCCAAAATGTTAATAATTAATTTTGTGTGGTAGGCTACACCCAGAACGCTCGGTACACCTGGGCAACAACTTTTTAGTCTAAAGCCCTGTAGGGTCCACTACTGTAACTTACACTGTACACTACAGCAGCCACAGTATCTTCCCGGAAACCGTCTTGGATCAGGCCTGTGATTCGGCGAATATGAGCCAGTGGCGAGTTTCGCTCGTGACGTGTGTCGCCAGTTCCCGCCCATCCTCCGCAGCTCGTCTTTGCGGCACAGGGAAGAGAATCCGTAACCTGGACAAACAGCAGCCAGACTTCAGTCCACAGATCCATCCATCATCGCTATGGGAATTATAGCGTTCTTCTTCCAAAACGAAGCGCTTACCCCCTACTACTTGAAACCCGTCCACCCCGGGCAACAGACTATAAAAAGGCGTCAGTGGACGAATTTTGTGCACTGAGGGAATAAGCCAGCGAAGGGACAATACCTCACAATGTGGGTGTCCTGTTGATGCGGAGATGCTGATGCTCCACCTATGAAGCCGAAAAGTAACAGATGTGGACCTGGGCATATTTAAACAAGAGTGATTCCATTGGGACGATGCCTGGGAAAATGTCTATGACTTGTTCGTTGATGGTAAGTCAAGGATAAATTTGTTTTCGCATTATGCATCTCCTGTCCTCTCGAATATTCTGTCATTTGTTCTATTTAAAGGGACAGTAGATGTACCTGGTGTCGCACTTGGTGTATATAGTAGGGAGGATGGAGTCCAAACAAAAGATGAAGACAGAATAATAAATTATTTTTATTTTAGAGATGTTACTATGGCGCACATAGGTTTAATGCAGCTTAGATAAACAGAGCCTGGATGGCAAATATTGACATTGTAGCCTATTGTTTGTGTAAGTTTTTTTTTAAACTGACAACGTCCCTATAGTCACGATTTTAATGTCATTTCTTTACTATTGTATATTTTATGAATACCATTTATCATTTTAAAAACATTGTCATGACTTATGTCATTGTATCATAGGCAATGGCTTTATTGTTTTGAAGATAGCCTACCCTAACATGACTTCAAATGCCTTAACATTTACATGACTTAATATTCCCATGTAGTATGAAGTCAGTTGAGGTTAATTTGGTATATCACGTCAGACTGGCTCATCCAGTAGCAAGTCTTTATCAGGGGACCATAAATCCCATAATGCATCTCAGTTTTCAAAAACTGTATCTAGTTGTTTGATATCAGTGTGGGCTGATATACATTATTAGCCTCACAACACCAGAAGGATTAGCAGATTTCTCAGTCAGTTTAAATCATCCATGCACTGTTGAAAATGTATTTATTGGCATTGGCGCAAATGATGCAATGTTTTTGGCAGGTGGCCTGACATTTGCAGGAATATTCCTTGCTCATTCATGCCGCCTGCAGACTCATTGGCTGTTGTCGATTATAAAATGAGCATGAATGGCTCCAGACAGGGAGTGTTTGTTCTTACTCTGCAGTCTTCAGTTATGAGGTGTCGGAGGTGTAACAGGTGCCCTGTTTTTGTCGAGCAGAGTCTGGCCCATGGAGTCCCTATGATATCACATCTGTCCCTGTGCTTGTAGATTTACACCTGATGTTTTCTTGTTGAGAATCAACAAATATTCACATTCAAAAACCCTATCCTGAAGTCCATCCATTGGTAAATTAACTTAAAAACCATGATTAGTGTTTTTTTATGACACTTTTACATTTGGTCTCTAAACATAGTATTTAGTTTATCATTGATTACTCAGTAATTAAAGTAATTGTACAGTTATGTAAAGTCTATTCACCCAGATTGCAAGCTCAAGTAATCAGTGAAACTCCAAGTCCAAACCTATTTACTCATAGGTTAGTCAGAAAACCCCATGAGTCATTCAGAAGCATCATAGATAGATGGCTCACAGAGTAAACTGTAAATTACTGCTTTAAATCATTTAACCTTGTAAAGCTGGACATAATAAATGATATTTAGAAAAGAAAATGTTTAAATGAAATTTTATTGAACTTTTTAACAAAAAATATATATATTTGCATACTATGTAATTTGCTGCAGTTGCTTATTTATATGCAATTTGAGGTGAAATTAGGTCAATGGGGGGTTTTTTAAACTGTATAACTATCACTTGTCATTCTATATCTCTAAATAATGTCTTAAATGCTTAGTTTTTTTATTATTGGAGCTTATGATCAGAAGCCATATGTATTCATTTAGATTTTTCAGCACAGTTTAATCATCTTAATAATTCTAATATGATACTGTAGGCTTTATGGTCAATATCTTCTATCAGTTGTTAATGTCTTTTGGTCATTTGGTTTTCTGATCAGCAGAAGAGAAAATTTGGCTAAGTATTACTCTTAAGTGAATTTATGAGTGCATGAAGAGATCTGGTGTCTTTAAAAGTTGCACTTTTAAAGTCACCAGCTTTAAAAGCTATCTAGTGCCAGTTCTCGCGACATGTCGAGACATTACACAGACATGGACGGTCGAAAATGCAAATACACTCTCACATAATATGTCATATCTATATAAGCTTTCATAAAAATGCCCAAGACTGTATATTAGGTTTCATACAAGTGCCATTTTTTTTTGCAACCCAGACACTGTTTTTGGGTGGGATGAGAAGTGTCTTACTGTTTTGTACATCATGTCTATCGAAAGCAAGAGTGCGTGAAAAGTGTTCCTCTTATCTTAGGTTTTACGTTCCTCTTTTTTCAAAGCCGGTTGAAAGACAACTTGTGAACTTGAGGCAACAGTGAGTGTACTCATTCTTTGCTTTAGTAGCACACTAAGCGAACAAACATTGTCCTGTCATCAGTGAAGTTGTCCCCCTCGCTGGCCTACTTCAAACCCTCGCCTGTTCTGGTCCGCTTCTAGAGCTAAGGCCGCTGGGAAAGGACAGCTTTGCCTAATCGCTATTCATGTCCAGTGTGTCCTCCTGAAACAATCCCCATCACCTCACGAAGAGCAACACGTGTATCCGAGCCCAATCGGTCTGGCATCGTCCTGCGGTTCCCAGCGATGTCAGTATGTGTTGGCTTGAGAATATTAATGTCACGTTTGTTTTGATTCAGCCCTCCCCGACCCGTATTAGCAAGGAAATTAGTCTTCTTTGCTTTTATACTTCTTCTGTGCGGTCTGTTGTTGAGGAACTGCAGTAAAACTCCAGGGGATTCACGATCAGCAGTTAATAGAACTTTGTGTTTAGGAAACTGATGATGCAGCGAGGCCCTTGTGTGTTGGATGTTCACGCTTTCCAGCTTCATATTTTTGGGTGACGACTTTTGTATTAAGCCCAAGATGCCTGTCGTGGCCAAAGGCCCATTTATGTGCGGAATTAAAACGTGGGCTAGCATCATAAAGAATATTAGGTGCAGTCCACATGCTGTGCAGTCAGCTTTGCTGGATGTGCCGGAGGAAAGAGATTGTTATGATCGGAATTTGGCTTTCAATGGGGCACGTTCAAGCTGAAGTAACTTAAGAGCGGCCGTGTTTACAGGCTTCTTGTCATTAAAAGTTATTTTTTAAAGGTCACCAGGCTGTTAAGAGTGCTGTCAACACATTCCAGGGTTCAATTTTGTTGAAATGGTTTTGCATGGGTGATTTGCTGCAGACTGCGTAAATTTTATGCAGACTTTTATTGTCAGTGTTTTAGAGAAGAATTTATGACTCGCTCACATGGCAGACTAAGGATAAAATGCATGGTGATCCAATTCCACTGGTTTTAGCTGGATTTTTCAGCAGGGTTGTTATCGTCTTTTTAAAATTCGCACCCTGTTGACTTCAATGGGGCATGTTCTAAACCTGCTTTTAGCCTCTTAACATCCTTGATTTGTCATTACGCATGCACAGCCATGTGAGTGGTGTTATTAAGAGTGACCACGGTCAATCTGACTGCAGTAGATGTGAAAGATATTAATAAAAAGTATGTTAATTCAGCCAGCTCACATACCTCTATTTGCTTCCTGTTTTCGGTCGAAGCACACAGTAATCTATTGTCATCTCACACGCGCGATCATTAGTGAATATCATCTCAAACCTCCTGTGCGTGTTCAACATCTGATTCGGGTAAACTGAATTTGAGCTGATATTCTTAGAACACCACACAGTGGTAGGTTTGAGATGATATTCACCAATGATCGTGCGCGTGAACTCGACAATCGACTACTGTGGGCGTCGACCGAAAACAGGAAGCAAATAGAGGTATGTGAATTAACATCATTTCTATTCATACAACAGCAGTCAGATTGACCGTGGTCACTCTTAATAACACGATTCACATGGCTGTGCACTCGTAATGACAAATCAAGGATGTTAAGAGGCTAAAAGCATGTTTAGAACATGCCCCATTGAAGTCAACAGGGTGCGAATTTTAAATAGACGATAACAGTGTAGGCAAAAAATACAAAAAATAAGCTCAATGTTAAAATTGACCGGAGTTCGCCCTTTAAAGTCCACTAGATAGTGTCCATGCACACGTTTTTTTGCACTCACAGCCAAAGTAGTATACTTAAAAGGCTTGTGTACTCAACTGTGGAATGCAGAAAACAGTTAGTCAGATAATCCATTTCACTCAGACTCTTTCACTTTATTTGTTTTCTTAAATTAGCGACTCTTCCGAAATGTCAAATTTGCCATGTAGTTGTTAAAAAGACATAATGCAGACATCAAAGGGAAAAAAAATGTATTCCTTCCCAGTACCAGTGTTCTTTATTAGGCTATTATATTGTTGACTCTTTTTACAATACAAACCGATGACACAATGGCCATTCATGCTAAAAGGACAATATTGTGTGTTTTGATTGCTTATATAGTCATTGCATAACAGTCTTCTTCTTGTTCTTTCATTGTTGTTAGCTTCTGCTGGTCGGTGACGTCTTAACCCACACACTGACCCCCAGCCCGACCACAGAGAAGCCCTTGTCTCCTCGGCACTACCAACACATCGACCCCGCCACTGGTAACAAGCTGGTTTGCGACAAGTGTCCGGCAGGCACCTACGTGTCCTCCCACTGCACAGAGGCCAGCATACGGGAATGTAGCCCCTGCCCGGACGGCACCTTCACCCGGGGTGAGAACGGAGTTCAGCAGTGTCACCGCTGTCAGAGAAGCTGCCAGGCCCCTTTTGTTGAGAAAACTCCCTGCACATCCACCACTGATCAGTTGTGCGTGTGTCCGCCAGGTAGCTTCTCCCTGGGTGGGAAGTGTCAGCACCACTCATTATGTCCACCGGGGTGGGGCGTCCGAAAGCGAGGAAGTGAAACAGAGGATGTGCGCTGCCGGCCATGTCAGCGTGGCACCTTCTCCAACGTGGCATCAGATGCTCTGAGATGCCAAGCTCACTCAGATTGCGCTTCTTTGGGCTTAACGCTGCTGATTAAAGGCACAGAGAAGACAGATAGTGTGTGTGGCCCAGTGAGTTCAGTCTATGTCCAACTTGGAGAGGCCTCCATTTCCACTGTTTCCAGCACTGAGTCAGCATATAGAGGTGAGAGTTAAAAAGCTCAATGTAGAGCTATTCCTTACTGATTAAAGTGTGTCTAGTTATAGACAGATATAGAATAGAAAGATAGATCTAGCTAGATAGATAGTGTTTGTTGTACTAGTGCTTTCATCCACTGGTTTGGTTGTTACTAACAGCTCCCTCTGTTCAACTTGATTGCTCAACCCCTTCATCAACTTTCCTAAATTGGTGTTTAAAAACAGCAGTGGTTGTATGTGACGTGAATATATGGTGTCCACCTCAGCAGGGTTTCTTTAGAGGACTTTTTTTAGACCTGTATAGATGTAGCGGTTTGAGATCAAATCCTCCACTCAGTGTCTGCTAGGCATTTGAGGCCCTGATTCTATAGCCTACTGTCTGAATATTGTTATTTTAATAATACATTACATGCACTAAACTCTTTTAAATTTACACCTACTGTACACTACTGTTCAAACGCTTTAGGATTGATAAGAGTTTTTAATGGTTTTGAAAGGGGTCTCTTTATGCTTATTATTGCTGCATTTATTTTTGTCACATGATACTCCCCAAATCATTCTAATATGCTGATTTGGAGGTCAAGATATGTTTCTTCTTATGATCAATGTTTAAAACAGTGCTGCTTAATATTTTTATACAAACCATGAGATTTTTTACAGGATCCTCTGATAAATAGAAACTTAAGTTCAAAAAAACAGCGTTTATTTGAAAGAGAATCTTTTGCAACATAATAAATGTCTTTACTGTCACTTTTGATCAATTTAATAAAAGTATTTACTTATTTTAAAAGAAAGTATACTGACCCCAAGCTTTTGAACAGTAGCTTGTTGATGTGAAATGGTAAAAACAATGTTTCACTGAAACAGTAGTAGAAATATTCAATATTGACAGTAGTATTGTCCCCCTGTTTTATCTTACATTTCCATAAGAGAACAATTTCTGATTCTTCAGTTTGCATTGACTAGTTTTTGGGTCAGATATGAGCAGTTAAGGTTAGAAATCCATGTAAGATTATGTTGGCTTGAGCAGCATATCTCCACTTTGCTCTCTACACATGCAAGCTTGATTCTGGATTAAAGTTTTAGATACTCTCCCTTCTCTGATTTGTAGTCTAGGTTAAGCTCATCTTTAGGTCTGTATTTAATTCTCTCTCTCTGTCTCTGTTTTTGCCTGCTATTAAATGATCCACTCTGCACACAGCAAGTACTGCAGTTTTACCAACTGCAGAGACTCAGGATGTAGCCGAGCCAGCCCTAAGTAGCACAGAAACGGCCCTCGGCACCGAAGACATTCCCACAACCACAGCTTCCTCCAAGGCTAGTGAGGAGGATGGAGGACTCTTAATCGCTGCAACTCAGGACCTTCCTAAATCACAACACAAGCTCCCTGTATCACGAGACCCACAGCTTGACAACCAACAGGCTGTGGAGACTCTGTCTGAGGGCAAGGCCCAAGGTTTGGGCTACCGGCCTATCCGCAGGGGTTCGCCGAGGCCTAGCACGCACAAGCACTTTGACATCAATGAGCACCTGCCTTGGATGATAGTCCTGCTGCTTCTGCTGGTGCTGGTAGTGATCGTGGTATGCAGCGTGAAGCGCAGTTCGCGGGTGCTGAAGAAGGGTCCAAGACAGGATCCCAGTAGCATCATGGAGAAAGCCATCCACAAGAAGCCTAGCTCTCCAGTGCAGACCAAGGAGAGGTGGATCTACTACTCAAACGGACAGGGTGAGTTAAAACCGCACACCAAATCTGGTGTGGCTAAACAACATGAAAGCATAAAATTACAGAGCCCTTAATGGACATGGGGAATTGAAGAAAAAAAAAAAACATTAGATGGGAGGAAACATTTTTTTGTCAAAAGTATGTTTGTTTCAGAATAGGTCTAAAAATGTTTGTAGACGTAGAGATTGTTTTTTTATTATTATTATTATTAAAATCTGAAAATTTAATTGCTTCATTTAAATTCAACTTTATTATTAACCAAATAACTTAAAGGTGAAGTGTTTTTCTATGTTAAAACACTTTCTCCGTCCTATCCCAGGTTATCTATAAATTAGCTAATCATTCATAGCTTGATTTTCCTAGAAAAGTGTAAACACTGTTGTGGTTTCAAAACATTGCTCTGTTTGTTTGAGAATCCCAACCAGTCCAGCATAGCATGATTTTGAGGCATGGCTATTTGTTTGGCTGACCAGTGGCTTTACACATTTCACCTTTAGCTAGAACTAGATTGTTGAATGGTATAAATAGATTTTGAAATAGTGTTTATATCTAAATGCTTTGGCAGACGCCAGACACTCACTTTTCAATATGAAAAGTGCCTCAATGAATTTCCAATGCACTAGATCTGTGGATCTATCATCACACCAGCGCTGCTAGAGGCTGCTAGGTTAGCTGGGACTGTTGTGATGGGTAATGGTTCATATTGGCCTCAGATATCTGCCTGTGTGTATGTGTGACTGCTTCAAACATGAGCAGTTGCAACCAGATTATTCCAGTTCTTAGTGGTTTAGCGTTAGAGGAGTTTATCAGCGGGCATGCACTTGTGGGAGATGTGAAGATGAACTGAATTATGTGTCTGGAGAGGTGTCTGAATTCAGGGTATATTCTGTTAAGACTCATGCTTGAGCAAACCCCTAACCTTAAGCATTGGGCATGCAACTCATACTGTACTCGTTCCACACATTTGTGCTACAGATGTGACTGATACTTTAAAAGGATAGTACACCAAAAAATGAACTGTTTATACTCAGCCTCTGTGTTTCTTTCATCTGTTGAACAGACAAAACATATATATTTTAAAGAATGTTGGCAATCAAACAGTTGACGGTAGCCATTGACTTCCATTGTAGGAAAAAATACTATTGAAGTCAATGGCTATTGTTAATGGTCTGGTTACCAACACTGTTTAAAATATCTTCTTTTGTGTTCAACAGAAGAAAGGAACTCATCCAGGTTTGGAACAACATAAGGGTGAATGAGTTAATTATGACACGATTTTTGAGTAAACTACCACTTTAAATTGTGTAGTTGCTGAGAGGTGTGCTATTACTTTTAAAGCATTCACACTTATAATTTATGATAAAATGAACAATACAATGAGTACAAAAAATCTTAGGAATGGAATATCATAAACACTATAGACTCTATCGTCAATACATAGTGTAGTGATGTCTAAAGCACAACTCACAGAAGTCAAACCAAGCAGCTTTGTGTTGATCAAAACAGAGGATGACCAACTAAACCTTATACAAAATGTGAAATTCACAATCACATGGATTCCTATTGAAATGTCTGGATTTCACCCATTAAAATTAGCCAAAAAATGGTAAATGTGTCCACACCTTAACACCCTAGTAACCTAACACAAGATTCAAAAACTAATTGGCCTTGAAAATAGTGGAATATCAAGGAAATGGAAAAACAATGACCTGCTCACGAGGATATAGCATAAATAAAAATAAAAAGTTAAACACTTCCACCAGGTACAAAAAACCCCCCAAACATTTGCGCTATTTTTACTGTGGTGTTTTTCTCCTATGCACTCTTAAACGTGAACAATTGCGTTGTTTATTGACTTATGCGAGCAAATAGTTTATTACAAGCTAAACCAAGATACTAGTGCCTCCTCGAATCATGTTAGAAAGCACAGGTAACCTTTACACAGCCAGTTGCCTCCACAAACACAACACAAAACATTTCCCTAATGCATTCAAGGTGTGTAATTGGGCGGCCTGAAGTGCATGTGCATGTGTGTCCGTTTACTACATTAGTGAAATAATGGCCATAAAGGGCCGCATGGGAAACATATATAAAGATGAAGGAGCGATCGTACAAATAATGAATTCTTTCATTGGAGGTATAACAAAGCACGCATAGCGGAGATCAAAGACGTAGAACCACCCGCATGTACGCCCCATATAACAACCTCTGCAATAGGTGTTATCTATAAAAGCCCACTGCCCAGAATCAGGGTGGGCTGGGGCTTTTATTAGAGACGATTAGGAACTTCATGGGTGAGCCTAACTCTGCCAGCATTTTGTGTAAGAGTCAGGGAAACTCGGGGGAAGCTTGTAGGATCCCCTTGCTAGCGACCCTCCCCTGGTCTTCATCATTGTTTTGATGGGGAAGTAGGTAATTAATGCGGCTGGTATTGTCTATGAGGTGTCAGGGATTTATGGGATGGCTGCGTTGCTGTGAGTCATTCCGGCAAAGCCACCACGGCGACTCACTAAAAAGGGGAAGTCCTGACTCCCTATGAGGTTCCCTTTGTTTCCCAGCCAACCTAGACCTGTTGCAGCCGGTTTGCCACCTCATTTGATTTCTCTTATGGAGACGTTAAGGCTTTGTTCTGTTGTAAACGGCTGTGGCTGATAAGCTATTGTCCTTGTACATGCAAATGATTCATAGCGTGTTTCCTCACTTTCACAAGTCAATGCCTTTTGAATTGACAGCTGTTACTATGATGCACACAGGGTGGTCGATCACAAGTGGTCAGCCGTTTACACTCCTTTAAACACAAAAGGAGACATCACTTGTCAGTGTGTTACTGCATGTTTTTTCAAATATTATTGCATGCATATAGAGGTACAGTGTGTTAATTTTAGCATCTAGGGGTGAGGTTGTGAATTGCAACCAACAGAAGTTACGGTGGCCGATAGGAAAAGATTTTGTCGTCTGAGACAACAGAGAGTAGCCAGTTAAGCAATGAGGTTTCTTTACAAAGATAAAGTAAGAAATTATATTTAGTTGATTATTCGGTAAAATGAGGTGTTATTGTGAATATTATTGTGTCAGTGTTTTATTTGCTGACTTTAGCTAGCTTCTTTGCAAGAAGAACAACATAGCGACGAAACGCGCTCTGTAGTAGTTTGTCCATTTAGGGCTACTGTAGAAACATGATGGCGCAAAAATAGCTGGATTGAAATGGCTCATTCTAAGGTAATAAAAACAATGATTCATAATGTAAAGTCTTCATACACCACTGAAAACAGTTATGTATATGATATTGCATTTCTGTCAACAGATCCTTCTAAATATTAGACAATGCAGCTTTAACGTTGAATTAAATGAGAAATGACTGAAATATAATTTTCTTGTAAAACATTCCAATAATTCTTGTTTTATTTACTTTTTACTTTTTTCCAACGTGTATATAGTCACATAGAGTTTAAGAATAGTATTATACTTGCTGACTGAAGCACAGCCTTGAAACATTTGTAAACACGCTGTACATTAAATAGTGGTGGCACATGTTTTCCCAGCATTCCATAAAAGTTGCCTTCAGGACTAGGGCAACCTAGTCCATAACGCAGTACAGTCATAGACATGGAAAAGTATCACACAACCTATCGACTTCGGCCTAGATCACTCAGACAGACCACTTTGTCATGCCGGGGCGACCTCTGGAAACGACAGGCAAGAGGATGGGCAGCCCGCAGGCTTTGGCATTTTTAGATCCGCAGTACAGTCAGTGGCACACTAACCCTCAGAGAGCTTCAGTCAATTTGCTACAGATGGATCCCAAATAAGACAGATCTGGCTTACAGATAGATGTTAATACCTTCCAGCAGCAGTTGTCCCCCACAGTCCTCCAGTTAAGCTGAACTCTGTCACGTTCATCTTCTGTAGTCACGAATTCAACATGGATTGATCTGTGTTGATTAATGTTGGGGTTTCTTGAAGGTTACGTGATTTATAATTTGTTCTTTGACAAACAAGTGTTTTTCAGAAACTATAGAATGCAGTTATTGATAATAAAGTATTATTTTGTCTTAATTGACACATTTGTTACATTATGTTACTTAAATTATTTTTTTACAGCTGTTTAACAGCAGTTTACAACTATAATGGGTATTTTTTCACTTTTTTTTACACAATAATTATCATGCGTGTAGATAGAATGAAATACAACTAGATTTTTACATATTCTGGGGGAAAAAAACAGAGTGGTGCTTGTCATAAAAAAGATCACTTTAACTTGGAATGTATTGTATTCTGATCCATAGCAGTATTTGTTTAGTATCATTGATATGGCTCGTGTTCTTTATTATGAATCTATGGGATTTTCCCACATGATTTGGGGACGTACAGTATATATTGGTGGAGGATATTTATCATTCATGTCTTGAGCACAAGTGGTGCTGGATGAGTCACACTACTTGCTGGAGTTTAATACTTTGGGGAACATTCAGATCCCTAACCCTGATTGTTAGCAAACACCACTAATAAGTATCAAGTGGAAATATGCAACATATATGAATGACGTGCTTTTGAAGTTAAATCATTAAGATTGCGCTCACATTTCTCTGAGGTTCACTCTTAGAAGGATTCCCTAGGAGGCAAATGTTTGTCACACTACACCAAGTTTATAAACACAGGCATCAATCTAGGTCATTCTTATGACCTTATCCATGGGACAGCATGTCCCACAGAAGCCGCTGGTGTACTGTAACCCAAGAGTGCTGCCCTTCAACACTTTATGATGCCATTCGCTAACTGTGTCTGTCTATACTATACTGTGCCAACTGCACATCATGCTGACTGCATTACAGTTCCAAGACACATTAATGGTTTTGGATACAGCAGATAGAAAAGTCCATGCTTACGCTACCGTTTAAAAGTTGGGGGTTGTTTTTTGATCGGATGTCTCTTATTGTTAATCAAGGCTGTATTTATTGGATTAAAAAATTGTGAAATATTTTAACAATTTAAAATAACTGTTTCTAGTTGAATATATATTTTATAAAGTAGTTTATTCCTGTAGTGGCAAAGCTGAATTTTCAGCATTATTATCGTCTTCAGTGTCACATGATCCTTCAGAAATCATTCTAATGTGCTGATTTGGTTCTCAAGAAACATCTCTTATTATTATCAATGTTGAAATCAGTTAAATATATATAATTATTTTTCATTTATAAAACAAATATTTAAAATGGAAATATTTTGTAACCTTGCGAGAATGTCTTTACTAACGTTTTTTATCAATACAATGAATGCAACCTTGCTGAATAAAAGTATTAATTTCTTAATGCATACACTCTGCCCCCATATTTTGAACTGGACTGCATCACTAGACTGTATCCATGCTGCACTGTAATATATCGAAGGAAATACCATGGTGATGTTGTACTGTACTTCTCTATAAGGTTCAAACTAGAGTATACAGTAGATGAACTTAGGATTGACCGTTGCTCTCATTGTTTAGGTGTTGACATCTTGAAGTTGGTGGCAGCACAGATTGGCAGTCAGTGGATTGACATGTACAAGTCTCTGGCCAGTGCCAACGAGCGAGAGGTGGCCGCCTTTTCCAACGGCTACTCGGCAGATCACGAGAGGGCGTACGCTGCCCTGCAGCACTGGACCATACGTGACAGTGATGCCAACCTGGCTAAGCTGATCAATGCCCTTCACCGCCAACGCCGCATTGACGTGGTGGACAAGATACGCAGTGTCATGGAAGACAATCCTCAGGTGAGCATCTCTAGGTTTTCGGTTGACAATGAATTGTTGAATTTTTTGGGAAAACATTTTCTGTCACAGACATCACTGACTACGTTTACATGCAGCCAATTTTCGGGTTATGGTCGGGTTAAGGTCACTATTCGGGTTTCTGAAACATTAGGAATAACCTGTTTACATGCTTAAGCAGAGAGAGTTTCTCCTGTATACATGGAATTGCAATATTCCGATGTAAATGGCTACGCACGGTTAGCGTCTAGATGTACGAACAACCTTAAGACGCAATATGCGTCATTTATGATTTTTCTTCCTGTATCCAAAGACAACAACGACAGCAGCACGCGGATAATGAATAGTTTGGTGCAGATAGCGATCGCCTTTGTTTGCGCTTTGATGCTGATAACGTTACTGACCTTGCTCCAAAAGTATGCTGTGCTGTGTCTAACCTGGTGTCGCCATGTTTACTTCAGGTATAATGCGTGTGTATTTTTGTACGCGCCGAGAAGTTTCTTTTCTCAAAAGACCAAGATTCCTTGTGAATAGAACATGCGCAGAACACAAATCACTATGGGGATATGCCGATACGCGTTTACATGACCAAAAAAATCGGGTTAGAAAAGGGGTACCCCAGGTATAATATCCCGGTTTTTAAAATCCGGGATATGAGCAATATTCGGGTTTTTGCCGGTGTTTACATGGCCGTTCGCGACCGGGTTATTGCTAATATCCCGGTTTTGAACGAGTTATTTCATGGAAACGTAGTCATTGTAGACGCAAGCTTTTTACAGTCAGCCATGATTACAGGATGAACAAGACCTCGTTTACACTGTCAGTTAAATGTGACCCAATTCTGATTTTTTGCCCATATGTGACACAGATCAGATGTGTCACAGGAAAAGAACGTATGCATCTGGATATTTCGAGATTGGTTTCAAGCCTTGTTCATAGGTGGAAATAAATCAGATATGTGACTGTCGTGTAGACAGGCAAACAGGATCTTCTGAGGCATTAGGATACGAGATAAAAATTAAGTAACTATTATTTTATATATTAAATATTATTGTATTATAAAAACATTTTCTTCATATTATAAAAAATATGGGGTGGTAAAAAGTTGATAAAATGGTTTACATTTTATGTTTGCATTAGCAAACATTTTATACATGCCACGATAATTGATCAAGTTGTTATGTCTTATATAACACTCACGCCCCAGGTCTAATAACACTCTATTTGGATAATATGTGTGCAGAAGGGTAAACAAGCCACATGAGTGTCTCATGACTCCTGGCTGCATCCCATTGAGCTTACTAATGACAAAGGCCTGACAGGCTACCGGAGATGGAGGATCAGTCATCAACTTTCATTTTAGCGTTTCAAGCCTTTCCTGTGTGCCACTTTATTTACTCTGTCCTTGCCTCAAGGTCACTGTAGACGGTGAAGATAAGGCTTTTGGACAAATTTTGATGCCACTGATATAACTAGGATAAACTGAGATAAAACTCTCAGACATATTTATATGCCTGCCTGTCAACGCCGCCTCATAATCGCCTAATTGCCAGTGTGGGTGTTGACTTTCACTAAACTTGTGTCTGTAAAGCATTCTTAGAGCACATCTTGTTCACTTTTTAAAGCATTTCTCCATTCATTCACATGACTCGTCCTCATGTTTTAAAGTTGAATGGAGTAGCTCACCTTTAAATTGAAATTTAAAAATGATTTTTGAATCACTGAATATTATAAAACGATGAAAATTAATATCTTTATTTTGTATCAATAACTAGTAAGCAAAACTTACGCCAGTCAAATTTATTTTCGTTTACCCTAAATTTGCAAACTTGTTATTTAGATCCCTGTTTTTTTATTATAATTTTTTTTATTAAACGTTGTTTTTTTCATTTATGTTTGCTGCTAGAAAAATTGCAAACGGCCACAAAAAGAAGATATTTGAGAATCATTGAATATTATAATTAGGGCTGTCGAGCAATTACAAATTTTAATCTAATTAAATACATTATGTGCCAATTAATTAGTCTAATTAATTGCTAATTAAATGTGCATCAGATTTGTCTCCCAGAAGATCATTCAAAGTCATAATATAGTTAAATAAGGAAAGCATGAAATAGACATTACACATTTTATATATATTGTTTTTTTTTTGTTTTTTTTTCCAACATATAATTTATTACTCAAAAACCTTTCGGCTACAATGGCCTCGATTTTTATTTAATTCTTTTCAGAAGCTGGATCTGAATGGGTATTTAGATACATTTATCGCACCTCAGATGTGGCATGAATGCATAAATAATTGCATGAAATCATTTTTAATGGGTTTTAAATGGGATTAAAGGGAAAGTTTACCCAAAATTTTTAATTCTGTTATCATTTACCATTTCAAACCTGAATGACTTTCTGTCTCCTGTGGAACATAAAAGAAGATCATTTGAGAAATATCAATAACCAAAACAGTTTTGTTACTAACATTCTACAAAATAACTTTTTTATGTTCCACAAATGAATGAAAGTCATACAGGTTTGAAAAAAAAAAAAAAGAGTAAATGCTGTTTGGGGCTGTTATTTTTTGAGTGAACCATCTCTACGGAACGTGAGAATTAACATGGGCCTGGTGAGGACATTTTCTGTTTCTCTGATCAAAAACATGATGCTTACAAGATCTGATATTGAATTAGCAATGCTGAACGAAAATGGTAAAGCAATGGGGGGTGAAACTTCATTATTAGAAAGAGCTGCATTAATCAGAGCCACGTGTTTCCAGATCAAATCACTTGTATCCCATACTCCACAGTATCACCGCACGCATAACCTCCCGTCAGGTGAATGAACTGCACATGGTAAGAAAGAGGCAGATGTCAGTGTCAGATTAAACGTGTTAAGGATGTTTAGATTGAGGGATGTTCGTCTTTGGTCACTTTGATGCCCAGAAATGTCCGGAAAGTAAGGAAGGAATCTCTTGTACTTTTTAATTTCACATTCATTCTGATTTTCTCTGGGATTCTTGTGTTGATAGTTCTCTTACTTCCAACGAAACTGAGAGACGTGCATTTTTATGAGTTACAAAGGATACAAAGTCATACCACTTGTACTCAACATGCAAGCAAACCTCAGATAAGGGCCCTCAGAGGATGAACACACCCAGTGCTCCACTTGATGTGGACGCCGGCCAAAACAGCCCCAGAACTTTTAGACGTTGTCACCAGCACTCAGTCTCTCCTATGCTACTATTTATAGACAAAGTTGACAGGTTTTTCCCAGCCATAAAGAAGGAACAAAGAAGTTTTGATATAATGTTAAAAGTCCCAATACTATAGAATACAAGCTTTCTATAGATGTGGAGCGTGCACTGTTGTTCTGTAGGTGGTCTTGTTGAGTCTGGAGCAGTGTTAGATGTGGTTAATAAGATCAGTGTGGAAGTGACACACTTTCCACATCTGTGGCTTGTGTCCTGGTGGGTGATGGTACCGCATTCTTGGCGGCTCCCATGTTGTGGTTTCAGACGTTTGCCAACAGCTTCTCTGCTGGATGTGAATAGAAAAGATATTTGGGTATACGCCCATCCTTCTTCCTGCGACATGCAACTTGTCTGAACAGTAGACTGCGTGCTCAGAATAATGCGTTTGTTGGTGCCGTTGACACTAGACCTTAAATATGGAAACGGGGCAGATTCTAGTCATTTCTAACACAAACAATATGAGATCTATAATAAGATAATGCTGATATGTGTACATTTATACTGTTTAAAAGTTTGGGATATATTTTTAAATAAATTATGTTTAAATCAGCAAGGAAGCATTAAATTGATAAAAAAAAAATCAAATAAATTCTGTTCTTTTGAACTTTCTATTTCTATTTTGCACACATTATTTGGGCATTATTTGTTTGACATGTGCGATAAACCAATTAGAACAGACTGAGCTGTCTGGCCAATCAGAGCAGAGTTGCTCGCAGAAAGGAAGGATTTAGAGAGATTGATGCATCTGACGAGATGTTTGAGAATCATTGAAAATTTGTATTTTATGAGAAAATTTTATTTTAAAAAGCTATTTTGTTGACCCTTGATGCATGTAAACGTGTTGTAGGAGAGTCCACAACAACATTAGGAAACTTTAAAATAGGGGAACTTTAAGCAGCTCCACTGTTTTCAAGTCGCTTTGTCATAACAAGCAATCAATTACATTTTTAAAAATGATAAAAAGTTTTGTTATAAAATTTCACAATATTCAACATGACTTCTGCGTAAACATACACGCCACTTTTGAGTCGAGTGCCGTGTTATCTCTACGCATTTTGAGCTATCCGCGTGCATGCGTGTATGTCTACGCTATTAACGTACGCGCCATTCCGCATGTCTGTACACGCCGTCAAATGTCCGCGCGAAACGAAGCAAAATGTACATCTACATCTGGGGAGCTATCTTTTTCTTTCCTAGGATGGTAAGGGAACAGTCATAAATGCCATTAACCGCATTGACGGGTAGGTTTAGGGACGGGGTTGGGGTAGGTCATATATTTATATATACAGTAATAATGTTAAGTCAACGGCGTTCATAAACACACTGAAAAGCGATTATGCGTCTTGATAGCACGCCAAAAATGGAAATACGAATTGGTCATACACATGCTACTTCATGAGATCAGTCTGCAAAATTACTGTTTTTACTAACTTTTGACATTAGTTTCAAGCACACTAGACTACTGTAAAAAGCTCATTCTCAGTATTGTGATATTTCTACAATTAATTTGAAGTATACATCATGGTAGCGTTTGTTGACTTTTGCATTACAGCAATGAAAATTTGTGGGGAAACGTTTAATTGAAAATGTCGAATTTGAAAGAAAAAATATTTGATCTTTCTTTTCGTTCATTAGATACAGATGGGCAAACATTTGCCAGCAACGCACTCCAGAGAGATGCATCTGTAATTGCCACATTCATTCTGGTTTCCTTTGTAAAAAATGTCTATTTTTGTATCTTGCATGTGCTGCGGCACACTTACTTACTTCCTCTCTGCACCAATAGATGACTTTTGGGACAGGGTGGGGCAGTCTTATCTGTCAGCTTAGTTCTTACTGTCTCGAGGAATATTTCACCCACTTTGAAAATTCACCCTCATGTTGTATCAACATTATATGAGTTTCTTTCTTCCATGGAAGATAAATGATAAAAGTAGTCCATACAAGTTGTGTGGACTACACAAAACAACCACCAAAAAAACCCTCTGAAATCATCTCTGTGACTTGTAATACTTATTTGATGTAATTCTGTAATAGCATGAACAATATCAGATGGGCGGAAAAAAGCCAGTGGTCTGTAATGCTGCATTAACTTTCTTGGCCATTGTGTTGCCATTTTACTGGTTTTAGTGGTGGTGTCTTTGAGTTCAGAGCTGTTTTTCTCTATGTGGGGTGACTAATGAATGACTAAATGTGACCTCTCAGCGTGCCACTCAGAGTAATGGTCTGCTTTTCTACGTGCCATTGATTATTCACTGCTGATTCCAAGGGAAACTTTCCCGGAAATGGAGTGGTTTCCATCTTTCCTACAGTTCGGATCTGCCACTTCAAAAGTTTGAATACCTGCCCAGGCTATTATACGCTTCCCTGAATAGCTTATGTCAGGATTTCCCAACCTGGAAATCACCACGGCTTTTTTAAGCGGTCGCCAAGTCGATTTGATTATGATTTCAGCTGCTACATTACAATCAAATGATTTCCAGAGTACCCTGTTATAGAAAGAGTTTGTTTTAAGCGTTTAGCATCTTTTACTGAGCTTTCCTATCTCTAATGTTACCAGGCAATTGTTGTTATTGTTTTTACCATGAATATAGTCTTTGATTCAGATTGATAGATAGGATAGATAGATAGATAGATAGATAGATAGATAGATAGATAGATAGATAGATAGATAGATAGATAGATAGATAGATAGATAGATAGATAGATAGATAGATAGATGGATAGAATTGTGGATAAGCTCATTATTCATAGTTCGTTAAAACAGTGGCCACATTGGCCTTTAGTATCCAATACAGACCAAAGAACAGCACTAGATTGTGGTAATAAAATCCGGATTGTACCGACTTGTTGTGAACTCATTCTAGGAAACGCACTATTCATACTGGGGTGGGGGGGGGGGGGGGGGGGTTGTGAATGTAACACAGGCCATGTGCTCTGTGGGCAGTGAATTTCTGTCTGTACTTGATCTTTTTCATCTGTCCTCCCATGACGCAAAGGGCGGCCGGGACAGGACTCATGTGGGTGGTCCAGGTCTGGAAGGCCAAACCCTTTGTACTGACCCGGCCATGGGCACATAGTGATACACTTGTAGAGCCCACACATTAATACAGTCATCACTGTCTATCAGCAAAGACCCTCATTCTTCCAAATCCATTACTCACATAATAGTTGTTCCAAGAAAACTTTGTTTGTCCTGACAGCCTACAATTGTGAGTTCAGAACAGCTTGAAAAGGAATCTCTAAACAAATATGTGTGTGCCAGATTGATTTTCTCATCGCCGTCATTAACATGTACTGTGACACCTCTTTCCCGTAGGTTGACCTGAACAAGCTAATGACGGCTGTGAATGTAAGCCATTGTCTGAGCCCCAGCCATAAGCCTTTAGAGTCGCCCGGTGTGGTGGTGGAGCAGTCCCCCATGGAGCGCACCAAGGGATTCTTTCCCGACGAATCTGAGCCACTGCTGCGCTGTGACTCCACTTCCAGCAAGGACTCTGCCCTCAGCCGGACAGGCTCTTTTATAACCAAAGGTAAGTGCACGTGGATAAACAGGAGCACGGATAGAAAAACACCTATAAGAGTTGGCAGTAAAAAAACCCGTCTAAAACAGGGGTGTCCAATCCTGCTCCATAAGGGCCACTGTCATGCAGAGTTCAGCTCTGACCTCAACTAAACACACCTGAACCAGCTATTCAAGGTCTTACTAGCCATGCTAGAAACTTCCAGGCAGGTGTGTTGGGGCAAGTTGGAGCTAAACACTGCTGAACACCCCCAATCTATAATAAGATTTGGCATTTTCGCTCGTCGTTAAATGTCCGAGCGAAACGAAGCAAAATGTAGATCTACATCTGGGGAGCGATATTTTTTTTTCCTAGGATGGTAGGGGAACACTCATAAATGGTATTAACCCCAGTAACGGGTAGGTTTAGGGACGGGGTAGGTCATATATTTGTACATACAGTAATAAGTCAACGGCGATTATGCGTGTTGATAGCGCGCCAAAAATGGAAATACGAATTGGCGTGTCATACATATGCCATTTCATGAGATCAGTCTGAAGATATATATAAATAAATTTATTTATATAAACAGTTTTCCTCAAATACTTGATGTGTTTGATGATCTTTATTGTGATGAAAAGTAATTTCTTATAGTTTGTAAAAATGGCCTCCTTGTGAAAGCTTTACGTTCCCGCATCATGTTTAACCGCTTTAAATATGCAAATGACTAAATCATACGAAATGTTTTCATTGATATGCTATACTTTTATTATGTATTAAATGTAATGCTATTTTATTTTATATTAGATATAGTTAAAAAGTATGATACATAATAATAAATTAATTAATTGAATATTATTTAAATAATAAATAATCAGACATAAAAATATCTTAAAACAAATATATTATATTCATAATATTTTGTTTTAGAGATTTCTTTTTTATTATGATTATATTATTTCTATGGATATTACTTTATATATATATAGACCATTTCAAAAGATGTAAACAACACTGGCCCAGAAGCACTTCCTGTTTCAGTTTGTAACCGTTTTCTTTATTTCACATGTAAAGAAAACATCTTTAAGATGTTTGTTTAAATTTTTGATTCAGTTTTAAATGTTCTGTTGTTTGTATTTTATCCCAGCTTTTATGTAGTGTTAAAAAACTGAAACAGGAAGTGCTTCTGGACCAGTGTTGTTTACATCTTGTGAAATGGTCTATAAATCTCTCTCTCTCTATATATATAATACATTTATATAAAAATTATATTCTTGTGATTTAATCATTTAAATTAATACAAGTAATTCAATTAAAGTTTAAATGATTATTTAAGTGTCCTAAATTGTTCAGGAAAAGGTTTAAACAGGTTTCCCCAAACGTGTGAAAGGTATTGTAGTTATTGTAACATTATTGCCCCCTAGTGGATGCTCTATGTTCAACCATATATTGTATTAAATAATTACTTAACACTTTTCTTTTAGTAATTGATCATATTTGTGGATTGTTCTGTCCCTCAGAGAAAAAGGACACTGTGCTGCGGCAGGTGCGTCTGGACCCCTGCGACCTGCAGCCCATCTTCGATGATATGCTGCACATTCTCAACCCCGAGGAGCTCCATGTCATTGAGGAGATCCCCATGGCGGAGGACAAGCTAGACCGCTTGTTCGAGATCGCCGGGGTGAAGAGTCAAGAAGCAAGCCAGACGCTTCTCGACTCGGTCTATAGTCACTTGCCTGATCTCCTTTAGACCATTACAGCATCTCACTAAAGTGACGGACACACAAATGTGCACTCACTCCGTTCCATTGTGGGCTTCAGTCACGTGCACGCAATTTTAAAACCTCTGGAATGCTCAGACGGGAGTTCATCTGCACACCAAGAGCTGCTCCTTGCGCTAGCATTCATATAGCGTGAATGAAGAGTTCTCTGGATACAGCTGGTGTCAATGCTATAACCTCTCTAACATGCAGCATATTCTTGCACACACACCTCAGCATGATGTCTAACTCAAAAAGCTATGTGATGTAAATTATAAACCGGTTTTGTAAATTGTTAAATCTACCATTTAGTCCCTTGACCTTGTTTTTATTTTATTTTATAATTGCAACTTTTCAAATTAACACATCCTAATTAGCAAGGTACTTTTGTTCCTTTTTTTTTTTTGTTCACAAGTATTACTACTGTAGCTTGTTTAGATCATTTGTTGCCACTTTGTTTGTGTTTTATGTGATTTCAAGGGCATTGAAAATCATTCCTACTGGTTATGATACAAATCATGACTGTGGATAATGTGCATTCATTATACAACTCTTAAAATAAACTCCCTTCCCATGTGCTTCTCCAATAAAAGAGGACAAAAACAAGTATGATTGCGAAGGAATTTCACACAGGCTAGAGAACCACCAAAAATTAATTTCACAATATTTCGATGTAGCATTTCAGTATCCATACTGTGCAGATATGTGGAACAGAGAGAATGTCTCTGTTAAACTCTGTTATATCAAGTCACTCTGGTGCTAGATGTCAAACTATGGGATAGATGTTGATTTTATCCTAATAACAGGGTGTTTCGGGTCGTTTGGCCGCTGAACTTAAAGAAAAAAATGTAGGTCAAGACGAAATAGCATTTAGTAACTCTCCTGGATCTTAGGAGCGTCGGATGAGCTTTTTAGAAACAAACTAAATCATGGAGCGTAAAAAGATATGTATTCTTATGGCTGTTTTAAAGTGTAACACATGTAACCAAGACATTTATTATTATTGTTAATTATCATGTAACCTGAGAATTCAACAGATTAAAGGTTTTGTCATAATTTGTGGTTGTTTTCATGTGGGTTTCTTATGAATGGTAGTCTTAAATTTTGCTTGCAAAATTGCAATTTATCACTTGAAGTTCATTTTGTGGCTCATGAGTCATGACCCATTACGATATAATCTTCAAGATTGTGGAGATGTAAACTTTGTTGTAAGCATTCTCCCTTAGAGTTCATTTTAGCAAACTTTAGCATCCTTCTTTTCAAATGCAATAGATTAGAAAGTCACTCCGTGTGCAACTCACAACAGTTCATGACAGAATATGCTAATTGAAGATAGTTAACTCCACATCAACATAAATTCATCCACTAACCATTTAGAGACGTCCTGTTGCATTCGACATGTTGTCACTTCTTCTTGAGTCTCTCCGTCTTTGTCTGACTCCATTTTAACATTAGAGGCAAAACAGTTTCTGTCATTTTAGTGTGTCTGTGAGTTGAAGTTGATCACAGCTGCTAACCATAGTGCTAACACCACACACGAGCTCTTGAAACCCCGCCCTCTGCAGCAGCTCATTTGCGTTTAAAGGGCCAGGCGCAATTTTGCTAACCCTCAACTTTTAAGGGGAAATGAAACAGTCAATCAAGTTTACATGATTTACAAGATGGACTTCCACTATAATCAACAATTATATAAGAATACATACAAAAGTATATCTTTCGCCGCCAGGGCGCCGCCATTGTGCAGTATTCTACCATGTGACGTCACAGGGTTGGTTGGCTTCAGTTTAACAGGCTCTGTCTGGGCAGTGAATATCCCGTCATCAAACTGTTTACACCACTGTGTTTTGACCGCAAACGACTAAAGTTAGGTACAGTCATTAGACAAAAAGACGACATCTAATGTTATATGTTAACAAACTGCACATAGAAACATTGTTCGTGATGTCTGCCACACATTCACCCAATATTACACAGACGGCGGTGTCAGGCATACAAGGAGGAAGGCGCCATCCCAGCAAACACAGTACGTTCCCCTAACGCTTCCGAATGGTCCAATGAGGTTATTTTTTTGGGAACCAAACAAGAACGTTATAGGAACCATTTAGGTTCCATTTTTATAACGTAAGGAGAATGTTCCAGGAACGTTTCCTTAACCTTAAGGGAAAGTTCTAGGAACATTCTGGGAACCAAAAACTAAAGTTCCTAGAATGTTCCCAGAACCTAAATTTGTTTGCTGGGATCCAGCTCGCCTGGAGCAGCTGGGGTTAGGTGTCTTGCTCATGGACCTCATGGACCTCATTTGCTCATGGTTCCATCTCGACCCTCAGATTTATCCACCTTGGGACCCGGTTTCAAAAAATAGCGGTTTCACTCTCCCAAAACGCAGGATCCGTGGGGAAGAAAAGCCAATACGATAAAAAAAAAAAATTATATGTATACAGCGAAACGCGTCTTCGTGTGGACGGGGTGGTCAGGTGGAACCAGGGAACCACCAACCTTCCAGTTTGTAAACAACCTCCACTGAGCCACTGCCACCTCATAAAAGACAGCTATTGACCAATCGGAATCAAGGAACTAATCGTTTGATAATGTTCTCTGAGTTAAGGAATCTGATGAATCATGGGCAGTTAGTCTCAAATCTCGTTTTTGAACAAAAGCTGTTAGGTGTGGCCGTAAATATGCACTGACAGTAACTATTTGCTTTTTGATTACATTTTTGAAATAAGACTTTATGTGAAATGTCACAGTAGCCTACTTTTATTATAATACTATAGCCTAGTTCATCAAAGGAATTTTATTAATGTAGCCTATATATAATATGATTAGCCTACATTTGGAAATGTAGCCCACATTGTTTCTGTTATGATGTCTCCTCTGTTCACACAAGAGAACCTGGAAATAACAGAGGGAATCTAACTTGTTTAGCAGGTGATCCACAAACAGTCGCATTCTTCTGATGGTAACCTGTCTACACAAAGACACATTTATTCCATGGGATCATTTTGTAGGTGGATCATTTGACAAGGAAACAAAATATCAGAGACCTAGAAACAATATTAGTATCACTTCATGCTTGTTTCCAGAGGTAAGGTAGGAGTGAAAAATAATTCTATTAATTGTGTAAATGCTGTTGACTGCTTTTTCATACTCTCAACAAAAAACAAAAAAACCTTTTTGTAGATTTACAGATTTCAATTGTATAGTAAAATTACATTAAATTGAATAATCCTTACTGTACATAATATTCATATTATAAATTAAGAATTTTAAGTGAGTAAACTAGAGCTTAATAAAGCATTTTGTATACATCTTAATGAATCAAGGGAATGGATCATTTCAGTTTTCGTATTCATAAATGTAAACATACATTTAAAAAAATAATAATTTATGAATATGAATCACATAAACTAAATAGCCCATTCCATTAGTCCGTTAAGATTTATACAAAATGTTTTAATAACCTCTAGAGGTTTTTTTTAACTAATTTAAAATTCGTATTTCATAATATTATAAAATGATTCTTTAATTCAATGTGATGGAATTTTACTCTTCAACTGAAGTTTGTAAATCTTTCTTTAAAAGCCATAAATTTTTTTAGTGTGGTATAAATACTTTTAAAATGTGCTGTTCATTGCTGTACTTTTTTAAAACCGTCCTGATCTTGTCATGCAGGATTATGTTATAAATGTAAAAGAGCAAGAATTTTACATAGATTAAGTTAAAGCATTCAGTTTGTGTCGTTGTAATTTATTATTAAATTATTCCATTTTATTTTCTGACTGATGCCAATGCACTTCCACACAAGAGATGACCTTTGCTGTAGTAATGTAAATATTTGTTGTAAACATTAATGGATACAACATTTAGACATATAGTGCTTCAGATATTTTATTCTAAATCTATATTTAAATGTATTGATACAATTCCATTCAGTTGTCCAAGTCAGACGTTTTTTTTGGTGATTTGTGACACAGCATTAAATGATCATTGATTGTTCAGTGTCATCATTATTATCTGATTTTATATGACAGAATTTCCTATTTTACAGCTGTAAGGTGTCTGGATGAGCCATATGATTGACTTTTGTTCTGAAGAAATACGTTGAAGTTATTTTGACTGACGTACATCAGAGAGAAGCATGGCTGGTCAAGGTACAATAAAAGACTAAATGAACTTATTTTTAATTTACTGTTATTACTTTTGTCACAAAAATGCTCTGATGCATTTTGTATATTAAAACTTAAGCAGGTTTTAGTTTTGCTATACACTCTGAGAAAAATAAATGGTACAACACATTTTGAAAGGGAATACCTCTGTGACAGCTATAGGATTTGTTTGTGAGAGTGTGTAATGACAAATATTTTATGGCTATGTTTACACTCGTCATCACCCGTCATACTCTTGCACTCCGAAATATTTATAAAAATAATATATACTTAAATACTGTATAAAGAAGTACAGTGATTTGTTAGATTACCAGTGGTGGTAAAGAAAAAATAAATACTCCTTTTCAATTTTACTTGAGTAATAAGTACATCATTACTTGACATAAGTGGGTGTAAAAATTGAAATTAGGCTAACTGATCAGTGAGCCATGTTTATTATTCTAAACAGCACTAAATAATAAGGAAGATTAGCGCAGACATTTTATAGCCTATGAGAATCTTTAGATAATCAAACATGTTTTTACCAAAACTTATATACACGTCATTTAAAAACATTAAACTTCAGTAGGCTATAAGTGTAACAGAGTGGTGACATAATATACAGTAAAACATGTACAATACAGATATCATATATGGGCCAAAATGTGTTAACATTTAAAGAAGTATGCTATGCAAACATACTAGTTTCGTGCAATGGGTGTAGACTGCTCACACAAACTTTTTGCGCCATCAGTCACACAAGTTTTGCGGCTCTTCCAGTTCTTGGTATAAGACGGAAGTAATGCACTACTGTACAATTCTGTTTAATCTAATTTCCGAGACCTTTAGTTTCTGGATTACAAGCTAAGTGTTTTATTTTCCTGCTAATGGTATTTGTTTATTAACGGTTTCATTTCTCGTTTCTTCAGATACAGGACAAATATTAAAGTACTTTGCAGTAATCATGGCTTTCCTGCTGACCCATGAATGTGTTGGGCAAACAACTGTTTTCCCAAAAACAAGTATGGATTTCCAGGTATGGGAAATTGTATTTACCGCAGAAACATAATTAAATAAAATTTGTTTTATGTTTAAAAAAAACACCAACAGATTGCTGTCATTTTCAGAAGTTTCAATCATTTGCATTCTTAATAAAATGTTTTGTACACATTAAACGCAAATTTAAAATATTTACCATTAGCTTTTTATTTTAGTACTATAAACAGAGTACGGAGCCATGATCACATGATTAAATGACAAAATTTTTAAATGCAATATAAATGTATTTTTGTGTTATAGTTTTATTCCAGCGGCATAGAAGGGCAACTCCATAATATAAGCGCAGGTCTGATTCATGGTTTTAACCTCTACTAAACTAATACATGTTATTTATATAAAAATTAAAGGCTTAGTTCACCCTGAAATGAAAATTCTGTCAGTAATTTTCCCTCATGTAGTTCCAACCCCGTAAGACTTTCGTTCATCTTCGGAACACAAATTAAGATATTTTTTATTAAATCTGAGAGCTGGATTAAGGGATCGAAATTTGCCAGCCCAGAAAAGTTAAAGACATCGTTAAAATACTCTGACTACAGTGGCTCAATCTTAAAGGCACACTATGCAAGAATTGTCCCTTAATATAACAGCTTCAAAGTCATTTCGGTGGTAAACAAACTCATATTAGGGCGAATCATCCTGGTAGTGAAGCTTTGGGGGGGGGGGGGGGGCGTCACTGGAAAAACCAGCAATGCAAGTTTGAGAGGAGAGCCCCCGACAAATCTCGCGAGAATCACGACATGCTTTACGGCAACGACGTCACACACATCAACAACAACATATGAAGCATGAAGACACAAGGCCCATTTCAGGCGTGATACTCGACGATGAAAAAAAGCAAAAAAAAACATGAATCGGAAGAGACTAGGAAAAGAGAATCTCACTCGGTCGGGCTTTCACTCGTTGGCACTGGATGCAACAGTGATGCTGACCTGCCGATCTTGTTGATGGACTAGTAAGTAAATATTTCTAAGTTTGTGTGCATTTTATTTTGTGATTTCACTGGAATGAATAGATAGAGTCCGCAACGGCGATAGATTGAAGAGCGCGTCCGAGTGGAGGGTGACCAGACGTCTCGAAAAATTTGGGACAGTCCCGAAATCTAAACTGTTGTCCCGAATCCGGCCCTAATTGTCCCGAAAATGATACTAAAGCAAAATCTTGAGTAGTTATTGTCTGATAAAATATTAAAAACTGTCCGTGGAGGTTGAGTCGACCCCCGCCGGCGGCTCATTGGCTGCAGCATCTTTTCTGTTTCTTTTTCTACAAGTTCTACAAAGATATAGGCGCGAATTTAGATATACATTGATAAGCAAATTTTCATTCATTCGTTTCGTTGACATGGCTGGTGTACCGGAACCACAACACGCCGTTTTTTAGTCGCAGACTAATGACAGACTGTTGATCTTTGAAAAAAAAAAAAAAAAAAAAAGTTTGGTTCAGGTTTGAAATTCATTATCTTTTATTATAGGCTATGTAGTCTGAATATCATAGAAGGCCTACCCATAAACACCCCCTAGATCTCTTATTTAAAAAGGCACACTATGCAAGATTTGTATCTTAATATAACATCTTCAAAGGGGTATCAGGCTGTGAGTGTAGAGACGCTCTGCGTGAGTGGTATTTCAGACAGTAACGTTATAGGGGTCATATAATGGTGCATGCATTTTTACAAGTTGATTGTACTGCAATGTGTGTTGTCAGTGCCTGTACACAACCATCATATTGATACAAAATCCATCCAGTGGTTTTGTTTTAATCTCCTTATGTTTTTCCCTGCCTCAAATCGAGCCGTTCGACCGTGTGACATCACTAAATCGAACGCCCCTCCCACGATTGTTGATTGACAGCAGCGTTTCAACACAGGCCCGCCCTGAGCGAGCTATCATCATAGTCCGCTATTGTTGATACGCTGGAGCAGAATGACGTCTAAACGATTGTGGTGTTCTGTTCTTGGGTGTAATAACCAACACAATCATTTTGATGTTACAGTAAATTTGAACCGCTGAAGACACAGAGGCGGAGATTTGTTCTCGAAGGGAATATTCCCCACGAGCAACGTCAATGCTTTCATGTTTGTGTGAATCATTTCTCACCAGACTGCTTTATAAAACGAGGATCAGTAAAAAGCTGAAAAAAAAGAAGCTGCTCCTGAAAAAAATAATCGGTACCAACTATTTATGTTCCCTCTGCACTTCTCGTTTTATTAATCTTTATATTAATCTTTGCAAATCGCGGGGAAAAGTTTTTCATGACCAAGTCAATCTGTCAATGAACTTACATCAGTAAACACAGCGTTCGTATCTCACTTCTCTACCCTGCCTGCCAGTACATACAAAGATAGATCAAAGAAACATTACGTTAACTAACCATTCAGAAACGTCCTCAAGCCTTAATTGTCGAACTTCTTTGCGGCTGTCATCTTGTTCTGGTGCGACTCCGGTTCAAACTGATACGGTTGCACAGATGTGTCCTCAGAGACTCCCGCTGCCATTCTCTCTCCAAAACCTTCAACTGTTGTCAAGGCAACACTCCGCGTGCGTTCACACCTGCAGAACAGAGGGGCGGGGTTTATTATTTAAAGGCATATGCACTGAAACGGCTTGCTGAAAACAGAGCTGATTTTGACCAGGTAAAATGGTGTTTTCTTAAAACAAACACTAATGAGAATTTTTAATAAAAGTATATTACAAAGTTTTCATTTAGATCCTAAACATTCATATTAGCTTACAAATGGCATTATATGAAAGTTTGACAAAAACGGAATTCCTGCACAGTGTGCCTTTAAGTTTATCAAGCCACGAGAATTTAATCAAAAATATCTAATTTGTTAGGGTGAACTAACCCTTCAAGAATTGAATTTGTAATTTTGTCTGTCAATTGTTTTATCTTGTCCTTTACTTTAAGAGTACAGGCCTCGTTATGACAGCATGATTATTAAAATCTCATTCATTTTCTCATATCAATAGAGACATTGGAATACATCGTGGTTGTGGAACTGAATGCATCCCAAACTATATTTATTGAACAAATCAAAGCAGCTTTTGCCTTTAACTTGTTTCCACTTCGATTGGACAACAGTACTGAAATTACAGCTGGGGACATTACAACAGGTGATCAAAATCCATTTAAATCATTCTTATACTTAAAAGCAGGGTTGGCAATTTTTTTCATAAACACTTTCTGTTATTGTGCTTGAAACTCTCTTCACACCCGGATGGCAATCAATAATAGAAGTGAAGTTACAGGGTTACAGTAGTTCACCCAAAAATGATGTCATTAAATACTCACCCTCATGTCTTCCAAACCTGTAAGACATTTGTTCATCTTTGAAACACAAATCAAGATCTTTTTTGATAAAATCTGAGAGCTGTCCCTCCATTGACAGCTATGTAACTACCACTTTGATTCTTTAAAGCTACACTGTGTAACTCTTTTAGTTTATTCTTAGCTAAAAACACTTAGTTCTTTCAAAAATATATGTGCTCATTAATGTATATTTACTTCGTTCAAGTAATAAAGTATTCTCGTGAGTGAATAATATGCCATTGAAAATACATACGGGTAAGGGGTTCTAATGTCGGTCGCCATGTTGCCCCTCCATCTTGAATGTACATTAGCCAAAGAGGGACATACCTAATAATTCAAGCTTCGCCTTTCGCGTTTACGTTTGAGTTAACACTCATGGACGAGGTCGAACTGGAAGCCATGTTAATCTTGGACTACATTGGCCACCGTAGGAGTTAAAACGAAATCGGAATCGAGAGGAACAGAAACTAATATTCACTGGATGGTCATATACATTTTCACAGCTAGATGGCGGTAAAAATCACACAGTGTAGCTTTAAAAAAGTTTGTCCAAATTTTCTGAAGAGACATAAGAGCTTTAAATGATGAAAAGATTTAATTTAGGCTTTTAATCACATATAAACATTGATCAGCGAACATAAAGAGAAGCTCAACCACTTGATGCGTGAAATCAAACCTCACAGGTGGTACAAGTCAGAGCTCTGTAAGTTGTTTACGTTCATTATTATTGTAATGTTATGTGCTTTGTGACATGAGGTATTTAAACACAGTCTCTCTTGAGCTTTGCAAACTTTGTTCTGGCTGTGCGGCGTGCGCATTCAATGTTTTTTGGGGGGGAGGCGTGGCTTTGGAGAGCCTCTGAAGAGAGGGCGGGATCTCATGCTTTCAAAGCTAGCTTTCTAAAATTGCCAACCCTACCTTTAATTTTCATCTTTACTGTTGTTAACCAGTTCTGTTATATTAACATTAGTGTGCCAACAAAATGTGACTGAATACCAGTGCGTATGTGAAGATGGTTATGCATGGACATACAACAACTGCAAGATATATGAGGCCTGTGATGACATCAGTCTGGGCTCATGTGGATGTATCAATGGTATTCCGAGTGATGGAGAGATGTGTGTGCTGGAGAGCGGTAAGAATCATGAGTCATGGCCAAACAAGTCAACTGTAAATGCACCCCAAAAAAAGCAGTAAAAATAAGTTGTTAATGTTAAAAAGAAAAATAATGCTACAATGATTGCATATGTTAAGGTAAACAGTTAACCAATTAGTTTAAAAAATATTATTAGATTTAACAGGGCATTTTACGGTTTAAAATTTTTGTTTTCTTATGTAAAAAGTATACATTTGAAAACAGTGAAATTAAATTTTTTTAATAAATGTTTTTTTAATTCATTTAAATTTAACAGACTTTTACATATTTTTATAAAACATAACAATTATGAGTCACGTTACAACAACATGTATTTCAGTGTTTACACATGGGATTTGAAAAATACTAATGAACAATGCTCACTTAATAAGTAGATGTCACGGGAACACACAGGGAAACAGGTGGATCCAAATGGAGCATATTTATTATCAGGGCAATCCAACTCATAGTCATCCATGCAGGGGTCAAAATCCATTTTAGCAGTCCAATAAACAAATAAACAAGAACAGGCAAGAAAACCGACCTCGGAAGTGTTAGTGACATTCAGCAACGAATCCGTACACAAACTAACACAGACAGGGAATATATACACAGAACTAACAAGACTAACACAGAACAGCTGGGAACAATGATTACGGGGAACAGCTGAGTGCAATGAACTGATGCATGACAGTGACAGACAGAATGCTGGGAAATGCAGTTCCAGAAGTACATGACACCGAGGGGAAGGAGGACATCTAGTGGACAAACAAGGGAACACAACCAGACACTGTGACAGTAGACTGCTTATTTGCATGTATTAATTATATAAATGGATTGTAATTAAAAATATTATATAATAATATAATATAAAGTATTGCAAAAGTATATTAAAATGACTCATGTAATGTATAAACACTGAGCTTGCAATGATTGTAAGCTTGTTGATTCTGTCACAGAACTTACTTTCACAGAGTTCTTGTCTGAAATTGAGATTGAATCATCAAGCATCTCCGTGATCGATGAGATGAGGAGATATTTTCAGAACATGACCTTTCCACTTAAGTTAGATGAGCTGGTTGAAGTATTAAATGTGGACATCACGACAGGTGAAGAACATCACAAGACCTTCATAAGTTTCTGAAAACAAACACAGCAGTTCTGATCTGTTAAAAATGATCTTACTTTTATGTTTTATCCTTTTTTTAGTGTGCAATTTCAATGACAGTGGATACAAGTGCGTATGTGAGGATCAGTATTTCTGGCCGTGTGAAAAGTGCACTGAATATGGGAGCTGTGATGACATCACTAACAACACATGCAGCTGCATCAATGATATTCCAACTGATAGACAGTTCTGTCAACCAGTCAATGAGATAACAAGTAAAATTGTTTTATACATTTCTGTTTGTGTTCATACAAAATGACCTGTGGGTCAGTTACTGTTAAATGAAGTGTATGTGTATACAAATTATTTCTAATCCATTCTCCTCCTTTTCCCAAAAGATAACACAGCATGTGCGCAACCAACAGGTACATAAAACATCTGACTAAAGGGTAAAGTTCACACAAAAGTGAAAAATCTGTCAGCATTTACTCATCCTTTACATTGTTTTAAACCTGTATGACGTTCTTCTGTGGGACATAAGGGAAAATATTTTGGTGGTTGGTAATCAAACCGTTTTGGTTCCCATTGAATTCCATTGTATGAAAAAAAAAAAAAAAAAAAACGATGCAATTTTTCACAGAAAATCATATACAGGTTTAAAACAACATGAGAATAAATGATGGGAGAATAAATATCATTTTTTATCATTTAATATCATTTTTTTTATCATTTTGGTGAACTATCCCTCGGTGAAATCCTGAAGTCTTGATAACTGCAGTAATTTTATGTATATTTAAAGATGAGTGAATATTCCTGATTCTTTTTATATTTTCTACAGTGACTCCAGTTCTGATTACATATTACACTGAAATTCAGATAAATGCCGAGAATACTTCCATCATTGATCAGTTGATGAATTATTGGATGTTTTTTGATTTTCCTTACACAATCATTGACAGCATTAACATCACAGAAATCAACATAACTACTGGTATGATCTCTCTCTGCTTTGGCTAGTACTTTATAAATCATACTGCTATAAATGAATGATGTCTTTTTTAATTCTGCTCTTCAGTGTGTTCTTTGAATGAAACACAATATCGGTGTAAATGTGAGGGTCTGTTTGTTTGGCCAAATGACACATGTCACTCATACAAGGCCTGTGATGACATCATTGATGGTTCATGTACATGTATCAATGCTCTTCCAATCGACGGACAGTTCTGCCAGTTAAAAGAAGGTAAGCCCATAAACTGAAATGTTAATATGGACTGTTAATATAAACATTTTTCATTTTACTCTATTATACATGACCATTGCCGTTTAGGCATAGGCCAACGAGAGCTCCCATACCCCACGTTAACACGTTACAGAAAGTACTCTTTCCTATACTCTGCTGTCTTGTGGAATGGTTTTCCTTTAAACCTTAAACTTCTTCCAATTATCATTTTAAATCTTCAATAAAAAATTGGTTATTAAACCTATAAAAAAATGTATTAAAAAAAGGAAATAGAGATAGAAATCCTTGAAGTATTAGGAATTCTGTATTGTCTGCTTGTCTTTCTGGAAATTTAGCCCGTGTTTCGTTCTTTTTATTCTGTTTTTATCCTTTTTATTTATTTGTATTTTTTATGCCCCCTTTCTTCATTGTCCTCAATGTTTTTATTCCATGTACTTTTACTCATCTTCCACCTTAAGGACCACAATGGAAACAAGCCTTTTTGTTTTTGTGTTTTTATTCTTTTGAACACTTCGTGTTGATTGTTGAACAATCAAGTTTTCATTCATTCATTCAGTCATTCATACATCAATGTTTCTGCCCCCATGGTCACAAAAAATACTATTAAAATTATAATTTGAAAAATACTTTATTAAAAACCTCTATATTAACTGCCTTTCTATTAATCCAGTACAGTTAGTAACAGTTAAAACTACATATATTTTAAATAAATAATAGTCCCAGCAAAATAATGTGATGATTTGCATGCTTTCCAATCTTAACTGTGGTATTAAATAAATATTTGTGAAAAAAAAACATGTTAAAGTGTTCTGTTCAAATTTGTACATCTCCAACCGCACAAATAAAATTGGAGCATGCAATTGCTCATGTTTGGATAGACTGACTGCAACAAACTCAAGTCTCCCTGTCAGCAGCAGTAACACATTCTATACAATCTTTGTTTACATTTTTGTGTATTATTTCCTTAACTAATAAGACTTTTTGTATAGTTTGGAAGAGAATAGTAAGATTTTAAATATTACTATTTTTTTCACATATGAAATATGCAGATTTTCATTTTCAAATCAAGTAATTTACATTTTTTTTCAGTTCCAACAGTAACACCAACTCCATCAACACCACCAGTGCTATCACCATCAACACCACAACTATCAACCACTCTATCATCAACATTAGCATCAATGCCATCAACATCAACATCACCAACATCAACACCATTATCAACATCACCAACATCAACACCATTATCAACATCACCAACACCATTATCAACATCACCAACACCATTATCAACATCACCAACACCATTATCAACATCACCAACATCACCAACACCATCACCAACATCACCAACATCACCAACACCATTATCAACATCACCAACACCATTATCAACATCACCAACATCACCAACACCATTATCAACATCACCAACATCAACTCCATTATCAACATCACCAACATCAACACCATCATCAACATCACCAACATCACCAACACCATTATCAACATCACCAACATCACCAACACCATTATCAACATCACCAACATCACCAACACCATTATCAACATCACCAACATCAACTCCATCATCAACATCACCAACATCACCAACATCACCAACATCACCAACACCATTATCAACATCACCAACATCACCAACATCACCAACACCATTATCAACATCACCAACATCACCAACACCATTATCAACATTATCAACATCACCAACATCACCAACATCACCAACATCACCAACACCATTATCAACATCACCAACATCAACTCCATTATCAACATCACCAACATCAACACCATCATCAACATCACCAACATCATCAACATCACCAACATCAACATCACTATCATCACCAACATCAACACCATTATCAACATCACCAACACCATTATCAACATCAACATCACCATTATCAACATCACCAACACCATTATCAACATCACCAACATCACCAACATCAACACCATCATCAACATCACCAACATCAACACCATCATCAACATCACCAACATCAACTACACCATCATCAACATTAAAATCAATGCCAGCATCAACAACCCAATTACCACCACCACCAATAACAACAAAAGGTATGCCCAGTAAAAATAAACCTGAAATAGGAGAGTAACCATTAGATCAGAATAGTTAAAAATAGCCAGATTGTGGTTGAATAAATTAAGAAATGTTTAATAAAATCTATGCAACTACCACTTTGATGCTTCAAGAAGTTTATAAAGGGATTGTAAAAATAATCCATGTGAATTGAGCAGTTTAGTCCAGATTTTCTGAAGATAGACGATCGCTTTATATGATTAACAGATTGAATTCAGGCTTTTATTCACATATAAACATTTATCAGCGAACATAAACAGAAGCTCGACTGCTTGATGCGTGAGAACAAACCTCATTGGTTCTTACGGACGCTCAAACGTGCTGCGAACCTCAATGGTTTTCACACATCAAGCAAACATGCTCGAACTTCCGTTTATCATAACTGTGCGTTATTTGGTGTCTGAATTACAGCGATTTTTTTATTAGCAGGGGCACAACAATGGCTATACAAAGCATGTCAAACAATAATAAAAGAAAATAATTTTGTTCATTTGTCCACCAGCAACAGTTGTTGGGATATCAATGACATTAAATAAGATATTTGACAGCAGTCTTACTAACCTTAGTAGCGAGGACTTCAAAGATTTATCTGGAAAAATCAAAGCAACAGTGAGTATTCCATGTTTCATATTTCAAAGAAATATATTGTTTGTGTAATTTGTTGATTTTTGATGATTTTGGTATAAATAAAAATTTGAATACAACTTGAATTTACCTTTGAAGAAGTCAACATACTTGCTATTTTTTTATATATATATAAATAATATTTATGGCAACACTTTATTGTAATGGTTCACTTTAGACACGCTACGAACATGTCAACTACCAGTCATTAGATTATTAGTTGACTGCTTACTTAATATCTGCTATCACTTTATTTTGATGCTCTCCCAACAGACATTACTGACTATTCGTAGCATTGCAACTACAACATATTCTACTAATCCAAACCCTAACACCTAACCCTTTCACAGTTTCCTACAGTCTACTAATACTCGAATGAGAGTAAGTTGGCATGTAGTTGCAAAGATGATATGAATAGTGGATGTCTAAAGTGGACAATCAAAAATAAGTGTGACCATATTTATTTATGAATAAATATTTATTTATTCAACAAAAAATATATATTTATCCATACGATTAAAATTATATATATTTTTTTAATACATGTAGCTTTTGCTTACTAATATACAATGACTTTTTCAAGCATACATTGGGTACTTTTGCTTTTACAGATTGAAAAGAGTTATTCTAATAATCTACCTGGCATTAACTACATTTCTGGTTCTACAAAAGTCCATAGATTCAGGTACGATTTACCATTTAAATTTGAACCCTTTTTTACTCAACATTTCCATTTATTCACTACTTTTCAAACAAATAAAATGATAATACAGTGTATTCATATTGATGTTGTTTTTGTTTCGCTCCACAGGCCTGGTAGTGTTATAGCAGACTACACAATAAGGGCAACATCGGACAAACTTGATTTTTTTAGTGCAGCAAACACAAATGTTTCTGACTCTCTACAAGCACAAAAAATCATTTCAACCAAAGCTGATTTTGCTCGGAGTGGTAAGGATAGTCGATGCCCAATCTAAAACCCTTCACATTTCTTATTTCCATCATATTTATTATGTAATTTGTTTTTGTTCATTGTTGAATGATATGATCTATATGGTTTTTAGTTTCAGAACAAAATATTTTGAGTACTTTCAAGTCCCAAAATGTAATGTGATATACTCTTGTTCAATTAAATATGTTTCCTTCTGACTTTCAATCAAATGCTTCTCCAGATGATGCCTGTATAAATGAAGAAATTGGATTTGGAAAAGAAAATGATGTGAGGGAAGGAATCTGTAGAAATGGCATGAAAGGCACTATAAATTACACATGTAAACGACCTGATTGGACACCACCAGTTGTTGACAACTGTGTACTTGACGCTATCTATGATATTAAAAGCAACATTATGGTAATCAATTGGCCATGTCTATTGAACAATCATCTGTCCTTTTTTAAAAGCTTCTAATATTTGTATTTTTGTACTTTGCAATTTAGTCCTTGCTTCCGGCGGAGATTCCAGGATTTTTGGCTAACTTCAGTAGTGTCATTGCAGGGAATGAGACTGTGATAACCCAGTCTCCTGCTACCATCAAAGATATTGTGTTTATACTCAATATAGTTGCTAATTTGTCACAAAAAATTTCCGAACCAGTGATGAAGGTATGTATAGTCACATTCAATTATTTGTGTACATTTTGATGTGTAGACATTTTTTCTTTAATTGAAGTCAACATGACCTCATGACTTTTGCGTAAACATACTTTTGCGTAAACTTCACTTGAAAGTGGCATTTTATCTATACGCATTTTGAGCTATCCGCGTGTATCCGCTTGTATGCGTGTATGTCTACGCCATTAATGTCCGAGTGATCCCGCGTGCATGTACACGCAGTTAAACATCCGAGCGAAACGAAGAAAAATGTAGATCTACATCTGGGGAGCTATATATTTTTCCTAGGATGGTAGGGGAAGACTCATAAATGCTATTAACCCCAGTGACGGGTAAGGTTAGGGACGGGGTTGGGGTAGGTCATGTATTTATTTATACAGTAATAACGTTAAGTCATAAACACGCTGAAAATCGATTATGCGTGTTGATAGCACGCCAAAAATAGAAATAAGAATTGGCATGTCATACAGTAGAATAGATAATATCTAATAATTAAGATAAATTAATGTTGACATGGGCTGATAGGCGTAGCTTTAGGATGGCCTTACGACTCGTAGAAGCTAAAAGAAATGACAAATTACAGATTAACAAAAAATATATTCTCCAAAATACTTTAAAGCAATTCAAATAGTATGCAAAAATATATTATAATAATGATAATAATAATCCAATACTTAATGATCTTTCCCCCCAATCTTGTATGCATTTTAAAATTGAATATGCTTTGGCACAGAAAAAAAGTGGTTAGCTTTGCAATTCGAAAGACCAGACTCGTTACTCTTGAAAAAAAAAAAAAAAAAAAAAAAAAAGTCTAGGCCTCTCTTGCGCTGTCGTCATTTTAATCCTTCCAGAACTCGTGTATGTCACACATTAGCACTTGTGACACCAGCCTCGCTCCATTCCACAGCTCTCTGCCCCGCCTTGCTTGCCACGTAAGATTTTGGTAAACACTAATTAAGCTATTCAGTGCAGAATGATAATGCAGTGTGGTAACATTAATCACTGTTCAGTGAATTTTCTAGCCTAAAAATCCCAGCCCAAATATGACCCTACACCTAGAGTGTGGATTCAGTGTAGTTGTGTTGTGCAACAGCTATTCTCTCTATATTGCATCTATATTATATTATATCATATCAGTTTATGGGATCAATTTCATCATATTAAACACTTTTATATTCAATTTCCAGAATTTCATAGAAGCAGTGGACATTATTGTATCAGGTAATGTCAGTGGTACATGGAAGGAATTGAACAGAGGAAACACCAGCACTATACTTCTGAGCGCTATTGAGAAGATAAGTGAACGTCTCATAGATGATTTTGCATTTACTGGAACATCCATTCAGCTGAACAGAACTACATTTAAAAACTCATTCAATATAACATCAACACTGCCAAATTCAACTACAGTGATCATCATACCACAGGTTCCTAAAGTGACTACCATAACCATCATAATCTTCACAACTCTTGACAACGTCCTACCTACTAATAATCATGAAACTAATAATTCAGTTGTGCGCATCAATGGAGATGTGGTTGTTGTTAAGGTTAATGAAACGCTTCCCAAAATTCAATTTGTTTTTGACACTACGGATGTATCTTTAGGAAATGCTCAATGTGTCTTTTGGAATTTCAGTCTTGAAGCATGGGATTCCAGTGGATGTAAAAGAACAGGGAAGAAAGAGGGCGAGATAACATGTGAATGCAACCACACAACCACTTTTTCAATCCTAATGTCACCGTTTTCCCCGGATTCCCTGGATGAAAAAGCCTATATAGTGTTAGCCTATATAACATACATTGGTGTAGCTATTTCAATGGCCAGCTTGATTTTGTGCCTCATCATCGAGATTATCGTGTGGAAGTCAATGACAAGAAATGACACATCCTACATGCGACATGTGTCCATAGTCAACATTGCCGTGTCCCTGCTGATCGCGGACATCTGTTTTATCATTGGAGCCGCAGTCGCAGAACAAGAGCAGCCAACATCAGTGGGTCGCTGCAGTCCAGCGGTTTTCTTCATGCACTTTTTTTACCTGGCTCTTTTCTTCTGGATGTTAATTTCAGCGCTGTTGCTCTTTTACCGGACAGTCATGGTCTTGTCCCAAATGTCAAGGGCCAGAATGATGGCCATTGCCTTCATAGTCGGTTATGGTGCGCCTTTGCTCATTGCGGTCATTACTGTTGCATCGACAGCTGGACCTGAGGAATATATCACGAAAGAATTAGCATGCTGGCTGAACTTTAATGAATCTAAGGCCCTGCTGGCATTTGTGATTCCAGCTCTCACTATTGTAGCCATAAACCTTGTGGTTTTGATTGTGGTTCTGTATAAGATGTTGAGGAGAGGAGTTGGTGCCACAACTCAACCGGGTGAGAAACATACCCTGGTTGTCATTGCCCGATGTGTGGCCATATTGACTCCTATCTTTGGTCTAACTTGGGGATTTGGAATTGGAACCATGTTGTCCCCTAATTTTGGCATTCATGTGGTGTTTGTACTCCTCAATTCACTGCAGGTATCACTTTCTGTCTCTATATTTAAAAATATATAAATATCTATAACAAATTCAGCTATAACAACATTCAACTGTAATGTTGCACATTGATCTATTCTAAATGTCTGTACTTTTATGAATTTCATTTGTATTTTCATTTGTAACACTTCCTTTAATAGGGATTTTTCATTTTGGTGTTTGGAACGCTTTTAGACAAGAAGGTAAGTACGTGTTTACTCCTATTGCTTTGTAAAGTGTTTAGCCACTTTTTTAAATATTGGCCTAGGTTTATTTACTGTTTTTATCCTGCTTATTACATGGCTGCCCTCCAAATATGTGAACATGAAATATTGATTTGATTTGAAATTTTATCTATACTATATATATTTTATCTTTATAAAGAAATATGAAACATAACTGCTAAATATTCACAGGGAGAGAGTTTCTCAGGTCGGTTGGAACATTGATTGAACCAGGGATGTCAATCATAAAAGAATTAAACACCCCTTTGAGTCAGTTCTTTCTTTTCAGTGAATTGGGCAAACAGGTTTCTGATACCATCTAAATCAATTCACATTTGTCCAAACGGCTCTCTCGACAATCTCCTGAAATGGCTTTTCAGTCTGTAACAGACAGTTGTGAGATAGCCAACTAAAGAACACAAACAGCACTTGATGAAAAAATATTCACTAACTAACACTTGAAAACAAAAGGCTACTTTTTGAGAGGTTACTTTCAATTTATGACCATTCACACCGAAAGTGTCTGCCTGCACTGTTTTTACTTGTTGTTTTTATGTGAACATGCATTAGATGGATGTGTTAACTAACTAACTAAAAACTTTTTTTTAAATGCTGCCGTGTTTAAAACATTGAAAGTCAGCATTAAACATAACATCACTTAAACAGTCACTTCTTACATTTTCTCTGATCAGATGGCTATCATTTTACATTTAAATTAACATTTTAAATTAAACTGTAAATGCATCTAGTTGTAGACATGTCAATTTTACTCCTCCCAAAATGGTAAAAAGAAAAAAGTATGAGAGCGTGTTATCAGAAAATACCTGTCCGTTGGTACACCGACCCACTTCAGATATTTCCTGATGTTCGTCATCAATTAAATCTAATCAGAAACCAACATTCTGTGTAATAGCAGACAATTTCAACACATTTCTGAACGTTAACCAGATATCTTTGATTACAGGTTCGTGAGTTGCTACAAAGAAAGCTGTCACTACAGAAACTCAGTTCCAGCCATACCAATGTAAATGCTATTCTATAATAGTACATCCTAAAAGCATATGTGCTCTATAGGACTTTAACTAATGTTCAACCAGTTTCTATATACACTTTGACATTGACTCTATGTGATTTATTTGTATTTATATTACCTCACAGAGCACCAGTGCAGGATCATCATCCACACCTCGATTCAATTTCTTGCCATGGATCCGGCGGAGGAGTAAGTAGATGACATACATCTAAAAACAAACATTTACATTATTAATAATGAGAATATAGTTATTATTCATGAGTTATATTTATCATTTAGATAAATGTCTGCTTAATGAATTTATGCAAAGATAATAGATGTGTGAGTAACATACATCTAACTATTTGCAGAAGTGTACAACGTGTCTGAAGCCAACACTTCCTCAGCTACAGACCGCTCCAACAGCTCATATGCCATTTTGAACACTTAAAAGACACTCCAAAAGTGTTTCCTATACTGCAATGTCTGTTAGTATTTGGTGTAAGAAATGTTTCAATGTTCTGATATGACAGAAATAAGGTTACAATATGACTTTTATACTGTATTGTTAATATACATTGGTTAAGGGTGTAGACTTTTTTTGTATACTTAAAAATGGGGTATTTTTATAACAACACTACTCAAGGGTTTCCTTTATTTTGAGAAGATTTTTATATCAGACATTTTAAATGAGACATTCTTGTCCAGTTTCATAACACCCTATGTTCTGCCCTGTTTTAATTAATTCAGTGTGTTCCCAAAATGATTAATCCAACTGAATTAAATGCATCTTCAATGATCTCAAACATGTGTTCTCCTAATAAAAGGTGTTGATGGCCATTGGGCTGTTGAAAATTGAGACTAACTCAGCCGAAATTATGAATTGCAATCTCATTGATCTGACACGACACGACAAATTGTTAAGGAGTATTTTAAATATGGTTTTATTTTACTAATGACTTGCCTTACAAGTGAAATGGCATGGGATTGTCACAAATGTATGCACAGACTCAAGATGAAGCAGAATGAAGTTACACAATCAAATAAAAGAACACAGAAACTAAAGAAATACAAACTAAAAGTCCCTGAAAACTAAAATAACTGAGAGTACGTTTACACTACATAACTGAGAAGTTTTTCCTTGTTTCCTTGGCATTATCCGTGTACAGACGACACCATTGTCACAACGATTCCCATTCACGTGGATCCCCAAAAAAACAACAAAACGCTGTATTCTGCTAACAGGCCGTTAGATGGCGATGAAACACATTGAACATGATTTGATTTCACTGTTTTCAGAAAAGCGCATTTTTGCCTTTTCAGAAACTTGCACTTTGAACCAAAACGTCGTTAATGAACGGCCAAACCACATAAAAAGTTTTATGTTTTGGTCGAGAATGGTGTATAGGGGCATAGTTTGGGATAAACAAAACTAAGTAGGCCCACAAAAATGCTAACTAGGCTATTGTTTTATTTTAGTTATTTGTGTATTTATTTAAAAAACAACAAACAAACGAATGGCTCTCATGAGATTCCCCCCCCCACCCCCCCACCCCCCCAAAAAAAGGATTTTCAGGTAAGTTATCAGATGTATGATCATGACTGTCTGACATGACAATGTTGTTCCTCACACAACAGTGTCTTTCCTCATTCCTTGTTTAGGCTACTTTGGCCTGAAAAAGCATTTAGCATATTTTACACTTTTCCAGCAATTTTCACCAAATCGCTTTTCAAACAAGTTTTATTTGACAACCCCCAGTTATGATGGTTAAGCTAGTATAGCCTAAGTAGCCTAACCATTAGCAGTCAAAAGTCTTAACTTTTTTTTTACCCTAAATGTATAGCAGATAAGGGACAAACATGTCCTACACAAAAAAAAGCCCTCTTTATGTAAAACAAAAAACAAAAACAACAACTAATAATCAAAATAAAAATATTTAAAAAGTTACGTCTAAAGGAATTCTGGATCCTCAGGACATTCGTTGCTTTTATTTTTTAAATAAATTCTTTAGTATTATTTTAAATACATGCTCTATACTTAAAATGCATGTGATGAAACCTGGTTCATCACAAGCATTTTAAGTATAGAGCATGTATTTAAAATAATACTGCTGTGGGTAGCATGAGGTCACAATGTGAAACTGTGAAAGTATTAAAATAGTAGTAGTAAAATATTCAGTTTTGTCAACTCTGTCAGATGTCAACTCCTTAAGGAGTGAACAACTTTATATAAATAACTTTACATATATTTAACAAAAACAAATTATAAATAAAAGCAATTACATTTATTTGCAATTTATTTGTTAGTCTGTTATGTTATTTTTGGAAGAAATCTTAATTTCATGCACCAGATGTGGGCCTCCATGCATGTCTTATAGGCCCAGTGTATATGTGTTAAGGGCATTGGGGGCCCACATCAATGTTTTGTTTTGTTTTTTCTTTTCTTTTTTCAGGGGGCCCAGAATTCCCTTGCTACGACCCTGGCTTTGTGCATGAGCTGCATTCAGTTTAACTTTTGAGTGACATAAAAATGCCAAAATAGCAGATCATTTAGTGGCTGTTGAACGATTTAGATAAAAATTTGTAGAGACGTGACATTTGATGAAAATATTCTCCCTCAGAGTAAGTCGCTTTTACCTCATCTCATGATGGCCGAAGATATTTGTGGACATACCCATATCAAATGGAAGGAGGAAGTCTGTCAGTTGTGTGATTGTGACTCAATACAATCACACAACTGTGACAATAAGGGTGCACCTGTGAGATAGTCAACATCAAGCACCTGACAGACTTTCTCCTTCCATTTGATATGAGTATGTCCCTACAAATATCGGAAAATCATGTCATGAGATGAATAGATCTCACTGGCTGCTTTATTAGATATACGAACAATTCATTAATGCAAATTAACATCTAACCACTTGACATGGCACCAGATCAATGTAGAGATGGTCAAGATAATCTGCTGAAGTTCAAACTGAGCATCAGAATGGGGAAGACATGTGATTTAAGTGAGTATAAATGTTTGTTGGTGCCAAACAGGCTGGTGTAAGTATTTCAGAAACTGATGATCTAGCAATTCATGTATTACTTAATCCATTAATCATAAGACTCATTATTAGTTGCTGATGCAATAATAATAAATTAATGGTTTAGTTCTTCATGAGTCATACATTAACATCTGAATTAGTTAAAAATTAATTAATGCATATTAGTGCACCCGTACCGTAAAGTGTTACCGAGTTCACTATAAAATGTATTGATGGAGTACCTGGAGTAACAATTTATCTGAACCTTCACTAACTCATAAGTTAGAAGTTAGAAGAACTTTAAATTTGTATTATTTAATACACAAATAAGTTAATAATTGAAATATTAAATATGAAATATTAAGTTATATCATATTGACTAAATAAATCCAAGTTAGCAACAGCACACATGCTAATGTAAATATCAAAGAGACTATCTGTCATGAGTCAGGTTATCTTCTCTTTGCTTCTCACTATCCCTTTGCACACACGCGCACACACAAACACACATTTTCTTGCATTTTCTGTTTTGAGATCTCCCTCTCTCCCTTTCTCTCTCTCTCGATTGTTCACCCTTTATCTCTTCATCTAGGCTAGTGTTTGTTTGTTCACGCAGTACTTTGTCAAATTTTTGTTACACGTCATGCGTTACAGCTGCTGCTCCCTTATCATATCTGAATAGTTTAGGAAGAACTCACCTTGTTTTGTTTGTCCGGTATCTACTGCCTTGACTTATGATCGCTTATGATCTGCTGCGTGTGGTACTCTGCGGTCCTCTTTATCTGGCTGAGATACCTACTTGAGCAGGGGTGGCTGGCCAATAGAGAGTGCTAGGGAATATTTGCTTGCAAAAATCACTCAAAATTGTTTTGGGTAATACTTTTTTTATTTAATCAGCTAATTAAGTAATCACTAAGTATATTTTTTGAGTTCGATTTCAAATGGAAAGTTTATGGAATACGTTTGTTTTTGTGCAAGAATGCCTCAACCTTGGCATTAATAATTACTTTTCACAGAGCACTGGTAGCCTATTTGGGTGGTTATTAATTATAATACGAATTGTTAATTATATAGCCTTTCCAACACCCTAGGTCGCTTTACAATATAGGCTAGGTTAAGAAATAATAATAAAAAAAAAATAAATAAACCTCAACATCAAAGATGACAGAAAGTAATATTCAGAGGTTACTTACAATAATCTCTTACAATATCCATAACAAGGCAGAGGCCTACATCAAAGCGTACAAAAATAAGCATGTCATGGAACCTTTAAAGATTGTGAGCTGAAGAGTAATATCAGAGACTATTTAAAAGGAAAAGGGAGGCTTACTGCGCTTCTGTAAATTGCCAAACGATCCGGTGCAATCAGGGCAGGACAAGACCAAACAGAAAGGGAGAATCACCGGTGCAAAAATCTTCTTGGTAACAAATTTATTAGAGGTGCAAAACTTGACTAACGTTTCGATGTAAAACTACATCTTCATCAGAGTCCTTGAAGGACTATCTATGATATACTTCACAGTTAAGTTATATTACTTTTAATACGATTTAATATGAAAAACGATATGTGCTTTCACGTCAGAGAGTCTCCAAAAGTCTCTAATAACAAGTCGTTGGATTTGTCGCTAGTCGCTTTTTTGAAAATTTGTCGCTAAAGGGGTCTGAATGGGCTATATGCACGCATAAGTTCCGCATTTGACGTAAGGATGCTCGTCCATTTCCGGTTGTGGAGATTAAAGAGGAGGAAAACCGAGGAAAACGGGATTATGGCAGAGTCTTCAATATTTACTGTCCTCCCGTCTTTGAAACGAAACGTAGATGTAATTTTATATAGCCTATAGTTATGTTTATTTAATATAATTTTAAAAAGAAGCATAAACACAACGAGGGGTGTCTGTTTTATGTTTTTGTGACTAACGTTTCATTAGTATAACCATGGAGTATAAAATTCAATATAAATTCTCGGTATTGCATTGGACTCTATGATCGGCGGAAGTTATCGAGCATCCTTAATCCTTCACCGGAAATAACGCCGTGCATAGAGCCCATACTCGCTAAATAGAGCAACAAAGTCACTAAGTTGGCAACACTGCCACCTGGCTTGTCACACAGTAACTAAAAAAGGCGGGTCTTTGCAAACAGTCACTATAATAATGCAACGCATTCTCACCCCAAGGCGTCACGCTTTTGCCAATGCGTATACATCCAACTCACATGGCACCCTTTACCGTCAATATCGGTATCAATATCGCTTCGGTTATGGGTAGATTTAGGTCTGGGGTAGGGTTAGGTTAGACCAACCCTGTTCCTGGCGGCACACCAACACTGCGTGTATTCTTTGTCTCCCTTATCAAACACACCTGATTCAACCCATCAGCTCATAATCAGGTGGGTTAATGAGCTGATGGGTTGAATCGGGTGTGTTTGATTAGGGAGACAAAGAAAACACGCAGTGTTGGTGTGCCGCCAGGAACAGGGTTGGGAAACACTGGGTTAGACTACTAGAGGCGCCTTCTGGCCCATATATATCTGCGTCTCATATTGACGCTAAAAGGTGCCATGTGCGTTGGATGTATACGCATTGGCAAAAGCATCAGTATATGACGCTTTGGGATGAGAATGGGCTGAATATTAATGATAAAGATTGATTCTATGATAATGCATGGAATATATGGCAAAGCACCACTAAATAACAGGGCTAATTTGTGGGGGGCGCTGCGTGGTTAGGCTTTGGCAATCAGATGGCTAGTAGTATCTGTTGCTAAAAGAGGCTACTCTGAAAAGCTAAAAAAAAAAAAAAAAAAAAAAAAAAAAACAGTTTTCAGCCAACGGCCTGGAAACTGTTTGGACAGGCCTGAGAAACATCACCAATTACAAGTCACCACCCCTTGTAAACACACACAGGTCTCTGATGCACATTACTCAGTTAGGACGGGTATCTCTCGTAGCTTGTAAAAAGAAACTGTAGCTTAACCTTCATACTGAGATAGCTTAAAATAATAATCATCAATTATTTGGAAGCATTGTCAATTTCATTATTATTGTGAAATGCAATTAGCAACTAAAAAATAAATATAAAATAAAGAGGCATTTCATTACTGGTGTAGCTGTAACACAACATACAGTGAACATCATAAAGACACCAACTGTTTGACAAAGCTAATGATTTAAATGGAAAAGAAAAATACATTACATCAAATACACCAGAAAACACAAATAAAGCTAATTCTATATTAATTATATAAGTTTCTGTTATAAATGAGTGCATCAATCATGCAAATCACAGCATTATAATGAAACATATCCCATATTAAACATTAGATCTGTAAATTATAATCCACTTTTATTCATACTTCAGAACATAGAAACACTTCTTCCCATAAATAAGTAACAGATTGTACAGTTTACATTCTTGCAGTATAGAAAACTTGTTTGGAAAAGGCTGTTTAATATTCAATAAAGTAATAGTTAGTGAGCTGATTATGCATTCATATAAGTACCTAAGTCACCAGAGCTTCTTGAAGATGCTGAGCTGGCTTCAGAAACGTTGTACATATCTGCAAATAATTATTAAATATTATTATTATATATAATATAAATATTATATTAGCAATCTTGTAATCAAGTAATCTTGCATGTCATTATATATATATATATATATATATATATATATATATACACACACACATTTTAATTGTGTAGGAATAATTTATGTTTCCAATTTAATAGTATTTTATATGGAAAAAGTTGATAAATGATGAGACCAGGAAATGTCTGCAAATGGTAGGGGTTCCCAGTGGATATTCCTGACTATCCTAGTACGAGAAGGCCAGGCCTTTCCTGTTCTCTTGTCTCACTTGGTGAAAACTCCTGCTGAGCAAATTTGAACACCTGCTATTTTAATTACTGAGACCGTTTGTCATGGAGTTCTTGTCTCTCAGGTCACCTGCATTTACATTTGCTTTGTTTCAGTGTCTCCACCTCTATGTCATCCCTACCCCTTGAAATGTATATAAAACACAATGTAAAATGCGTTCGTTAGACTTGGCTAAAATTTCTGGATGAAGCAGACTACTAGCCTGGCTAACACCAGACCACGTCCCATTGAGAATGAGAAACCACATATCTTTAAGAAAGAAAAACGTGGTCTGGAAACCACCTATCATTGAGAATGAGACGTGGTCTGGAAATCACATGTTCATTTTCTTGTATTTGAGGAGTGGTTTATGAATGCCCAATGCCGTATTATTGGGTGCTACCACATTCTCTGGTGCTACGAATGTCTATGCGCACAACCGGCACATCCGGGAACTTAACTGTCAATTTAGTCCCCGCCCCCTTTTGGGGGAAACAAACTATATTTCCCATAGACCTTATTCAGAGCAGCGCCATGACAGGTATGAAAGTGAGGCTGTGAGGGATAAACTTACCGTGTTTCCAATGGCATCCGCTGTAAAAAGCTGAATAAAGCTCCTAGATAACTTACAATTTTCCACAGCTTACATTGTCAGGAGATTTTTGTCAATTGAAATTTCTTGGAAAGATTTTTTTCCAGTGTTTCATGAGCAGAACAATCCGAAAACACATTAAATAACAGTACAGCCCATAGAAGAGATGCATGTCTATCCCTCACAGCCTCGCTTTCATTCTCATTAAAAATCAAAGATGGCGCTGCCGTGAATAAGGCGTATAGACTTCAGTACAAAATTACAGCAAAAACCAACGTCTGTACACAGCTGATATGTGTAAATAACTTAAGAAATCACTTAATACACCATGTCAAGTAATTACATGTCCACCCTGCCTGCCATAGTGCGTGAAAGATAAAAAAATTATTAAGTTTTTTAATTATTAAATTATTATTATTAATTATTAATAATTAAGCCCGTTATCAACTAGCCCAGGCTACCTGCATCATCATCATAAATTCATAATATATACATTAAGTTTTTTACTTTACAAAACGAAATAAAATCATTCACTGGCTCACCTGGTGACTCAATGAGGTACAGTACAAATAAATGTCCGGGTAAGACACCTCTGGCCACTGGGTGGGGTTGTTACCCTAATTTGATGCTGGGAGAATAAAGGGACATGTTTTTAAATTGGCTAAATTAAGTTTGTGTATGTATCTTTCAGGCTCTTTGGCAGGCAGGGTGGACATAGAATTACTTGACATGTTTTATATAAGTGATTTCTTAAGTTATTTACGCCCACTGATGGGCAGTAACGCGTTAGAAGTAACGCGTTACTGTAATCCAATTACTTTTTTCTAGTAACGAGTAAAGTAAGGGATTACAATTGAAAAAACAGTAATTAGATTACCGTTACTTCCCCGTAAACAGCCTGCGCGTTACTGCGTTAGTTATCCATGATTTTGTTTAGTCAGACCGTCTCGTGACATGAGTCGTGCGTGCTTCGCCCGTGCACGCCGTTGGTTCCGTCGTGTTGAGTATGGAGAGAATGACCAGCACTGTGTTATCAGCTGTTTCCCTCACATGCACTAATGGATGTCTGATGATTTCAGTGCGTTCTCTCCCTCCATGCAATAGATGCACACCCTTGAATGAGCGCGGATTTCTAGTTCATTTACTTGGAGTTCTGAGGTAATATCTTTGGTTTGACCCATCCGAGGAGCTGGCGGCCAAAATCAGATTGTATAAATGGACTGAATAAAGCTCTTTACGAACTTGACGTGAGATGCCGACTGACATATGTGCTTGCCTTGACTCACTGTCACATGCACAAGCTTAGAGCAATATTGTAAGTAATTAATACATTTTTAACTAGCAGAATAATAATGCATCACGATGCACATAGTTGACTGCTTGATTGTTGTGAGAAATATGTGTGATCTGTGTTATGTACTTGTATACATGGTCTTAACTAATTGCCCCTTGTGTGAGATTAATAAAGTTAATAAAAAAGTAAAGTATATAGTCTCACTTTTAGATACGTCTTAACTATTATAATATTTCGAAGGGCAAAACATGAACTTTAACCATTGGCTTTACTTTTTCAATCAGCAGTCAATTCAGCGCGAGGGCAGCATAGCATTAGCACCTCAGCTCCACCCGCGTCCCGCCTCTTTGCCCATTTTAATTTATCCGGTAGTGACGAGAGGTGACGCACTGCCAAGATGGCGACGGCCGGCCCCGCCAATTTTAGGCTTCAAAAACGCTCTTCAGAAACCTATGGGTGACGTCACGGACACTACATCCATATTTTTTTACAGTCTATGGTACGGACGTTGGTTTTTGCCGTTATTTTGTGTGTGTTTTCCCCCAAAAGTGGGCGTGCCGTGAACCTATAGAGCTGGTAAGTCCCGCCCATCCGTAAAACTTCAAGTGGACCTCTAGGTTGAAAAACCGTCAATGCAAGTGAATGAGAGAAAATATTTATTTTCCCTCCACAAATCACCACGCTCAACTAGTTTGTCCTCGCCCTTAAAGAAGGTGGTGAAGTGCACCAAAGACACAGGCATGTTTAGCGGGATCCGTGTGCTAGTGGGGGTGATGTATATCAAACACGTTGAAAGAGTTGTAGTCCACAAAGTGCTCTCACACAAAGTCTAACCGTATGAAAATTCTACCCGCTAAATTGTAGCATTCTTTACACGAAACATTATATAAAAAATTCACAGACAACATATGTTACATTCATTGCACAATTCAAACGGGATTAGAAAATAATTATTTTCTCTCATTCACTTGCATTGACGGTTTTTCAACCTAGAGGTCCAGCGGAGTTAGCGGAAGGGGCGGGACTTACCAGCTCTATTCAGAGAAATTTTATGACGCAGTGCCGGTTGTGCGTATCAGTTGCGCCTGTACGTAGCTCATAACCAATCAGTTCAATGATACCAGATGACGTATGTAGAGTGAAAGAAAATTAGACAAGGATGAAGACGATGGGTCAGAGATTTAGGAGATTTATGTACACATGTAATAATGAAAATAAGGCTGTTTCAAAAGCTAACTACGCATCTGCTGCCAAGATGAATACATTATACAAACAAACTGTTTCGGTGAGTCGCATGTGCATCGTCATCTTCTTGCTGCCATAGACAGTACTGCTCCCTCCCCATTCTGTGATTGGTTTCCTATCTCAAGCAAAAATCTGGTTCATGATGTCCAGGCTGCCTAGCAGAGTGAATAAAATCGCGCTGTGGCAAAGCAGCATGGGCAAACCCAGGCTAGCAGACTACAGTGATGCAATAGAAATAAAGAATCCTGCCTAACAAGATACAACCAAGTCTCCTGGACTTCACCTCTGAGTCCCTACACTTTAGAAGAAAAAGGTTTCCAACAATTACAAGACTATTTATCCTACCCATCATTTGAAAGAAACCCGGCCCATTTGAAGATGATAGTCCTGCACCAGTCCTCTGTAATACAGAGATTTAAAATATCAGTTGTAAACGGAGTACAAATATCATTAGGAAGAACTCCGATCAGATGCATTATGATGGAATTTACCCTGGTAGGGTTAGAGCTGGTAAGGTTCCTTAGTGACAGCTTTCCTACCAGTGCCTCACGGATCTGTAACCATATGCGACAAAACGAATTAAAGCACTGCGAGTAGAACTGAATGCTTATAAGATCATTTTAACAATGATTAACACAATTGTTTATCAAATTGCAATGTAATAAAAATCAATTCATACCTTGCTGTCTAAAAGCGTTCCAAACACCAATATAAAGAATCCCTGCAGAAGTATTACAAAAATATGAGCAACATTTTATAAATAAATAACACTAGATGCAATGCTGTTAAATTTCATATTCATAACAACATTGGAAATAACTTAATGCATCTTTCTAAGGCTTTAAATTGGATTGTTGTAATGACATAATATCATAATTGTTGAATTATTTCTGTTACAATTATTGCTTTAAAGTTAGCATTTAAAAAAAGCAAAATATAACCTATAAAGTCAGAACAGAAAGATAGAAAGTGATACCTGCAGTGAATTGAGGAGTGCAAACACCACATGAATGCCACAGTTACAGGAAAACATGGTTCCAATTCCAAATGCCCAAGTTAGACCAAAGATAGGAGTCAATATGGCCACACACCGGGCAATGACCACCAGGGCATGTTTCTCATCCGGCTGAGTTGTGGCACCAACTCCTCTTCTCAACATCTTATACAGAACCACAATCAAAACCACAAGGTTTATGGCTACAATAGTGAGAGCTGGAATCACAAATGCCAGCAGGGCCTTAGATTCATTCCAGTTCAGCCAGCATGCTAATTCTTTCGTGATATATTCCTCAGGTCCAGCTGTCGACGCAACAGTAATGACCGCTATGAGCAAAGGCGCACCATAACCGACTATGAAGGCAATGGCCATCATTCTGGCCCTTGACATTTGGGACAAGACCATGACTGTCCGGTAAAAGAGCAACAGCGCTGAAATTAACATCCAGAAGAAAAGAGCCAGGTAAAAAAAGTGCATGAAGAAAACCGCTGGACTGCAGCGACCCACTGATGTTGGCTGCTCTTGTTCTGCGACTGCGGCTCCAATGATAAAACAGATGTTTGCGATCAGCAGGGACACGGCAATGTTGACTATGGACACATGTCGCATGTAGGATGTGTCATTTCTTGTCATTGACTTCCACGCGATAATCTCGATAATGAGGCACAAAATCAAGATGGCCATTGAAATAGTTACACCAATGTATGTTATATAGGCTAAGGCTTTGCCTTTTGGTGACAACGGTAAAAACGGTGAAAACGGTGATATTAGGATTGAAAAGGAGGTTGTGTGGTTGCATTCACATGTTATCTTGCCAGTTTGATTCACTGAGGGCTTTACTTCACATCCATTGGAATCCCATGCGTCAAGACTGAAGTTCCAAAAGACACATTGAGGATTTCCCAAAGAGGCATTCGCAATGTCAAACGCAAAAGAAATGTTGTTAACCACTGGGCTCACTTTAACAACAACCACATCTCCGTTGATGCGCACGTTATTATTAGTGTCATTTTTATTGCTAGTATTACGAGTAGGTAGGACATTATCAAGAGTTGTGAAGATTGTGGTGGTTATGGAGGTGGACACAGGAATCTGTGGTATCAGAATCTCAGTAGCTGAGTTTTCGAGTTTTGATTTTTGACTATATGAGGAGCTGGTTGTTAAAATTTTATTCAACTCAATAGATTTTTCAATTATTGTAAAATTGTCATCTGTGAGACGGTCGCTTATATTCTCAATAGCGCTCAGAAGTGCAACACTGGCGTTTGATGTGTTGTTGGCATTCAATTCTGTCCATGATGAACTGCTTCCTTCTGAAACAAGGACATTCACTGCCGTAAGGAAACCCTGGAAAACAAATTGAAAATAAAGTTTAGAAGAAATAATTTTTCAAGAAAATATACAAATATTATATTGTGATAAGTTGGTAATGCTTTTTATGAAGACCATGCATATAATGAATTATAGCTCCATTAACACTAATTTATACGTAAGTATTATTATTTTATAAATGTATTTATAAAGACTCAGTAAGACCTATACTGCATTATAAGAACATTTATAGTTACATTTATATTATTTTTATAATAATAAGCCATCCATTACTTTTTCAATGTGCATGCTCATAATCCATTATACACTGATTTATAAGTTATTTATTCATTACTCAGTCGTATGGTTCCCTGAATGCATTTATAAAGATACAACCTGCATTGCTATCATGTTCTATATTACTTTAACTACTTGCTGGTTACAAAACAGTCCACACTTCCGAAGAATTACTGATGTCCATTTTTTTTTTATGTATTCCAGAGACACCTTGAAAAGTAGATTTAAGTCAGGAGCACTATCATGCGGTCTTAGTTTCACATCTCATCATTACATTGACGCTGACACGTCCAGGTGAATTAATCAGCACACACAGGATCACATGACACTCAACTTCAACAATAGAATAATAATAAAATACAAATGGCAAATTATGAAATTCACAATACAGAAATGCACATTTAAACTATGAAGTCCAAAAATAACTATAAAGTCAAAATAAACATTAACCGCTCAAATCACCAAAATATCATCCCCTCAGCTGACCTTCCAGCGTCAGCTACAATTACAGTAACAACTTCTGTCAAATAAGTGATATATATTGTTATTAATAGCCATGTTATGTTCTTATAAATAATTAGCCTACTGTGAGTAACAATACCGTTAATAACCTCTATAAATGCATCATTGATAGCTTTAAGTAAAGTGAAAGCATAGTATTCTAATGTTAAGAAATCATGAAGATGTGCTCATCATACATTTTAAGTTGTTTATTTGAGGAGATTTTAACAAATCGATTACCATTCATGATCTCTAATGCAAACATTAGGCATTAAATATAATCAATAACTCATTGGTACAGCAAACAAGGGTCTCTGTTTTATAATTCAACTCTAATATCAACTCTTTTATTGATAATTTAAAAATCAGAGTATAATTGATTATGAGCATGCACATTGAAAATACAAAAGGTTTGTAATTATAGAAATAATATAAATGTAGCTATTACTGTTCTGTAGGTCTTAATGAGTCTTTATAAATATATTTATAGAAAAGCAATACTTATAAGTATAAATTGAGCTATATATAATTCATTATAAGCATGGACTTCATAGAAAGTGTTAACAAAATGTTTTTTTTAAAAGTAGTTACAGTGGCTAGCCACAGTTTGACAGATGTATTTCATGCATACATAATGTACATACCTTCATCACAGGCTCACCGATGACAATGGATTGTGAGACCTCAGCAATTCTTACAAGTATGTCAACAATTTTTTCGACAGTCACAGAAGACTGTGTTATCTCGTCTTTATTGTCCACTGTAGCAGTGCTAAGCTGACTAATAACCTCGGGTATCTCTTGTGGAACCAAATTCTAATAAAAGAAAAGAAGAAATGTAAATATCAGAAATATTTTAAATGGACAGTTGATTTATTTTTCACTAATACATACAGTAGATGTTGAAGATTACCTCAACTTTCTTTTCAATTTCTATGATAACTTGAAGTATACAGTCCCTGACAGTCTCCAACCATTCAGATGATTTACATTGATAAGTTATAGTGCCTTCTTTGCCTTTTTCACAGGGTCCTTTCACAATGTCATCTTCTTTTCCATCTCCAAGTGTTTTATTGATACAGGTCAACACTGGAGAAAATATTTTATTGATTTTCAGAAAAACAATTATTTCTTTTAGACAGCTGAACAGATAAAAGAGCATTCAGCTGCATCAAATTATGAAAAACTGAAGGTTTACCCTCTTTGACTTTCTGAATTCTGACTTTGCTCTGGCCATAAGAGAAGTCTTGAAGAGCAGAGTTTCTAAGTCGGCATGTAAATTCTTCAGTATCACAATCTGTGCTCTTGATTTCATGGTTTAGTGTGGCACACCCGTCTAATTCCATAAAGGGTAAATAGAATCATGGTTGGGGGGGTCAATAAAACTTGTCACTTGCAACTGAAATTATTAACGAATATATTGTCTGTCTGTAAGTACAACCTGGAGATATCTCTTGATCATCAGTATTCCACACCACAGCATAGTTTGGTTCGCAGCATATCAGCTCCACGGTCTGATCCTTACACTGAAACTGTCTTTCGTTTTGACCCACATTAATATTGGGAAGTGGTGCAATAACTATATCTTGCCACAGAATGTAATTTATTTCCCTTTTAATGATACATTCGTATTTACCTGCAAGTAAAAATAAATAAATAAATAAATATTGCAGAAACATGTTCCTTGTTGCTAGAAACATGTTCCTTGTTGCTAGACACATAACCAAAATAATGTGAAGCTAAAAGCTCTGATTTTTGACAACTATAGACTCCTCCAGACCACAAATCAGTCTGGATATGTTTATATTTGTACATATTCCCCTCTGCTTAAAAAACCCCATCTTGACCAATCTATCCTTAGTAATTTTAGACCCATCAAAATTACCTTTTATTTCAAAGCTCTGAGAAAGAGTTGTATACTGTCAGTTGAATTTCTATATCAGTATGTCCAATATTTTAAATACTTTTCAGTCGGGTTTTAGATCAATGCACAATATGGAATCCAACATTTTATCTACCAGCTGAAAGTGACATTAGTTATGCTTCGGATGCTCTTAAAAATTATAATGGGATTCCTCAAGGAGAGTGGAGGCTTCACCCTGGATCAGTGCGTTTGATTTGGGATCGATTCAGGAGGATGGACGAGGACGTATATGACTAATTAGGGGAATTTGAATGCAATAGAAATCGAATTGAATTAATTAAACTATTTAGTGGATATATTTAAACCACATTAAAAAAAATACTGTGGGCATATAGCGATGGATAATCAGACTAGTTTAAAACTACGATAAAACCTGTGATACAGGTGATTCCATTTTTTAAAAAGACAAAATCATTGTAATATTCCAATAAATTGACTTGTTTGCAATGCGGATTAACATTGTTAGATTATTATCAAACTAATTATTTGCATTTGTGTGGGCTACTGGGCTTGGTAATCTACAAATATGCAATCCCATCTCTTGAGAACCTATATCGTTCGTACAGGTAGCTGTCATTTAATGCCAATGGGTCTGACCTGTCTCTGAAAGTTCTCTCTCTTTGAAATGCCCTCCGCAAGACTATAGCTCCCTCATCCAACACCTCATCTATGAAAGGACACGCCATGGTTAAGTTTGGAAACGAGTTCAGCTCCCTAGTATTTATCATTAAACAAACTCACCAATTAAATACACAAGTTTTGAACATTTCTTAGTGCATTTATACCTTATAATTTCTTACATTTATTAGTAAATTACATTTCCTTATTTATTTAAAAAAAATTGCATTAATAGTGGTTAAGTAAAATAAAATGACATCAAAATACCAGCAGGTGAGTATAAATTGTATGCTCGATAAGCCTGAACTCAGACTTAGCCTGACAGTTAGCCTGCCCCGGACCAGGCTAGTTTCCCAGCTTAAGTTTCCAGGGTAACTGAGTTTGAACTATTTTAAGTTTGCTTTATGGAACAGAATTCAACGACAATAAGTTTGACTAACCAAAATAAGCCTTGCTTATTTTCTAATCTTGTTTTATGGAACAACCATCAGGTCACTTTCTCTGTATGGAAAAGAGCAGCCAATTATTTCTTATTTGGTGCTTCATGGAAGGAAGTAACTTTTAATTATTGAATGAACACAAAGTACAGATTTGATCATGATTCATAAGCCAGAGTAAACAAATACTGCATGTTTCAAGCTTTGACTTACACCCAAGTATAGTGGAAGTAGACCTAATAAATAAAGGTAGATTGTTCCACAGCTTTAGGCCAGATAACACATATACGCAAAAATGACACAGCTTTAATCTTGACCTATGAACAGTCAACATATTATTGATAGGAAAAAGATACATGTGACTCACCTTTGTCTTTCTCATCAACTTTTTTCACAGTGAGAATGCTACCATCTTCTGAAGTAGTAATGGAGTATTTTTCGTTCTGTATTATAACGTCATCATTCCATTTCCAACTTATGTCACCAAGAACAGAAACTGGGCGTTTACATTCCAGTCTCATATCTTGCTCAGGATACCATGGTGTAGAGGAAAACCTGGTTTGTTCTGAAAGTAAAATAAACCTTTTTCATTTTTGTTAAAGGTTATAAGCAAAAATCATGCTTATAAAAACAAAAATGGTAGAACTTTCCAGATTATATACTGACTACCTTACCACTTTCAGCAAAAGCATCCACAGCTACAGGATATCCACTGGATTTGAGATTTTTGGCAACCTCATTGTTTGTATCTGCAAAAGTAGCTGCGCTGCTGATTGTTGAAGATACTTCATAGTCTACTATAATGCTACCAGGCCTTTGGAGCAACACACAAATCACAACAATAAGAAGACTGTCTTAACACAAGCTGTAAAAACCAAAATGGACCTTTTGAGTCAAAGTTTAGATTGTAGACCTTACCTGAAGCCAGTGACACGTACTGAACCTTTGAACGTAGGCACAGTGTGGTAAGTTGTGTTAATCTGTACAAAGTAAGAGTAACCACTGTACATTAGCAAGTATACTTACTGTACCTCTGATAAAATGTAAATGAAAGTATGCCGTCTAATATGAAATTATTCTGTGGCAAGAACCAGAGATATATAGAGACTAAACCTGACCATGCAGAAAATGATCATTCTTTGGGCTCCACTCCTGTCATTAGACAGATATCTTTATGTTATCTGGTCTGGATAGTTATTTGTGTATATAATGTGTTACGCCATGTGACGAATGTTTTTTTTTTTTTTATGTGTGTGTTTATCTGCGTTCTGGTGTTTGCTTGTTTTTGTCTGTGCAGATTGCTCCAATTAGTTAGCAGATTATTTTGTTTGTTATTTTTGGGCCCCGTTTCCTGAGGTAATTTGCATTATATTTTAATTACACTTTATTATTTGCTTCTCGCTTCATGGTTACCATTTTTGAAAATCAAAAAAGTTGTGACTCTGGGTCTGGAGATGGATACATCAACGTCTCCCCTAACTGTTGTTGTTCGTTTCTTTAAGTATAAACAATCAATACATTTTCTACACAAAATATGAAACACTCACCACTGACTGAATATCACCAGCATAGCGTTGGTACTTCTCTTCATTGGGGTCGCTGAGACTGGTATCAAAATCTTCATCTAATTTCATTGACATTTTAACTGTAAACCAGACTAAACAAGACAAAAAATGCATTTATTTATGTTTTTCTGTCACCTTTTCCATTCACCCACCACATTTATGACCATCAGCAGGACAAAGTAATGGTGGTGGATTCAAAAACACATGAGTAAAGAACCAAACATCTCTGTATAGCCTACCTGACGAGTCATTGTTGTCAAAGTCTAAGTCGAGTCGCAAGTCATCTTTGAATATGTCAAGTCGAGTCGCAAGTCATAAAATTTGGGACTCGAGTCCAAGTCAAGTCCGAGTCATTTGACTCGAGTCCACAACCCTGCATTTTATAGTCATTTATAATGTAGCATATACACAAATAAAAATTTTGCACCATTTGTGCAAAAATATTTCATTAGCCACTCACACATTAACTTTGTGCTCAATCACTGTTAAATATGAGGGGATTTTTCCTTGGAATTTTTTTCCCCCTGTAAGGGGTCCCTGGCACCAAAAGGTTTGAGAACCCCTGCTCTAAGGGAGTTGTTGTGTAGACTGGGTGTTATGACCAGTAGTCTCTTCAGTGACCCATTATGCCATGTGCAGTCCAGCCGTGTCTTCCCCTTGACAGACTCATTCTGTCGTCCCTGTTGAGTACGCTCCCACTTCCCTTGGATTGGGACTACCTCAGGGATTGCCATTTGTTTCACTATCCCCCTGGGCTAGTACATATGTGTATTCCAGGCCTTCATCAGGTGGCTGGCGTTCGCAGCGTTCCCTTCCCCGTGTCGGGTTAGGGCACGCTTTCCCAGTATTATCCAATGTCCACTGAATGGGTCTTGTGGAACAGCAGCGTGACTCCCTTGCTATTCCCCGCTTTTCGTGTAACTGCTTTGGGTAGCGTAGCTAGGCGCTGGAAGGGGCCAGCACCATGGCGTTTTGTCAGGGATCCCAATTCATCAGGGAACTCCCCGACGACACGTTGGAGTTCCTAGGACGAAAGGGAACGTCTTGGTTAAGTATGTAACCCGTTCCTTGAGTACAGGGAACGGAGACGTGTCGTCCATTCGCCATGTTGCTGTACCTTCACGGAGGACTGGACTCTGTTCGGCTCCTCAGCGAAAAGCACCATGCAATGTTTACTTCTGCTTTTTATATCTGCGTTAGTAGGCGGCTAATGCAAATTTTGCATGCCAATATTATTGGCTCGTTTTTAATTTTCTCAAATGCAGTTGGCTCCCTAGCATGATCCCAATTCATTAGGAAACTCCCTGATGACACATCTCTGTTTCCTGTACTCAGAGAACGAGGGTTACATACGTAACACTTTTTCATAGGGCACGTGTGTCAACGACAAGCTGAGGTTTTCGCGAATATACCCTACATGGAGATTTAAAATCCAAAGAATCAAGGATAGTCTATCTACAGTACATGTGACTTTCATGTTTCCATGGTAATCAGTCACTCATGCATTAGCCTATGGCACGCCCATGCTCGCACCCGTGGCGAATCCATTAGTTTCATTGAGTTCAAAAACTCTTCATACCTTTTTCACGAAAAAGTCGAGCACTGTAAGTAAGTTGTCATGTGGTATCCGAATTGTGTTGCACAATGATGAATAACTCCGCCTATTTCTCTTGTTGAATAATTAATAGGTTTTGTTGTAAATTCACTACCCAAACAAACATGCAATATGCAATATTATCATTTTTTACTCGTAATGCATTTTATTTTCACAGATATGTTATCAAAGCCCTTCAAATTAGAATAAACATAGTGAATGTTAATGGTGAATTTATATTTTCATGCATTAACCGCCACAATCTGCTTAAATCAGGCAGTGTTGCAATGTGTACATGATTTTTATCATAATTTGGTAACACTTTACAATTAGAAAAAAACTTTTGTAGACAAACTTTAAGTTCTCTTGAAAAAGCATAACTAGAAAGTTTGAAGTAGTTTTAAAAGCTTGAAGTTTGAAGGTTTTCAATTGAAAGTATTAGTTTAGCAAGACAGACTTTGTTTAGGCTAGTAAGAAAATGTAATTTTGCCAAAAGAAGAACTGTGTAATATTTAAAGGTCCCCTGACATGGGTTTTTTGTATTATTTTATAATGTTTCCTGGGTTGCCCTTATAATGTTAGTATGTTTTTTAGATCAAAAATAGTCATAATTTAGAAATAAAAGGCATTTTTCCTAGCCTGATTTTAGCCTCTGCTTAGAACGGTCTGTTTGAAGGGGCGTGTCTGCTGTGGGATTCAATTCAACCGCCCACTGCTGTGATTGGCTGACATGCTTGCATATGAAAGAGCTACATATTACATGTGAAACTCTCTTGAATACGTTTTACTACAGCTATTATACGTTTTTACTATTACAGATATCGAGATTACTGATTCGTGAAAGTTTTTGAAGTATTTAGATTCTCATCACATAAAATGTTGCTGTGATGAGCATTTGAGCAGATGCCAGTCTGTCGATCACGAGAATGAAGATCTTATTGTATAACACAGTTTATGCACTCTCTGCTTTCACCAATGCAGACACAATGATGTACATACAGTAAGAGCTTCATTGTGTAGAGTAACGCAGTTTCTGTTCTCTCTAAGATTCTAGATCAGCGCGTCTAAGATGCAGATGGATGCAGAGAAGAGAAAAATAGCCTATGCTCGGTTTACACTAATTGAAAATTCTAGACACGAGGGGACCAAATACAGTCTAGGGGAACTCATATTAATGTTAAAAATCCTCAGAAAATGAAAATTTCATGTCAGGGGACTTTTAACTATATTATCATGCTTAACAACGATAATTTGAATAATTGCAATGGCATGTTTAGATATCTAAATCAGAGAATATCAAATGTTAGGGCTGTTGGATTATTTATTTTCAACAGCGGATTCGGGGGACTGAAAGTGCACCAAATTAATGAATTAATTTTTTTTAAAGTAAAAAAAATTAAAATTCTGGAGGTACCGAGATCTACCTACAAGAATACTGTGGGTAACACAGTAGACTGTATAAAAAATAAATTTTTTATCTTATTAAAGATGCATTGCGCAACATTTCATGTTAAAAATAGCCGTTTTCTAACCCATAAATGCTTAAACAATCGCCTGATGGGCTGAATGAGCCCTTCTCTGATCACTGAGATCGCCTCTATAATCCTGTACAGTAAAATAAATAAGAGGGATTCGGGCTCGAATCTGAGACTGGCCGTGACGTCATGCGCGTTCACGCTCGCCTGGCTATGTGCCTATGCCTTGTAGGTAGTGTATTCGCCGCCATTCTCCGTATCAGTGAAGACAACTCGAGCGACACAACTTTAGTCAACTTTCCACAAAAGTAGAAGATGGATTCAAACTCTTCATGTGCTCTCTCTCCTCCAGACCAGCACGCACCTCTCCCTAGCCCTTGGTTATCTGAGGTTCTTTGTGAACACCAGACCAAACTCAGAGCAGCGGAGAGGAAATGGGGCAAATCAAAAGACACATCTGACCTGAGTATGTATCTATCGCTCTCTGCCTTTTCGATTGATGTTCACGCTGCAAAGTCTTCATACTTCCACAACAAGATCAACAACGCCCCTAACACATGCTTTTTAAGACATTCAACTCTCTCCTCTGTCCACCTCCACTACCACCCACCTCCTCGCTAACGGCTTATGATTTTGCTTACTTTTTCACTAACAAAACAACAACTATCAGCAGTCAGTTCTCTAATCCGCACACACAGGAACCTAGACCAACCACTCCCACAGCAAGTAACCTTCTCTCCTCCTTCTCTCCACTAACCGAGGAAGAAATGTCTAAATTACTCCTCTCCAGTCATCCTACCACCTGCCCTCTAGACCCCATCCCCTCACTCCTTCTACAAGCCATCTCTCCCAAACTTCTACCAGCTCTCACACACATTATCAGCTCTTCCCTAAAAACTGGCATTTTTTCTACAGCATTTAAGCAGGCTCAGGTAACTCCACTGCTTTGAAAAAAACAACATTAAACACATCACTTTTAGAGAATTACAGACCTGTCTCTTTCCTATCATTCATTGGGAAATTGAACAACGGCTTGTGGTACCATCACAAAGAGCCACTAAATCATTCTCCAGAACATTCTCATTCACGGCTCCACGCTGGTGGAATAATCTGCCCGTCATCATTCGGAATGCAGAATCCCTGACAGCATTCAAAAGTCAGCTGAAAACTCATCTCTTCCGTGAGCACTTAACATAAAAATAAATAAATGCAACAATGAGCAATGTTTGAACTTTGTATTTTGAGCACTTGTTGTGTTGTTATTGCCTATTCACGGTCCTCAGATGTAAGTCGCTTTGGATAAAAGCGTCTGCTAAATGACTAAATGTAAATGCGGTCATAAGGAGGCCTTTACTCTTGAAGGAAAGGGCAAGACAAAACCATTGACAGATAAAATCCCAGACAAAAATAACAAAGCATATTAGGTTAAAGTGTCTTGATTCTTATATAAATATAACATCAAACAATTATTAGAACAGTGTGAGAAGACGACAAAATAGTGAATCCGACCTGCGCTTCTTGGTAATCTATGATGCAGTTGCCCATCAACGTTAAACTGTAAAAATAAAACAACACAAAAATACATGTATCTATTAATATATAAACTTTTATCATGAGTTGATCATGTGATCATGATAAGGTTAAGAACAGTAACTAAATAAAATAAAATATAATTTAGTTGAAAAACAAACTAAATGGAAACTAGAAATGTTGCTGTGGCAATAATCTGACACAAGTTTATGTTGAAGTACTGAAATTAATAGCTAGAAATAAATAAAAATAAAATTTAACACAAAATCTGAACTAAAAATACATTAAACCTAAATAGCAAAATGTAAAGGAAAACAAATAAAAATACAAAAGCAGATGATATAATTTCTAAAAAATAAACATTAAAATTATAAAAATGAATGCACATTCAAAATATGAATACAATAATAAAACTAAAATAACATAACAAAACATTTGTACAAAACATTTGTTTTATGCAATAAAATTAATGTTAAACTTTCAAAAGGGCTTTTAATGGTTAGAAAATATTTTTCAATTATTAGTGAAAACTGTTATAGCAAGTTAATCTTAAAAAGACAGGAATCTGTTGTTTTTCATACAGCACATGAATTATGTTCCCGCCGCAGTGAAAAAAAAATAACCTTACCCTACCTCTAAATCTATACTTGTTTCTGGGAAATCAAGTGTTTCCACAACACATTCATGGGTCAGCAGGAGCATCATTATGATTCCTGCAAAGTACTTTAATATTTTTCCTGAATCTGAGAAATAAAATACACATAAAAATATAAACAGATGTCAGAAAAACCAAACATTTATGGCACAGTTTTGAAAAGATGAAGATGAGCATTTTTGCATGATAAGAGTGCCAAATTCTATCCATTTTTTTGTGTGAGATATCGTAAAAACTTATTTAGCATTATATAAGATCTAAAACCTCAAGGTTGAAGTGGTTTGAGATAATTGACTACAATGAGTTGCATTACAGCATTTTTGTGACAGACAAAATTAATTTAGTTCCTCGTACCTTGACCGGCCATGTTTCTCACTGATGTATATGTTAGTCAAAATCACATCAACATAATGACAACACAACATAACATATTTCTTCAGAACCAAGGGCAATGATATGGCTCATCCAGACTCCTTATATCTGTAAAATAGGAAATTATGTCATAGATAATCAGTGGACAATGATAAGACTACCTGTACATTTTGATTGAAGATGTATAAGGTCTTTTTTTATGTCCAGTGCTCAAAAAAGTCAAATCTCCGTGCTATTTGTCACAAATAAGCAGAAATTGTGATAACATGATTTTACGTGACTTTAAAAATGAAATTTCGGTAACACTTTACTTGAAGGGGTGTGCATAAGACTAACATCAAACAATCACACATCACATAATCATGATATGACACATCACATAATCATGACATATGTTATGAATATGATGGAAGGTTTCTGCATGTTTGTGACAAATGTGTGTCATTTGCTCAATTATGATATTTTTACTGCAAATATGACATAGTTTGAGATGTCTTTGTTATGATACCTTGACATAAATCAACACATAACCTGTCAGTGTCTTTGTCATGACAACTTGACATTACTAAGACAACAAAACCTGTCATTAACATGACATAGCAGATTAATTATCAAATCAAGACACCACCTAGATTTATTGGATAACATTACATTAAACTGTCATGTGGTTGGTTTTGACATTGGCTGTCATGAAGCCATTATAACTTTTTAATGACAAATTTAATTAGTGCCACTGTAGTTGAGGTCACAAAAAATATTCACGACACAGTTATAATGGCCTTATGACAGCTAATGTCAAAGCCAACCACATGAGTTTAACACAAGATGTCATAACAAAAACATCTAAAACAATGCCATATTTGCATTCAAAATGTCATTATTGAGTGAAAGACAATTAATGACATTTGTCATAAACATGCTTAAACCCTACTTCATATTCAAGACATATGTCATGTCATGGTTATGAAGGTGTCATGTCAGTCTTAGGCACACCCCTTCAGGTAAAGTGTTACCGAAATTTCTGAAAAATCAGAGGAACTATATGTTTGACCATTCTGTCCATTAATTTTTAAATATCTACCCTAAGATAAAATATTTAATGGAAGTACAGTTCCCTCCAATAAAAAAAGGATTGTTTCATAATAAATTACAATGACACAAGCACAAATAAGTATTGGCTGGCACCAGTCAACAGCAAAAGCAGTCCTGATTTTAGGTGAAATTTCCACTTGTTTATATTAATGACTGACAGTAATGACAACTTTCAAAAGTAAAGCATTGAACAGCACATTTTAAAGTCAAGGCTTTCTATAAAAGACCTACGCAGTTATACATTCAAAAGAATAAACAATGATTCGTCACACTTACCTTACTTCTGGAAACAATCATGGAGAGATGCCGAACTCGTTTCTCAGGGTCTGAGATTTTGTTTCCTCGTCAAATGATCCACCTCCAAAATCTTCCTGGAATTAACATGTCTTTGTGCATGTCACCGCAATAATGTGACAGCGTGGATCACCTGCTAGACCAGTTTAATTCTGTCTATTTCCTTGTTCTCTTGTGTGAAGAGAACAGAGAAGTGGGCTGAGTTTGAAATGGATCCTATGCAGTTTTTAGCTAAACTCAAGAGCTTCGAAGTTATTGAAATGGTTATATGACTTCTTTCGGGTTGAATGGTGGGCCTTCTCGCATAGGCATAATTTGCAGGTGTGATGTGTCCCCATTGAAACATCTCGTGGCACGAATGTACCAATACAAACAAATAAAAAATCTCCAGTTATCTCTAGTACAGCATTCATTTTGTTCGTTTGTTAAATAAGAGGCAATCTGAAAAGCGTTTTTGAAATTAAATGACCAAAGTGCTCATTGCCGCTGTGATCAGTGGCGCGGATACATTGTTCTGTTGTTAACGCGCACAGTCTTCACACGGACATGTGCTTCAATACATTGTGGAGACTGAGAGACTCTCTATATTTGTTACGGTGAAATCACTAAACCTAATGCACAAAAAACGTGTCCCTGCTTGATACACAACCACTAATAAACAATCGGTTTTGATGTGGAAAATGAACTATATCACTAGTGCGAATTATAACCCAGAGCCTCTGACACACTTGGGAAAAGTTCTGCCCCTGGATCATTAAAGTACATGGAGATAATAGCCGGATCTATGTATTTAATCATGTGAAAATTCTCACCACTGACAACAAATATTAGATCTCATTAAACGAAAAATTAAACACAATGTACTATTGTATACTATGTAACACATCACGCTGCGTGAGTGGTATTTATGACAGGAACGTTAAATAAAAGTGCTCCACATCGACTCTAGGGGTCGCTGTTTGACAAAAACAGAATTCCTGCATCGTGTCCCTTTAAAAGAAACAGTGTAAGGTCTTGTGGGCTATATTATCAGGAGTAAATCACATATCAGATACCCTTAGACAAACTTAATTACTTGTAGGCTATTATGGAAAGAGAATAGGCTATTATAGTTATACACTAGGCCTTGTCTCTGAAATTCAGTCAACAAAGTAAAACCGTATAATATCTTAACAGCCGATAATAAACAGATTTAAATATTTAAATAGCTGCAGTCCATAGCTTTTTGGGGGTTGAAAATGATCCAAAATACATAATTTGAGCAAATACATATACATATTTGAGAAAATACATAACCAGCCAGTGTTCAAAACTATCTGTTTGCCTTAGCTCGATTCAAAGCGGTAAGCTTGTAATAATGTTTTTAATTCCAGAGGTACTGGTGGATTTCGACAGGAGATTCGAGCATGTCTTTGCGTCATTACGTCACATCTGTACACAATAAAGAAGGAGACTCGGCTAGTAGGCTATATTTTATGTGAGGATGCTGGAGGTGGAGATTTATTGCCTTCTCTCACAGCACTTGATATAATTAAACTTATCGATTTGATGGCAGATCCAGAAAGATTCAAACGACAATCACCAGTGACAACAGATTCACCCGCTGTAAAATGCAAAAGACTTTGTTCAGACTTTGGAGTGGCTACAGAAAAAAGAGACTGCGAAAATAAGGACACATATCAAAAGGACATAACATGTAGTCACACAATGCTGACGTTGTTAACCTTAACAATTTGAGAACTAAGTATAATTTGCACAGTTTTGCGTGATATGATAACATATAAGTGATTATTAGATTTAACAGAACAGAGATGGCAACAAAGAGGGAAACCTGCGGACTGCAGCATTAACCATCTGGGATCCTTGAGATGTTTTTACATGCCCTGACATTTGTCCTTTTTTCAGTTGCTTATAAAGATATTAATGGCACAGGTGAAATAACACTATTTAGCACAAACAGGGCTACCATAATTTATGAGCAACACGTATGTACATGTTTGTATTTTGAGAGAATATTGTTTATGTATGGTTATTGAAAAAACTAAAGTTTCTGAAATAAGTCCACTAAACAAATACGAAATATGTATTCACAAGACTTTTGACTAATGGATGATATCTAGAGTTTTTCTTCAAAATTATCAATCTTCAAAATCATCCTGCCTAATCATTCACATAAAACTGAGAATTGTTGTAAATTGTGAAAAAACTTTTTTTTTGTTTTGTTTGGAAAGCCATGCGAATCGGCGGCCCAACCCCTCATGTATTATTAGTGAAACCCCTATAAACACACACAGGTACCTGAAGCAAATGTTACTCAGTTAGGACAGGTCTCTCTCATGAAACCCCTGTAAACAAACACAGGTACCTGAAGCACATGTTATTCAGTTAGGACAGGTCTCTCACATGAAACCCCTGTAAACACACACAGGTATCTGATGCACATGTCTTTCTTTCTTCGGTGGAAAAGAAATTGAATGTTTTTGAGGAAAATGTTTAAGGATTTTTCTCCACATAATGGACTTCAAGCAATATGTTGAAGTCCAAATCAATGCAGTTTAAAAGGGTTTTGAAGAGCTTCAAAGGGCTGTGCATGCTCCCAGCTGAGGGTCTTGTATAGCGAAACGATCGTCCATATCCTAAAAAATAAACATTTTTTCGTAACCACAATTGTTCGTCTTCGCGCCAGCTATTACGTAATCACGTTGGAAACGTCACGAAATAAATAAATATATATATTAAATTTTAAATTAAAACAAAGATGTCAGATGACTTTGAAGTTGGATGAGAAAATGAGATGGAATTTTTCGCTCTTTCCTGCATACGGCACAACATGAACAACTGTGGTTAAAAAGTATATAAATGTTTATTATTTTTAGAAAATGAACAGTCATTTCGCTGGAAGACCCCATTCCTCAGCTGTGATCGTGCAGAGCCTTAGAAGCACTTCAAAGTGGAGAAAAAAAAAAGCGCATGAAGTGGAGAAAAATCCTGAAATATTTTCCTCAAAAAAATTAATTTCTTTTCCATTGAAGAAAGAAAGACATGAAAATCTCAGATTGCATTGGGGTGAGTAAATTATCAGGAAATGTTCATTTTGAGGTGATCTAATCCTTTAATTTTTGAACTTTTTATAATACAATTCTTATTTCTGTTTTAATTAAAATGTCACGAATTCTGTAGTATCAGAAACGAGAACATCCGAACAGCAATTGTGTGCCGATCTGTTCTGTGTCGGGGGAAATTAACTATGGGGTAAGAAGACACCACTGTCTTACATAGCTTCATAATCATTAATAAATGAGGCGTAAAACTTAAACCCTTTGTCTGAGTATTCAGGACTCTGGACGTCCGATTGGCAATACCGATGTACATCTGAAATGGATAGAATGGGTAGCTCCTGTAAACACCGATGTCTATAAATAAATGTCGCCATTACTACGCTGTGTTTACCTCAGTAGCTGACGACCGGAAGTAGTTATACCCGTTTTGTAGAACCCGGAAGAATGGTGGTTACTTCCGCTTTCTGGACTGGCTGCAGTAACACGTCTCTGTCCATGCGGGGGCGCTCGCGGTCGAGTGCAGAATGAATGGGAGTCAATAGGGTTTCACTCCCAGAAAACCACTTTTCTCAGGATGTAATTTTTTGTCAAGTAATTTGAAAGTTGCATTCAAAAGGGAGGGCTAAGATAATACACTCAGCTGAAAATTGCATTTTTAAGTTCACTTATCTGTTCTAAATCTGTTCAAAACTGTGATGACGTCACACAATAGCAGATGACGTCACCAAAACACACATCCATCCACTACGTATTTGACCATCCAGCTACGTCATCGTGCTACAGGCTGCAGCGAGGGGTGTCTCGAATGCTAGCGTGTTCCGGTCAACAACGGCCTAACCTGTAAGAAATCAAAAGGACATAATTACTCGTTCATTCGACTTTTGGCCTATAATCTATATTGAACTTGCGGAATCAACAATAAAATCTATGTTGATTTAACGACAAACAGGTGAAAGAGACACATTTGGCCGTTTAGCCCCATAGACTGCCATTCATTCTGCTCTCGCCCGCGATCACCTCCAGTGGAATTCTACTGGAACTGCAACCAAGATGATACACAATGGGGCTAATAGGAAGTGCCAAGGCTCTCCGTTAGACGGGCTCCGGCATAACCCTATTAGCAACTACAAAATAAATATAAAATAAAGAGGCATTTCATTGCTGGTGTATCTGTTGCATTTACATTTTATTATAGATTTTTTATAAATAAACCATACAGTGTAGAACAGCATAAAGACACCAACCTTTCGACAAACCTGATGATTTAAAATGGCAAAGAAAAATACATTACATCAAATAAGCCAGAAAACACAAATAAAGCAATTTCTATATTAATTATATAATTTTTCTGTTATAAATGAGTGCATCAATCATGCAAATCACAGCATTATAATAAAACATATCCCATATTAAACATTAGATCTGTAAATTATAATCCACTTTTATTCATACTTCAGAACATAGAAACACTACTTCCCATAAATAAGTAACAGATTGTAGAGTTTATATACTTGCAGTATAGAAAACTTGTTTGGAAAAGGCTGTTTAATATTTAATAAAGTAACAGTTAATGTGCTGATTATGCATTCATAAAAGTATCTGAGCCACCAGAGCTGTTTGAAGATCTTGCTGCTGAGCTGGCTTCAGATACATTGTAGATATCTGAAAATAATTATTTTCATGTTACTTAAAGTAATCTTGCATGCTATATATATATATATATATATATATATATAAATAAATTAAAATGTATCAATTATAATTGCAAGACTTACTTCTTCTCCTACGTATCCTTTGAAAGAAACCCAGCCCGCTTGAAGATGATGGTCCTCCACTAGTACTCTGTAATACAGATATTTAAGATATCAGTTGTAAACTGAGTACATCTATTATTAGGAAGAACTCATGGATCAGATGCATTGTTTTGTTGCCATTTACCCTGGTTTGGTTAGAGCTGGTAAGGTTCCTTAGTGACAGCTTTCCTGCCAGTGCTTCACGGATCTGTAACCATATGCGACAAAATGAATTAAAGCACTGCGAGTAGAACTGAATGCTTATAAGATCATTTTAACAATGATTAACACAATTGTTTATCAAATTGCAATGTAATAAAAATCAATTCATACCTTGCTGTCTAAAAGCGTTCCAAACACCAATATAAAGAATCCCTGCAGAAGTATTACAAAAATATGAGCAACATTTTATAAATAAATAACACTAGATGCAATGCTGTTAAATTTCATATTCATAACAACATTGGAAATAACTTAATGCATCTTTCTAAGGCTTTAAATTGGATTGTTGTAATGACAGAATATCATAATTGTTGCATTATTTCTGTTACAATTATTGCTTTAAAGCTAGCATTTAAAAAAGCAAAATGTAACCTATAAAGTCAAAACAGAAAGTGATACCTGCAGTGAATTGAGGAGTGCAAACACCACATGAATGCCTAAGTCACGGGACACCATGGTTCCAATTCCAAATCCCCAAGTTAGACCAAAGATAGGAGTCAATATGGCCACACATCGGGCAATGACCACCAGGGCATGTTTCTCATCCGGCTGAGTTGTGGTACCAACTCCTCTCCTCAACATCTTATACAGAACCACAATCAAAACCACAAGGTTTATGGCTACAATAGTGAGAGCTGGAATCACAAATGCCAGCAGGGCCTTAGATTCATTCCAGTTCAGCCAGCATGCTAATTCTTTCGTGATATATTCCTTAGGTCCAGCTGTCGACGCAACAGTAATGACCGCTATGAGCAAAGGCGCACCATAACCGACTATGAAGGCAATGGCCATCATTCTGGCCCTTGACATTTGGGACAAGACCATGACTGTCCGGTAAAAGAGCAACAGCGCTGAAATTAACATCCAGAAGAAAAGAGCCAGGTAAAAAAAGTGCATGAAGAAAACCGCTGGACTGCAGCGACCCACTGATGTTGGCTGCTCTTGTTCTGCGACTGCGGCTCCAATGATAAAACAGATGTTCGCGATCAGCAGGGACACGGCAATGTTGACTATGGACACATGTCGCATGTAGGATGTGTCATTTCTTGTCATTGACTTCCACACGATAATCTCGATAATGAGGCACAAAATCAAGCTGGCCATTGAAATAGCTACACCAATGTATGTTATATAGGCTAAGACATCATTCTTCAGGAAAAACGGTGACATTAGGATTGAAAAGGAGGTTGTGTGGTTGCATTCACATGTAACCTTGCCAGTTTGATTCACTGAGGGCTTTACTTCACATCCATTGGAATCCCATGCGTCAAGACTGAAGTTCCAAAAGACACATTGAGGATTTCCCAAAGAGGCATTCGTAGTGTCAAACGCAAAAGAAATGTTGTTAACCATTGGGTTCACCTTAACAACAACCACATCTCCGTTGATGCGTACGTTATTATTGGTGTCATTTTTATTGCTAGTATTACGAGTAGGTAGGACATTATCAAGAGTTGTGAAGATTATGGTGGTTATGGAGGTGGATGCAGGAATCTGTGGTATCAGAATCTCAGTAGTTGAGTTTGGCAGTTTTGATATTTGACTATATGAGGAGCTGTTTGTTACAATTTTATTCAACTCAAGAGAGGTTTCGTTTATTGAAAAATTGTCATCTGTGAGACGGTCGCTTATATTCTCAATAGCGCTCAGAAGTGCAATGCTGGCGTTTGATGTGTTGTTGGCATTCAATTTTGTCCATGATGAACTGCTTTCTTCTAAAACAAGGACATTCACTGCCGTAAGGAAACCCTGGAAATCAAATTGAAAACAATGTTTAGTAGAAATCATTTTCATCAGATGGGATATCAAAGATAATGTACAAACATTATATTATGATAAAAAAAGTTGGTAACACTTTCTATGAAGACCGTGCTTATAATGAATTGTAGCTCCATTTATACTTATTTATAAATGTATTTATAAAGACCTATACTGCATTATAAGAACAGTTATAGTTACATTTATATTATTTTTATAAAATTAAGCCATGCATTACTTTTCAATGTGCATGCTCATAATCCATTATACACTGATTTATAAGTTATTTATTAATTACTCAGTCGTATGGTTCCCTGAATGCATTTATAAAGATGCAACCTGCATTGCTATCATGTTCTATATTACAGTTACAAATTCTGTCAAATAAGTGATATATATTGTTATTAATAGCCGTGTTATGTTCTTCTTATAAATAATTATTGTGAGTAATAATACCGTTAATAACCTCTATAAATGCATCATTGATGGCTTTAAGTAAAGTGAAAACATGGGATGCTAATGTTAAGAAATCATGAATATGTGCTCATCATACATTTTAAGTTGTTTATTTGAGGAGATTTTAACAAATCAAGATTCATGATTTTTAATGCAAACATTAGACATTAAAGATAATTAATAACTCATTGGTACAGTAAACAAGGAACTCTTTTATTGATAATTTAAAAATCAGTGTATAATTGATCATGAGCATGCACATTGAAAACGCAAATGCAAGACTTAAGTAATTATAGAAATAATATAAATGTAGCTATTACTGTTCTTAGAATGCAGTGTAGGTCTTAATGAGTCTTTATAAATATATTTATAGAAGAGCAATAATTATAAGTATAAATTGAGCTATATATAATTCATTATAAGCATGGACTTCATAGAAAGTGTTAAAATGTTTTTTTTTTTTTAAAAAAGTAGTTACAGTGGCTAGCCACAGTTTGACAGATGTATTTCATGCATACATAATGTACATACCTTCATCACAGGCTCACCGATGACAATGGATTGTGAGACCTCAGCAATTCTTACAAGTATGTCAACAATTTTTTCGACAGTCACAGAAGACTGTGTTATCTCGTCTTTATTGTCCACTGTAGCAGTGCTAAGCTGACTAATAACCTCGGGTATCTCTTGTGGAACCAAATTCTAATAAAAGAAAAGAAGAAATGTAAATATCAGAAATATTTTAAATGGACAGTTGATTTATTTTTCACTAATACATACAGTAGATGTTGAAGATTACCTCAACTTTCTTTTCAATTTCTATGATAACCTGAAGTATACAGTCCCTGACAGTCTCCGACCATACAGATAATTTACATTGATAAGTTATAATGCCTTCTTTGCCTTTTTCACAGGGTCCTTGCACAAAGTCACCTTCTTTTCCATCTCCAAGTGTTTTATCGTTACAGGTCAACACTGGAGAAAATATTTGATTGATTTTTAGAAAAACAATTATTTACAATTATAGAAACACTTATTATAGAACATTCAGCTGCATCAAATTATGAAAAACTGAAGGTTTACCTTCATCGACTTTCTGAATTTTGACTTTGCTCTGGCCATAAGACAAGCTTTGAAGGGCAGCGATCTTGAGTCTGCATGTAAATTCTTCAGGACCACAATCTGTGCTCTTGATTTCATGTTTTAGTGTGGCGCATGTCCCGCCTAATTCCATAAAGGGTAAATATAATCATTGGGGGAAAAAAATACTAAAACATACATTCACCATGGTGAATTCAATAAAGCTTGTCACTTGCAACTGAAATTAGTAAAATTTTTATAAGAATGTATTGTCTGTCTGTAAGTACAACCTGGAGATGTCTCTTCACCAGTATTCCACACCACAGCATAGTTTGGTTCGCAGCATATCAGCTCCACGGTCTGATCCTTACACTGAAACTGTCTTTCGTTTTGACCCACATTAATATTGGGAAGTGTGGCAATAACTATATCTTGCCACAGAATGTAATTTATTTTCCTTTTAATGATACATGCATATATACCTGCAAGTAAAAATAAATAAATAAGTAACGAAATATTGCAGAAACATGCTCCTTGTTGCTATAGTAGACACAGAACCAATGAAAATAATGTGAAGTTAAAAGCTCAACTATAGACTCCTCCAGACCACAAATCAGTCTGGATATTTATATATTTGTACATATTTCCCTCGGCTAAAAAAAACCCATCTTGACCAATCTATCCTTAGTAATTTTAGACCCATCTACAAATTACCTTTTATTTCAAAGCTCTGAGAAAGAGTTGTATACTGTCAGTTGAATTTCTATATCAGTATGTCCAATATTTTAAATACTTTTCAGTCGGGTTTTAGATCAATACATAATACGCAATACAACATTTTATCTACCAGCTAAAACTGACATTAGTTATGCTTCGGATGCGCTTAAAAATTAGAGGAATGGGATTCCTCAAGGAGAGTGGAGGTTTCACCCCGGATCGGTGCGTATGATTTGGGATCGATTCGGGAGGGTGGACGTATATGACTAATTAGGGGAAACTGAATGGAATAGAAACTGAATAGAATTATTTAAACTATTTTGTGGATATATTTAAACCACATTTAAAAAAAATACTGTGGGCATATAGCGATGGATAATCAGATTAACTATGTTTAAAACCACGATAACACCTTTGTGATACAGGTGATACCATTTTTAAAAGTCATTGTAAATAATATTCCAATAAATTGACTTGCTTGCAATGCGTATTAACATTGTTAGATTGTCTTATAATCCTCCATGAATCAAATGCCCTGCTGATGTTCACCATAGTCAAATATGTATACTTTTAGATATCAATTTTCTGATTCCACTATAAAGTATTTTAAACAAATAATAAAAAAATAAATAATAAACTAACCAACAGTGGATAATATGTAGCCTATGTGCACATATGTGGATAGCATTTTATCAGATAAAGATGAAGTAATGCTAACTATACTGGCTGATACTGAAAAACAAACCAAATATCGGTAGACCACCACAATGTGACATTGTCATGATTGAAGCGTCTATAATACTTTTTTTTTTTTTTTTGTCTTTTGCCATTTTGTAGTCTGATAGCCCAGATTCCTGGTCACTTTCACTGTATGGAAAAGAGCAGCTAATTATTTCTTATTTGGTGCTTCATGGAAGGAAGTAACTTTTAATTATTGAATGAACAAAAAGTACAGAGTTGATCATGATTCATAAGCCAGAGTAAACAAATACTGCATGTCTCAAGCTTTGACTTACACCCAAGTAAAGTGGTACCAAGTATAGCAGACCTAATAAATAAAGGTAGACTGTTCCACAGCTTTAGGCCAGATAACAAATATGCAAAATTGACACATAGCGTTAATCTTGACCTATGAACATTCAACATGTAAGATATTATTGTAAGGAAAAAGATACATGTGACTCACCTTTGTCTTTCTCTTCAACTTTTTTCACAGTGAGAATGCTACCATCTTCTGAAGTAGTAATGGAGTATTTTTCGTTCTGTATTATAACGTCATCATTCCATTTCCAACTTATGTCACCAAGAACAGAAACTGGGCGTTTACATTCCAGTCTCATATCTTGCTCAGGATACCATGGTGTAGAGGAAAAAGTGGCGTTTTCTGAAAGTAAAATCCATAAACCTTTTATTTTTATCTTTTTCATTTTTATTAAAGGTTAGTAGCAATAATCATGTTTATAAAAAATATAAAAATGGTAGAACTTTCCAGATTATATACTGACTACCTTACCACTTTCAGCAAAAGCATCCACAGCTACAGGATATCCACTGGATTTGAGATTTTTGGCAACCTCATTGTTTGTATCTGCAAAAGTAGCTGCGCTGCTGATTGTTGAAGATACTTCATAGTCTACTATAATGCTACCAGGCCTTTGGACCAACACACAAATCACAACAATAAGAAGACTGTCTTAACACAAGCTGTAAAAACCAAAATGGACCTTTTGAGTCAAAGTTTAGATTGTAGACCTTACCTGAAGCCAGTGACACGTACTGAACCTTTGAACGTAGGCACAGTGTGGTAAGTTGTGTTAATCTGTACAAAGTAAGAGTAACCACTGTACATTAGGAAGAACCTCTGATAAAATGTAAATGAAAGTATGCCGTCTAATATGAAATTACTCTGTGGCAAGAACCAGAGATATATAGAGACTAAACCTGACCATATAGAAAATGATCATTCTTTGGGCTCCACTCTTGTCATTAGATGGATATCTTTATGTTATCTGGTCTGGATAGTTATTTATGTATATAATGTGTTACGCCATGTGATGAATGGTTTTTTTATGTGTTTCTGCGTTCTGGTGTTTGATGCAGATTGCTCCAATTAGTTAGCAGATTATTTTGTTTGTTATTTTTGGGCCCCGTTTCCTGAGGTAATTTGCATTATATTTTAATTACACTTTATTATTTGCTTCTCGCTTCATGGTTACCATTTTTGGAAATCAAAAAAGTTGTGACTCTGGGTCTGGAGATGGATACATCAACGTCTCCCCTAACTGTTGTTGTTCGTTTCTTTAAGCATAAACAATCAATACATTTTCTACACAAAATATGAAACACTTACCACTGACTGAATATCACCAGCATAGCGTTGGTACTTCTCTGTTTTGGGGTCGCTGAGACTGGTATCAAAATCTTCATCTAATTTCATTGACATTTTAACTGTAAACGGGACTAAACAAGACAAAAAATGCATTTATTTATCTTTTTCTGTCCCTTTTTCCATTTCCATTTATGACTATCAGCAAGACAAAGTAATGGCAGTGGATTCAAAAACACATGAGCAAAGAAACAAGCATTTTTGTATACCTGTGATCTGGTAGAGATAAAAACAATTGATAATTAGCATCTCTGTTCATGTGTTTTTGTATTCACTGTCATCATTTTGCCTTGTTGATGTTTAAAAAATATGGCGAATGAACTAAAAAAAAATCACGTGAATGAAACGTGAATGAGGAATACATTTGTTGTATAAATAGGCTTTATGGAACAATTAACAAAAACACAGTAATTACAATAGATTTGTTTTCCCCCAGGCATTCTAATTTTGCTGTATATACATTCTGGTGCTGTCATCAGTTTAGAATATTTCAGCAAAATAAAACAAACACGCAAATAATTATAAACCTAAAATTACATATTTTCTATGATTTTCTGAATTCACATAAAAAATATAACAGCGTGCTCAGAGTGAGAAGCACACACACACACACACATCATGCACACACACTTGGTTGTGTCTACAATTTGTTTTCCTGAACAGATTAAAAAAAATAACTTCATTTTTTCATTCTTCTTTTCAGAACATACCTGGTTCTTTAATAGGTGCAGTTGTTGTTGTTGTAGAAGTTGTGGTTATAGGAGTTGTAGTAGGTGCTGTAGTTGTAGAAGTTGTAGTTGTATTGGGTGCTGTAGTTGTAGTTGTTGTAGTAGGGTTCATAGTTGTAGAAGGCACTGTAGTTGTAGTAGGGTTTGTAGTTAAATTAATAATGCATTAATCATTTATCTGGGTGACATAAGTAATTTGAAAAAAGCTTGCACAGCTCCTCTGTGATAAAAAAAAACATGCTCTGGTATGGAAAATAATTAATTTGACATTCTAATAACTGTAAAAAGGTATTACTTTATGCATGTGTCACCATCAAAAACATTTAGTGGTATATCAGGTCTTTTCTACAGTACATACCTGGTGCTGTTGCTGTTATTGCTGAAAAAAATGAGGAAATAAAAAAAATTGTACAATGTAATTTATTTCTTGAAAAAATGACACCAATAATCAAATGTTAAAAATTATAGAGCTAAAGGTGCACTAAGGAATTAAATGTTTATTTGACAGCCTAGATTGTCTCTTCCTAAACAACAACCATATTGTTCGTACTATAAGTCGCTTAGAGTATAAGTTGCACGAATGCGTCATGAAGAAGCGCATTTATTGATTTGTTGTTAAAGCACCAATCTGTGTACTCATTCCTCCAGCTCTGGCCATCTTGCTTTCAACCAGATTAGCTTTTTTTTATTTTCTTCATTATAGTTAAGGGGGTCACACACAGGACGAGAAGCGCAGCATCGCGTCTAAGACAACTCGACGTATCGCACATCGAACGTGCACTTTCTCCATTTATGGACGGCAATATTGTTATGTTTAAGGACATTATGGAATTACATTGTGGTGGTGATGGCGCAGTGGTTAAGACCCATGCCTTTGGTTCGACTCCACTGTCAGACACCAATGTGTCCGTGTGCAAGACACTTAACCCTAGTTGCTCCAGAGGCGTGCGACCTCTGAGATATATAGCGATTTTAAGTCGCTTTGGATAAAAGCCTGACGATATATCGGCCTGGTTCTAATATAAACATTGTCAGTCATTATGAATTCATTGTGATAAGTCGCACCTGATTTCCATTACATAGGAGTAGACGTTAAAACTTCATGCTGATTTGTATTTCGCCAAGATAAACACAAACTAAGACGTAGCTTTATAGTAAAATATGAACGTAACTGTAACTATGCAAACTATACAAATAAACCAACAGACTCTTCAAGTTTTTCAAGAATTATACGAAACTGTAGCATGGCGGCCTGTACATAGCCAGCCAGAATCTTTCCGTCTCAACCACAGCCAGTTGCTGCTCCTCTCTGCTGCTTCAGATAAGTTCTTTACAGTGCAACGCAACTCTTGGCCACTGAATCCGACGTCTCTGCAGAGCACTCGCAGAGTAGCATTTACTGTTAATCAAAACTGGAAATGAACACAACCGTTGCAATTTGATCAAAGCACTGAGCTTCTTACATTCTTACAAAAATGAATCTTTAAAAAATGTTATTATAGGTAACTGACAAATAACACAGTTTCAAGTAAATTTTACTTGAATTTTAAACCTTGGGTAAAATGCTACGAGTGTCCTGCAGATGCCGCGTGAGCTCGTTCAGCGCTGTTTCAATCATTTTAGAGGGATCAGCCATCCCTCACAACCAAACAACCACCGGATTTACACAGTTCACAAAGATCATACAAACATGGAATAATCACATCCCCGAAGACACAACTGGTCAGACTGTCTCACAACAGACCGTAATATAATACCAATCTTTGAGATAAATCTGAGATCACCTCAGATTTAGTTGAACCAAATTGAGCAAAACCAAAAAAATATAATAAAAGTATAATAAAACCAAAAAATATTAATTATGAGCCTCTCCTTATTCCTTTATTTTTTGGGATTTCATATATGTAGCATTAGCTGTTTTTAGCTAATCATTCCTTTGCATGTGTTATTGCTGTTTATAGGGAGGTTTGGGTCTGTTACATTATATCCACTCTTGCACAAGTAAGCGTGAGTCCATATGTGAAGGTCAGTTGTCATTCTATGGCATTTTTACAACAGAATACTTAATTTACCAAAATGATTTTCCAAATTAAAAATCACATGGATGGAAGCTAAAATTTGAATCATGGCTGGAGGAAGAAAATATGAATATTACCTGTACATGGGTTATTGATGCTGATGGTGAGATTTGAGTTTGTTACAGTGAATCCATCCAAACATGAGCAATTGTGACTTCCTATTACATTTGTGCAGCTGGAATCTGGACCACATACAGATGGACTGAGCAGACATTCATCTATATCTGGAGTGGAAAAAAACAAAGCAAAGTTAATGTATAACATAAAGATATAAGTACATAAAACATGAAAGACATCTGTATTTATGCAAGGTTAACAAGAACTGAGAACAAATTTAAAAGATTTCTGGCTTATGTATGTCCAAAACACATAACGATGAAAATAATAACATGCACTGAGATGAAAATAATTATTGGGGAAATGTAGTTTTTTTGTCAATCTTCACACAACAAACTTCCACAATAAAACATTCACAGTTTTATTAAGAAACATCTCAGATTGTGTTTTAGAATACATATTCTTTGGCGATGTTCCTTTAAAAATATTTTATTTGTAAAAAAAGAGAAACAAAATGATAATAAAACAAGTTATTAGCTTCCTAATAACCGTTTTCTTTGTAATGAAATTATTAGCACTAAGTGTTTCAGCTGTCAATCATACCTCTACATGGGTTACTGCTGTTTATAGGGAGGTTTGTGTCTGTTACATTATATCCAGTCTTGCAGGAGCAATTGTAACTCCCAACAGTGTTGTTGCAGATTGAGTTTGGACCGCAGACCTCTGATCTCTCGACACATTCATCCACATCTTTAGTAAAAGAAAATTGCAGGCAAAAAAAATAAAAATAATAATAATCAGTTTCCTCTTTAGGTTTACTCTTTCCTCGTACAGAATGTGGAGGTCAACTCATTAACTGCCCAACCTTACAATCTAATATTTTATTTAGAATATTTTATCCAAAGTAGGAAACAATTATAAATTCATAATGTTACTATTAAAAATATATTTGTTATTTATTTTAGTAGTATTGTTTAGACTAATGGTGCACATAAAAATCTAGTTTATTATTTAATGTAAAAAAAAGAAGAGAGATTTCTGGCTTATGTATGTCCAAAACACTTGCATAACTCCTGTGTGTTGAAAACAATAGCATGCACTGAGATGAAAATAATTATTGGGGAAATGTTGGGAGTTTTTTTTTGTCAATATTCTTCACACAACAGACTTCCACAATAAAACATTCACAGTTTTATTAAGAAACATCTCAGATTGTGTTTATAATAAATTGGCGATGTTCCTGTTAACACTATTTGTAGAAAAGAGAAACAAAATGATAATAAAACAAGTTATTAGCTTCCCAATAAATGTTTTCTTTGTCATGAATTTATTAGCACTAAGTGCTTTATCACTCAATCATACCTCTACATGGGTTACTGCTGTTTATAGGGAGGTTTGTGTCTGTTACATTATATCCACTCTTGCACGAGCAATTGTAACTCCCAACAGTGTTGTTGCAGATTGAGTTTGGACCGCAGACCTCTGATCTCTCGACACATTCATCCACATCTTTAGTAAAAGGAAGTTATGGGAATATAAACAGTTTGGGTCAGTTTAATCTCATTCCTTGTTATCTTTACAATACAATGCTTCATTTACACAATTCAATATAAATAATTAATGGATAAATTCTAGATAATTATTTAAGGTTAGACTAAACACAAATCTAAACTGTACCTCTACATGTGTTATTGATGCTGATGGTGAGATTTGAGTTTGTTACAGTAAATCCATCCAAACATGAGCAATTGTGACTTCCTATTTCATTTGTGCAGTTGGAATCTGGACCACATACAGATGGACTGACCCGACATTCATCGATATCTGGAGTGGAAAAAAACAAAGTAAAGTTAATGTATAACATAAAGTGAAAGACATCTGTATCTATACAAGGTTAACAAGAACTGAGAACGAATTTTAAAAGATTTCTGGCTTATGTATGTCCAAAACACTTGCATAACTCCTGTGTGATGGAAATAATAACATGCACTGAGATGAAAATAATTATTGTGGAAATGTTGGGAATTTTTTTGTCAATCTTCACACAACAAACTTCCACAATAAAACATTCACAGTTTTATTAAGAAACATCTCAGATTGTGTTTTAGAATACATATAAATTGGCGATGTTCCTGTTAACACTATTTGTAGAAAAGAGAAACAAAATGATAAAAAAAAAAGTTATTAGCTTCCTAATAACCGTTTTCTTTGTCATGAAATTATTAGCACTAAGTGCTTTATCACTCAATCATACCTCTACATGGGTTACTGCTGTTTATAGGGAGGTTTGTGTCTGTTACATTATATCCACTCTTGCATGAGCAATTGTAACTCCCAACAGTGTTGTTGCAGATTGAGTTTGGACCGCAGACCTCTGATCTCTCGACACATTCATCCACATCTTTAGTAAAAGGAAGTTATGGGAATATAAACAGTTTGGGTCAGTTTAATCTAATTTCTTGCCATCTTTACAATACAATGCTTCATTTACAAAACTCAATGTAAATGTTATATGGATAAATTGGTAACGCTTCCTTTTACAGTACAGTACTTACAGTATACTTACAATGTACTTACCTATAAAGTACTGGCTAATATAAGGTAAGTACATGGAACAGGGGGAGGTTTAGGGGTAGGTTCAGGGTTAGTACTAGTTATTACCCAGTAATTGTAGTTACTAAAATAAGTACATTGTATTTACATGGGTAACAGGACTGTAAAAGGAAGCGTAACCAATAAATTCTAGATAATTATGTAAGGTTAGACTAAACACAAGTCTAAACTGTACCTCTACATGTGTTATTGATGCTGATGGTGAGATTTGAGTTTGTTACAGTGAATCCATCCAAACATGAGCAATTGTGACTTCCTATTTCATTTGTGCAGTTGGAATCTGGACCACATACAGATGGACTGACCAGACATTCATCTATATCTAAAGTGGAAAAAATATATAATGTATAACATACAAATATAAACACACAAAATGATAAAAGATATCTGGTGTCTAACAACCTCTGTATACTAAGACAATAAGAACTGAGAAAGGACAATAACAAAAAACACTTGCATAGCTCCTGTGGAAACACATGCACTGAAAAGAAAAATAATTGGGGGGAATGTGAGGAACTCTGAGATTATTTTTGACTAACATCTCAAAATATGCTTTGAATACAAAAATATTGACAATGTTATTGTTAACAGTGTATTTGGGGGGACTAACAAAAAAAAGAATAACAAGTTTCTCAATACTCCTGTTCTTTGTCATGAATTTGAATTATGAGCTTTTGCTGTCAGCCATACCTTTACATGGGTTACTGCTGTTTATAGGGAGGTTTGTGTCTGTTACATTATATCCACTCTTGCACGAGCAATTGTAACTCCCAACAGTGTTGTTGCAGATTGAGTTTGGACCGCAGACCTCTGATCTCTCGACACATTCATCCACATCTTTAGTAAAAGGAAGTTATGGGAAGAAGAACAGTTTGGGTCAGTTTAATCTCATTTCTTGTCATCTTTACAATACAATGCTTCATTTACAAAACTCAATGTAAATATCATATGGATAAATTCTAGATAATTATGTAAGGTTAGACTAAACACAAGTCTAAACTGTACCTCTACATGTGTTATTGATGCTGATGGTGAGATTTGAGTTTGTTACAGTGAATCCATCCAAACATGAGCAATTGTGACTTCCTATTTCATTTGTGCAGTTGGAATCTGGACCACATACAGATGGACTGAGCAGACATTCGTCTATATCTAAAGTGGAAAACACATATAATGTAAAACATACAAATATAAACACACAAAAGTATGAAAGACATCTGGCATCTAACAACCTCTACATATATATTAGGACAATAAGAACTGAGAAAGGACAATAACAACATTTTTAAACACAAAATACCACAAAACTAAGATTTTGAAACTTGTATCTATGTCAAAACATTTTTTAAAGAAAATGAATAAGAATGATAAAGAAGTATGGCTTATGTGTGTCCAAAACACTTGCATAGATCCTGTGGATAAAAACACATGCACTGAAAAGAAAAATAATTAGGGGGAATGTAATGAACTCTGAGATTTTTTACTAACATCTCAAAATATGCTTTGAATACATAAATATTGCCAATGTTACTGTTAACAGTGTATTTGGGGGACTAACAAAACTAACAAAAACAAAAGAGAAGGATAAGTTTATCAATACTCCTGTTCTTTGTCATGAATTTGAACTATGAGCTTTTGCTGTCAGTCATACCTCTACATGGGTTACTGCTGTTTATAGGGAGGTTTGTGTCTGTTCCATTATATCCACTCTTGCAGGAGCAATTGTAACTCCCAACAGTGTTGTTGCAGTTTGAGTTTGGACCGCAGACCTCTGATCTCTCGACACATTCATCCACATCTTTAGTAAAAGACAATTGCAGGTAACAAATAAATAAATCAGTTCCCTCTTTAGGTTTACTCTTTCCTCGTACAGAATGTGGAGGTCAACTCATTAATTGCTCAACCTTACAATCTAATATTTTATTTAGAATATATTATCTAAAGTAGGAAACAATTAAACAATTCATGTTACTATAAAAAATATATTTGCTATTTATTTTAGTAGTATTGTTTAGACTAATGGTGAACATAAACATCTAGTTTATTATTTAATGTTAGAGACCACAGAGATATGAATCTAGAATGTACCTCTACACGGGTTATTGATGCTGATGGTGCGATTTGAGTTTGTTACAGTGAATCCATCCAAACATGAGCAATTGTGACTTCCTATTTCATTTGTGCAGTTGGAATCTGGACCACATACAGATGGACTGACCAGACATTCATCTATATCTAAAGTGGAAAAAACAAAACAGAGTTGATGTATAACATAAAGATAGAAGTACTTAAAACATAAAAGACATCTGTATGTTTTTCTTGTCAATCTTCTCACAACAGACTTCCACAATAAAAAAAGTTATTAGTTTCCCAATAACTGTTTTCTTTGTCATGAATTTATTAGCACTAAGTGCTTTATCACTCAATCATACCTCTACATGGGTTACTGCTGTTTATAGGGAGGTTTGGGTCTGTTACATTATATCCACTCTTGCATGAGCAATTGTAACTCCCAACAGTGTTGTTGCAGATTGAGTTTGGACCGCAGACCTCTGATCTCTCGACACATTCATCCACATCTTTAGTAAAAGAAAATTACAGGCAAATAATAATAATAATAATCAGTTCCCTCTTTAGGTTTACTCTTTCCTCGTACCTTACAATCTAATATTTCATTTAGAATATTTTACCCAAAGTAGGAAACAATTATAAATTCATAATGTTACTATTAAAATATATATTTGCTATTTATTTTAGTAGTATTGTTTAGACTAATGGTGCACATAAAAATCTAGTTTATTATCTAATGTTAGAGACCACAGATATATGAATCTAGAATGTACCTCTACACGGGTTATTGATGCTGATGGAGAGATTTGAGTTTGTTACAGTGAATCCATCCAAACATGAGCAATTGTGACTTCCTATTTCATTTGTGCAGTTGGAATCTGGACCACATACAGATGGACTGAGCAGACACTCATCTATATCTGGAGTGGAAAAAACAAAGTAAAGTTAATGTATAACATAAAGATATAAGTACATAAAACCTGAAACACAACTGTATCTATACAAGGTTAACAAGAACTGAGAATGAATTTTAAAAGATTTCTGGCTTATGTATGTCCAAAACACATAACAATGAAAATAATAACATGCACTGAGATGAAAATAATTATTGGGGAAATGTTGCGAGATTTTTTGTCAATCTTCACACAGACTTCCACAATAAAACATTCACAGTTTTATTAAGAAACATCTCAGATTGTGTTTTATAATACATATAAATTGGCGATGTTACTGTTAACACTATTTGTAGAAAAGAGAAACAAAATGATAATAAAACAAGTTATTAGCTTCCTAATAACCATTATCTTTATCATGAAATTATTAGCACTAAGTGTTTCAGCTGTCAATCATACCTCTACATGGGTTACTGCTGTTTATAGGGAGATTTGTGTCTGTTACATTATATCCACTCTTGCAGGAGCAATTGTAACTCCCAACAGTGTTGTTGCAGATTGAGTTTGGACCGCAGACCTCTGATCTCTCGACACATTCATCCACATCTTTAGTAAAAGGAAGTTTTGGGAAGAAGAACAGTTTGGGTCAGTTAAATCTAATTTCTTGTCATCTTTACAATACAATGCTTCATTTACAAAACTCAATGTAAATATTCAATGGATAAATTCTAGAAAATTATATACAGTTAGACTAAACACAAATCCAAACTGTACCTCTACATGTGTTATTGATGCTGATGGTGAGATTTGAGTTTGTTACAGTGAATCCATCCAAACATGAGCAATTGTGACTTCCTATTTCATTTGTGCAGTTGGAATCTGGACCACATACAGATGGACTGACCAGACACTCATCTATATCTAAAGTGGAAAAAACAAAACAAAGTTAATGTATAACATAAAGATAGAAGTACTTGAAACATAAAAGACATCTGTATGTTTTTCTTGTCAATCTTCTCACAACAGACTTCCACAATAAAAAAAGTTATTAGTTTCCCAATAACTGTTTTCTTTGTCATGAATAGCACTAAGTGCTTCATCAGTCAATCATACCTCTACATGGGTTACTGCTGTTTATAGAGAGGTTTGGGTCTGTTACATTATATCCACTCTTGCACGAGCAATTGTAACTCCCAACAGTGTTGTTGCAGATTGAGTTTGGACCGCAGACCTCTGATCTCTCGACACATTCATCCACATCTTTAGAAAAAGAAAATTACAGGCAAAAAATAATAATAATAATCAGTTCCCTCTTTAGGTTTACTCTTTCCTTGTACCTTACAATCTAATATTTAATTTAGAATATTTTACCCAAAGTAGGAAACAATTATAAATTCATAATGTTACTATTAAAATATATATTTTCTATTTATTTTAGTAGTATTGTTTAGACTAATGGTGCACATAAACATCTAGTTTATTGTTTAATGTTAGAGACCACAGAGATATGAATCTAAACTGTACCTCTACACGGGTTATTGATGCTGATGGAGAGATTTGAGTTTGTTACAGTGAATCCATCCAAACATGAGCAATTGTGACTTCCTATTTCATTTGTGCAGTTGGAATCTGGACCACATACAGATGGACTGACCAGACATTCGTCTATATCTGGAGTGGAAAAAAACAAAGTTAAAGTATAACATAAAGATAGAAGTACATAAACCATAAAAGACATCTGTATGTTTTTTTTTTGTCAATCTTCACACGACAGACTTCCACAATAAAAAAAGTTAATAGCTTCCCAATAACTGTTTTCTTTGTCATGAATAGCACTAAGTGCTTTATCACTCAATCATACCTCTACATGGGTTACTGCTGTTTATAGGGAGGTTTGTGTCGGTTACATCATATCCACTCTTGCAGGAGCAATTGTAACTCCCAACAGTGTTGTTGCAGATTGAGTTTGGACCGCAGACCTCTGATCTCTCGACACATTCATCCACATCTTTAGTAAAAGAAAATTACAGGCAAAAAAATAATAATAATAATCAGTTCCCTCTTTAGGTTTACTCTTTGCTCGTACAGAATGTGGAGGTCAACTCATTAATTTTACAACCAATCTAATATTTCATTTAGAATATTTTACCCAACGTAGGAAACGATTATAAATTCATAACGTTACTATTAAAAATATATTTGATATTTATTTTAGTAGTATTGTTTGGACTAATGGTGCACATAAACATCTAGTTTATTGTTTAATGTTAGAGAACAGAGATATGAATCTAGAATGTACCTCTACATGTGTTATTGATGCTGATGGTGAGATTTGAGTTTGTTACAGTGAATCCATCCAAACATGAGCAATTGTGACTTCCTATTTCATTTGTGCAGCTGGAATCTGGACCACATACAGATGGACTGACCAGACATTCATCTATATCTAAAGTGGAAAAAACAAAGCAAAGTTAATGTATAACATAAAGACAGAAGTACATAAAACATGAAAGACATCTGTATATACACAAGGTTAACAAGAACTGAAAACGAATTTTAAAAGATTTCTGGCTTATGTATGTCCAAAACACATAACGATGAAAATAATAACATGCACTGAGATGAAAATAATTATTGGGGAAATGTTGCGAGATTTTTTGTCAATCTTCACACAGACTTCCACAATAAAACATTCACAGTTTTATTAAGAAACATCTCAGATTGTGTTTTATAATACATATAAATTGGCGATGTTACTGTTAACACTATTTGTAGAAAAGAGAAACAAAATGATAATAAAACAAGTTATTAGCTTCCTAATAACCATTATCTTTGTCATGAAATTATTAGCACTAAGTGTTTCAGCTGTCAATCATACCTCTACATGGGTTACTGCTGTTTATAGGGAGGTTTGTGTCTGTTACATTATATCCACTCTTGCACGAGCAATTGTAACTCCCAACAGTGTTGTTGCAGATTGAGTTTGGACCGCAGACCTCTGATCTCTCGACACATTCATCCACATCTTTAGTAAAAGGAAGTTATGGGAATATAAACAGTTTGGGTCAGTTTAATCTAATTTCTTGTCATCTTTACAATACAATGCTTCATTTACAAAACTCAATGTAAATATTATATGGATAAATTCTAGAAAATTATATACAGTTAGACTAAACACAAATCCAAAATGTACCTCTACATGTGTTATTGATGCTGATGGTGAGATTTGAGTTTGTTACAGTGAATCCATCCAAACATGAGCAATTGTGACTTCCTATTTCATTTGTGCAGTTGGAATCTGGACCACATACAGATGGACTGACCAGACATTCATCTATATCTATGGGGGAAAAAACAAAAGAAAGTTGATGTATAACATAAAGATAGAAGTAATTAAAACATAAAAGACATCTGTATGTTTTTCTTTTCAATCTTCACAAAACAGACTTCCACAATAAAAAAAGTTATTAGTTTCCCAATAACTGTTTTCTTTGTCATGAATAGCACTAAGTGCTTTATCACTCAATCATACCTCTACATGGGTTACTGCTGTTTATAGGGAGGTTTGGATCTGTTGCATCATATCCACTCTTGCATGAGCAATTGTAACTCCCAACAGTGTTGCTGCAGTTTGAGTTTGGACCGCAGACCTCTGATCTCTCGACACATTCATCCACATCTTTAGTAAAAGAAAATTACAGGCAAATAATAATAATAATAATCAGTTCCCTCTTTAGGTTTACTCTTTCCTCGTACCTTACAATCTAATATTTCATTTAGAATATTTTACCCAAAGTAGGAAACAATTATAAATTCATAATGTTACTATTAAAATATATATTTGCTATTTATTTTAGTAGTATTGTTTAGACTAATGGTGCACATAAAAATCTAGTTTATTATTTAATGTTAGAGACCACAGATATATGAATCTAAACTGTACCTCTACATGTGTTATTGCTGTTTATAGGGAGGTTTGGGTCTGTTACATCATATCCACTCTTGCAGGAGCAATTGTAACTCCCAACAGTGTTGCTGCAGTTTGAGTTTGGACCGCAGACCTCTGATCTCTCGACACATTCATTCACGTCTTTAGTAAAAGGAAGTTATGGGAAGAAGAACAGTTTGGGTCAGTTTAATCTCATTGTCATCTTTACAATACAATGCTTCATTTTCAAAACTCAATGTAAATTCTGTTCAAATTCTAGATAATTAAGTAAGGTTATACTAAACAAAAAATCTAAACTGTACCTCTACATGTGTTATTGATGCTGATGGTGAGATTTGAGTTTGTTACAGTGAATCCATCCAAACATGAGCAATTGTGACTTCCTATTTCATTTGTGCAGTTGGAATCTGGACCACATACAGATGGACTGACCAGACATTCATCTATATCTAGAGTGGAAAACAAATATAATGAATAACATACAAATATAAACACACAACAGCATGAAATACATCTGGTGTTCAACAACCTCTACATATATACTAGGACAATAAGAACTGAGAAAGGACAATAACAACATTTTTTTTAAACAAAAAAGACCACAAATCTAAGATTTTTAAACTTGTATCTATGTCAAAACATTGTTTAAACAAAATGAATAAGAATTATAAAGAAGTCTGGCTTATGTATGTCCAAAAACACTTGCATAGCTCCTGTGGATAAAAACACATGCACTGAAAAGAAAAATTATTGGGGGAATGTAATGAACTCTGAGATTTTTGACTAACATCTCGAAATATGCTTTGAATACATAAATATTATCAATGTTACTGTTAACAGTGTATTTGGGGGACTAACAAAAAAAAAAAAAAAAGAATTACAAGCTTCTCAATAGTCCTGTTATTTGTCATGAATTTAAACTATGAGCTTTTGCTGTCAGTCATACCTCTACATGTGTTATTGCTGTTTATAGGGAGGTTTGGGTCTGTTACATCATATCCACTCTTGCAGGAGCAATTGTAACTCCCAACAGTGTTGCTGCAGTTTGAGTTTGGACCGCAGACCTCTGATCTCTCGACACATTCATCCACATCTTTAGTAAAAGGAAGTTATGGGAAGAAGAACAGTTTGGGTCAGTTTAATCTCATTCCTTGTCATCTTTACAATACAATGCTTCATTTACAAAAAATAAAAGTAAATTTTGTTCAAATTCTAGATAATTATGTAAGGTTAGACTAAACACAAATCTAAACTGTACCTCTACATGTGTTATTGATGCTGATGGTGCGATTTGAGTTTGTTACAGTGAATCCATCCAAACATGAGCAATTGTGACTTCCTATTTCATTTGTGCAGTTGGAATCTGGACCACATACAGATGGACTGACCAGACATTCATCTATATCTAGAGTGGAAAACAAATATAATGTAAAACATACAAATATAAAAACACAAAAGCTTGAAAGACATCTGGTGTCTAACAACATCTACATATATACTGGGACAATAAGAACTGAGAAAGGACAATAATAACATCTTTAAACATAAAAGATGGCAAAACTACGATTTTTAAACTTGTATCTACGCAAAACATCGTTTTAAAGAAAGTGAATAAGAATTATAAAGTCTGGCTTATGTATGTCCAAAAACACTTGCATAGCTCCTGTGGATAAAAACACATGCACTGAAAAGAAAAACAATTGGGGGAAATGTTTGAGATTTTTGACTAACATCTCAAAATATGCTTTGAATATATAAATATTATCAATGTTACTGTTAACAGTGTATTTAAGGGGGACTAACAAAATTAAAAAAACAAACCAAAAGAATGACAAGTTTCTCAATAGTCCTGTTATTTGTCATGAATTTGAATTATGAGCTTTTGCTGTCAGTCATACCTCTACATGTGTTATTGCTGTTTATAGGGAGGTTTGGGTCTGTTACATTATATCCACTCTTGCAGGAGCAATTGTAACTCCCAACAGTGTTGCTGCAGTTTGAGTTTGGACCGCAGACCTCTGATCTCTCGATACATTCATCCACATCTTTAGTAAAAGGAAGTTATGGGAAGAAGAACAGTTTGGATCAGTTTAATCTCATTCCTTGTCATCTTTACAATACAATGCTTCATTTACAAAATTCAATGTAAATTCTGTTCAAATTCTAGATAATTATGTAAGGTTAGACTAAACACAAATCTAAACTGTACCTCTACATGTGTTATTGATGCTGATGGTGAGATTTGAGTTTGTTACAGTGAATCCATCCAAACATGAGCAATTGTGACTTCCTATTTCATTTGTGCAGTTGGAATCTGGACCACATACAGATGGACTGACCAGACATTCATCTACATCTAAAGAGGAAAACAAATATAATGAATAACATACAAATATAAACACACAACAGCATGAAAAACATCTGGTGTCTAACAACATCTACATATATACTAGGACAATAAGAACTGAGAAAGGACAATGACAACATGTTTAAAAACAAGAGACCACAAAACTAAAGTTTTTTAAACTTATATCTATTTAAAAACATTGTTTTATAGAAAATTAATAAGAATTATAAAGAAGTATGGCTTATTTATATCCAAAACCACTTGTATAGCTCCTGTGGATAAAAACACATGCACTGAAAAGAAAAATAATTGGGGGAAATGTGATGAACTCTGAGATTTTTGACTAACATCTCAAAATATGCTTTAAATACATAAATATTATCAATGTTTCTGTTAACAGTGTATTTGGGGGTACTAACAAAAAAAGAATGATAAGTTTCTCAATAGTCCTGTTATTTGTCATGAATTTGAACTATGAGCTTTTGCTGTCAATCATACCTCTACATGTGTTATTGCTGTTTATAGGGAGGTTTGGGTCTGTTACATCATATCCACTCTTGCAGGAGCAATTGTAACTCCCAACAGTGTTGCTGCAGTTTGAGTTTGGACCGCAGACCTCTGATCTCTCGACACATTCATCCACATCTTTAGTAAAAGAAAATTGCAGGCAAAGAAATAAATTAAAAATCAGTTCCCTCTTTAGGTTTACTCTTTCCTCGTACAGAATGTGGAGGGCAACTCATTAACTGCCCAACCTTACAATCTAATATTTTATTTAGAATATTTTATCCAAAGTAGGAAACAATTAAAAAATTTCATAATTTTACTATTAAAAATATATTTGCTATTTATTTTAGTAGTATTGTTTAGTCTAATGGTGCACATAAACATCTAGTTTATTATTTAACGATAGAGAACAGAGATATGAATCTAAACTGTACCTCTACACGGGTTATTGATGCTGATGGTGAGATTTGAGTTTGTTACAGTGAATCCATCCAAACATGAGCAATTGTGACTTCCTATTTCATTTGTGCAGTTGGAATCTGGACCACATACAGATGGACTGACCAGACATTCATCTATATCTGGAGTGGAAAAAAAAAGCAAAGTTAATGTATAACATAAAGACAGAAGTACATAAATCATGAAAGACATCTGTATCTACACAAGGTTTATGTATGTCTAAAACACTTGCATAACTCCTGTGTGATGGAAATAATAACATGAACTGAGATGAAAATAATTATTGGGGAAATTTTGGGGATTTTTTTGTCAATCATCACACAAAAGACTTCCACAATAATACATTCACAGTTTTATGCAACATCTCAGATTGTGCTTTATAATACATATAAATTGGCGATGTTCCTGTTAACACTATTTGTAAAGAAGAGAAACAAAATAATTAAAAAACAAGTTATTAGCTTCCCAATAACCATTTTCTTTGTCATGAATTTATTAGCACTGATTGCTTCATCAGTCAATCATACCTCTACATGTGTTATTGCTGTTTATAGGGAGGTTTGGGTCTGTTACATTATATCCACTCTTGCAGGAGCAATTGTAACTCCCAACAGTGTTGCTGCAGTTTGAGTTTGGACCGCAGACCTCTGATCTCTCGACACATTCATCCACATCTTTAGTAAAAGGAAGTTTTGGGAAGAAGAACAGTTTGGGTCAGTTTAATCTCATTCCTTGTCATCTTTACAATACAATGCTTCATTTACAAAAAATAAAAGTAAATTTTGTTCAAATTCTAGATAATTATGTAAGGTTAGACTAAACACAAATCTAAACTGTACCTCTACATGTGTTATTGATGCTGATGGTGAGATTTGAGTTTGTTACAGTGAATCCATCCAAACATGAGCAATTGTGACTTCCTATTTCATTTGTGCAGTTGGAATCTGGACCACATACAGATGGACTGACCAGACATTCATCGATATCTGGAGTGGAAAAAACAAAGCAAAGTTAATGTATAACATAAAGATAGAAGGACATAAAACATGAAAGACATCTGTATCTATACGCGGTTAACAAGAACTGAGAACGAATTTTAAAAGATTTCTGGTTTATGTATGTCCAAAACACTTGCATAACTCCTGTGTGATGAAAATAATAACATGCACTGAGATGAAAATAATTATTGGGGAAATGTTGGAAGTTTTTTTGTCAATCTTCACACAACAAACTTCCAAAATATTACATTCACAGTTTAATTAAGATTTACAATGTAAATTAAATACATCATGATGAAGTATATTTTCTACATGCTTACCATTGCATGGGTTACTGGTGCTGATTGGTTGATTCATATTTGTTACAGTAAACCCAATCAAGCAGGAACAGTTGTAACTCCCAAATGAGTTGTTGCAACGAGAGTTTGGACCACAGACCTCTAATGTATTTAGACATTCATAGACATCTATATTACAGGAAGATATGAAAAGGGTATTGTTTTTATTAGGAACACAGAAATATGAATGTCACTTTACCACAAATCTATATTTTCTTATGTTTTTACAGAGGATGCATACAATTGTGTCGCAACAGTAGAATAAAAATAAACATACAAATAGAATTTCACTGAAAAATTAAATGTCTAAAAAATTACATTAGATTATTTTTCAAACTTAGACTATAAATAAATGTAATTATAGGATTTACCTCTACACGGGTTATTGATGCTGATGGTGAGATTTGAGTTTGTTACAGTGAATCCATCCAAACATGAGCAATTGTGACTTCCTATTTCATTTGTGCAGTTGGAATCTGGACCACATACAGATGGACTGACCAGACATTCATCTATATCTATGGGGGAAAACAAATATAATGTAAAACATACAAATATAAACAGACAAAAGCATGAAAGACGTCAGGGCCCGGTTCCCCAAAAGGTTCTTATCGCTAAGTAGTTCTTAACCTATTCCTTAACCTCTCTCTTAACCTTATGTCACGGTTCCCGAAACGTCCGTACGCTAAGTATATCTTCTGTAAGTCACACTTTCGCAAGGTTGGTCTGGACCATTCGTAAGCTCTCTCTTATTGTTTTTTAGCTCAAGACGCCATTCGCCGCCACTGTGCAGCAGTCTTTAGAAACTTACACACATTTTCCAAACTGTCACCTTTTTTCAAAACGCTAAAACTTCCAAAACTTCACACACAAAATGCAAAATGCCTCACATCTCCTTCAAAAATGTAACACTGCATTTAAACTGCCATAAACACATGTCAGGATAAAGCATTTGCATCAAATGGCAAACACTTAAACTAAAAGTAGTACTCTTCTGTACAGCCTTGTAATTCATTGTATTTTGCAAAAATATAATTTTCTATTCAGTGCAAAAGCCATACACAGGGTTTTATAAATACAGAGGTCCCAAAGGTGATCTTGATAGGGGGTTCGGGGGCATATTATTTTTCACTGTAATTGTCAAAGAACTTAGGCTATGTATATAGGAATCCATTGCAATCAATGTATTCTTATTCTGGGCACTGTATCCAATAGGCTATTGCTTTACCTGCTTTACCTCTCCTCTCTTATCTCATCTCCTTCTCTCGTTCTTCTTCTCTCAGTCTCTTTATTTTTACTTGTAAATATCCCCTTCCTGAAGCTGAGCTTTGATGGATGTTTAGTTTTGCCACTTGCATACTATCTCGTGAAGCTTTGCATTGGGATTCGCTCGCGCTTCTGTGAACACCCTGCTTTGATCGTCATCTCAAACATTTTGACATATCACAATTTGATAATTTAATTAATATTTTACTGATAACTTAAACAATGTTGAAATAAATGTTACTCGAATTACTTGAGGAATGTTTAATTTGCATAAAACATGTTATCTTTCGCGTGAAGTGGAAAATCGAATCCTTAGCAATCGATGCCAGCTAATTCAGCACCTTCACTTGGGACAGCGCCTTTGTAACGTCGAACGTAAGAGGAGCGAGTTAAGAAGCTTCCTAAGAGACACTTCGGGGAACACACTTAGAAACATAGACAACTTCTGTAAGATATATCTTTTTCAGTCTTCTTAGCGCACTAAGAGTGAGCGTTATCGGGGTACCGGGCCCTGGTGTCTAACAATCTCTACATATACACTAGGACAATAAGAACTGAGAAAGGACAATGACAACATGTTTAAACAAACAAAACAAAAAAAACACAAAACTAAGGTTTTAAAACTTGTATCTATTTAAAAACATTTATATAAAATGATAAAGAATTATAAAGAAGTATGGCTTATGTATGTCCAAAAACACTTGTATAGCTCCTGTGGATAAAAACACACGCACTGAAAAGAAAAATAATTGGGGGAAATGTGAAGAACTCTGAGATTTTTGACTAACATCTCAAAATATATTTTTAATAGATATATATTATCAATGTTACTGTTAACAGTGTATTTGGGGGTACAAACAAAAAAAGAATGATAAGTTTCTCAATAGTCCTGTTATTTGTCATGATATTGAACTATGAGCTTTTGCTGTCAATCATACCTCTACATGTGTTATTGCTGTTTATAGGGAGGTTTGGGTCTGTTACATCATATCCACTCTTGCAGGAGCAATTGTAACTCCCAACAGTGTTGCTGCAGTTTGAGTTTGGACCGCAGACCTCTGATCTCTCGACACATTCATCCACATCTTTAGTAAAAGAAAATTGCAGGAAAAGAAATAAATTAAAAATCAGTTCCCTCTTTAGGTTTACTCTTTCCTCGTACAGAATGTGGAGGTCAACTCATTAACTGCCCAACCTTACAATCTAATATTTTATTTAGAATATTTTATCCAAAGTAGGAAACAATTAAAAAATGTCATAATTTTACCAATAAAAATATATTTGCTATTTATTTTAGTAGTATTGTTTAGACTAATGGTGCACATAAACATCTAGTTTATTATTTAATGTTAGAGAACACATCTATATCTGGAGTGGAAAAAACAAAGCAAAGTTAATGTATAACAAAGATAGAAGTACATAAAACATGAAAGACATCTGTATCTACACAAGGTTAACAAGAACTGAGAACGAATTTTAAAAGATTTCTGGCTTATGTATGTCCAAAACACTTGCATAACTCCTGTGTGATGAAAATAATAACATGCACTGAGATGAAAATAATTATTGGGGAAATGTTGGAAGTTTTTTTGTCAATCTTCACACAACAAACTTCCAAAATAATACATTCACAGTTTTATTAAGATTTACAATGTAAATTAAATACATCATGATGAAGTATATTTTCTACATGCTTACCATTGCATGGGTTACTGGTGCTGATTGGTTGATTCATATTTGTTACAGTAAACCCAATCAAGCAGGAACAGTTGTAACTCCCAAATGAGTTGTTGCAACGAGAGTTTGGACCACAGACCTCTAATGTATTTAGACATTCATAGACATCTATATTACAGGAAGATATGAAAAGGGTATTGTTTTTATTAGGAACACAGAAATATGAATGTCACTTTACCACAAATCTATATTTTCTTATGTTTTTACAGAGGATGCAAACAATTGTGTCGCAACAGTAGAAAAAAAATAAACATACAAATAGAATTTCACTGAAAAATTAAATGTCTAAAAAATTACATTAGATTATTCTTCAAACTTGGACTATAAATAAATGTAATTATAGGATTTACCTCTACACGGGTTATTGATGCTGATGGTGAGATTTGAGTTTGTTACAGTGAATCCATCCAAACATGAGCAACTGTGACTTCCTATTTCATTTGTGCAGTTGGAATCTGGACCACATACAGATGGACTGACCAGACATTCGTCTATATCTATGGGGGAAAACAAATATAATGTAAAACATACAAATATAAACAGACAACAGCATGAAAGACATCAGGGCCCGGATCCCCAAAAGGTTCTTATCGCCAAGTAGTTCTTAACCTATTCCTTAACCTCTCTCTTAACCTTATGTCACGGTTCCCGAAACGTCCGTACGCTAAGTATATCTTCTGTAAGTCACACTTTCGTAAGGTTGGTCTGGACCATTCGTAAGCTCTCTCTTAGTGTTGTTTGAGCTCAAGACGCCAGTCGCCGCCACTGTGCAGCAGTCTTTAGAAACTTACACACATTTTCCAAACGGTCACCTTTTTTCAAAACGCTAAAACTTCCAAAACTTTACACACAAAATGCAAAATGCCTCACATCTCCTTCAAAAATGTAACACTGCATTTAAACTGCCATAAACACATGTCAGGATAAAGCATTTGCATCAAATGGCAAACACTTAAACTAAAAGTATATTCTTTATAATACAGTAAAGGACACAATTGATTGTGGTGGTGGTGGTGGTGGGGGGGGGGGGGGTCTCTGTCCATTGTTGGCATCCATTGTTCAAAACAGGTAATCTGACCTTTGACCTATTATAGGCTTATATTACAGTAAAAGCAGTGATTGGTTAGTGATCAGTAAAGCAATTAGTGTTTGGACATATAAGGAGGAGTGTGTGTGTGACCTGGTGAATAAGTGTAGCATTTTGATTGGTGTGTTTGGAAAAGGAAAGCCAGTCAATTCCTGCTTGATGGTTTGTGTTTTAGGTAGAGAATTGTGTGTAGTGTTTTATGCAATTGGAAACTGAGACAAATGCTGAGAAATAGTAGCTTATGGTTTTGGAGATTTGGTATAGGTTTGAACTTTGAGTGAGAGGTTTCAGGGCTGGAGTGGGACTAATTTTACCCACATGCCCACTTTAGTTGCCCACTGAATATATTACAGTTTTTTACAATCACTTTGATAATATTTTCAGAACCTTGATGTCATTTTTCAAAATTCTAGAGACAAAACTCAAAATCAAAACTCAAAAAAAATAAATTACTGTGAAACACCATTGAAACATAACTATAGATCACACACACACACACACACAAGCAACCGATAGTTTCACTGTGTCATTGTTCATACAATCATTATATATATTGTAGAACAAAATAGGTGATACAAGTTTCATTATAATACTCCATGTACAGTAAATATAAATCTCGTAATCTTGAAACTTTCATGATTTGCTGTAAACATGGAAGGTTGTGTGTCTGTTTCCATACAACTATTTCTTTAAGCGTACTGCAACAGTTACTTATCAATTTGAGCAGTTGTATCAATTGATAGTTAGATCATTGTAAGGAAATGAATAGACACTCATTTGAAATGTAATGTGTGAATTGCCTTTTGAAATAGTAGTACTGTGATGTTAAGTTGTGTCAGTTTGTGTATGTGTATTGTATTCAAGCAATTGAGAAATGGGTTAGAGTTTTGAAATATGTCCATTTTGATCATTGGTTGTGAGTTTTGTCTCTAGAGTTTAAAAAAATGACATCAAGGTTCTGGAAATAGTAACAAAGTGATTGTAAAAAAAACTGTAAAACAATGTAATTAAAACCTCAGTATATATATAAGTCTGCAATAGTGTACTCTTCTGTATAGCCTTGTAATTCATTGTATTTTGCAAAAATATAATTTTCTATTCAGTGCAAAAGCCATACACAGGGTTTTATAAATACCGAGGTCCCAAAAGTTATCTTGATAGGGGGTTCGGGGGCATATTATTTTTCACTGTAATTGTCAAAGAACTTAGGCTATGTATATAGGAATCCATTGCAATCAATGTATTCTTATTCTGGGCACTGTATCCAATAGGCTATTGCTTTACCTGCTTTACCTCTCCTCTCTTATCTCATCTCCTTCTCTCGTTCTTCTTCTCTCAGTCTCTTTATTTTTACTTGTAAATATCCCCTTCCTGAAGCTGAGCTTTGATGGATGTTTAGTTTTGCCACTTGCATACTATCTCGTGAAGCTTTGCATTGGGATTCGCTCGCGCTTCTGTGAACACCCTGCTTTGATCGTCATCTCAAACATTTTGACATATCACAATTTGATAATTTAATTAATATTTTACTGATAACTTAAACAATGTTGAAATAAATGTTACTCGAATTACTTGAGGAATGTTTAATTTGCATAAAACATGTTATCTTTCGCGTGAAGTGGAAAATCGAATCCTTAGCAATCGATGCCAGCTAATTCAGCACCTTCACTTGGGACCGCGCCTTTGTAACGTCGAACGTAAGAGGAGCGAGTTAAGAAGCTTCCTAAGAGACACTTCGGGGAACACACTTAGAAACATAGACAACTTCTGTAAGATATATCTTTTTCAGTCTTCTTAGCGCGCTAAGAGTGAGCGTTATCGGGGTACCGGGCCCTGGTGTCTAACAATCTCTACATATACACTAGGACAATAAGAACTGAGAAAGGACAATGACAACATGTTTAAACAAACAAAAACAAAAAAAACACAAAACTAAGATTTTAAAACGTGTATCTATTTAAAAACATTTATATAAAATGATAAAGAATTATAAAGAAGTATGGCTTATGTATGTCCAAAAACACTTGTATAGCTCCTGTGGATAAAAACACACGCACTGAAAAGAAAAATAATTGGGGGAAATGTGAAGAACTCTGAGATTTTTGACTAACATCTCAAAATATATTTTTAATAGATAAATATTATCAATGTTACTGTTAACAGTGTATTTGGGGGTACAAACAAAAAAAGAATGATAAGTTTCTCAATACTCCTGTTATTTGTCATGATATTGAACTATGAGCTTTTGCTGTCAGTCATACCTCTACATGTGTTATTGCTGTTTATAGGGAGGTTTGGGTCTGTTACATCATATCCACTCTTGCAGGAGCAATTGTAACTCCCAACAGTGTTGCTGCAGTTTGAGTTTGGACCGCAGACCTCTGATCTCTCGACACATTCATCCACATCTTTAGTAAAAGAAAATTGCAGGCAAAGAAATAAATTAAAAATCAGTTCCCTCTTTAGGTTTACTCTTTCCTCGTACAGAATGTGGAGGTCAACTCATTAACTGCCCAACCTTACAATCTAATATTTTATTTAGAATATTTTGTCTAAAGTAGGAAACAATTAAAAAAATTCATAATGTTACTTTTAAAAATATATTTGCTATTTATTTTAGTAGTATTGTTTAGTCTAATGGTGCACATAAACATCTAGTTTATTATTTAATGTTAGAGAACAGAGATATGAATCTAGAATGTACCTCTACACGGGTTATTGATGCTGATGGTGAGATTTGAGTTTGTTACAGAGAATCCATCCAAACATGAGCAATTGTGACTTCCTATTTCATTTGTGCAGTTGGAATCTGGACCACATACAGATGGACTGACCAGACATTCATCGATATCTGGAGTGGAAAAAACAAAGCAAAGTTAATGTATAACATAAAGACAGAAGTACATAAAACATGAAAGACATCTGTATCTACACAAGGTTAACAAGAACTGAAAACGAATTTTAAAAGATTTCTGGCTTATGTATGTCTAAAACTCTTGCATAACTCCTGTGTGTTGAAAATAATAACATGCACTGAGATGAAAATAATTATTGGGGAAATTTTGGGAGTTTTTGTCAATCATCACACAAAAAACTTCCACAATAAAACATTCACAGTTTTATTAATCAACATCTCAGATTGTGCTTTATAATACATATAAATTGGCGATGTTATTGTTAACACTATTTTTAAAAAAGAGAAACAAAATAATTAAAAAACATGTTATTAGCTTCCCAATAACCGTTTTCTTTGTCATGAATTTATTAGCACTGATTGCTTCATCAGTCAATCATACCTCTACATGTGTTATTGCGGTTTATAGGGAGGTTTGGGTCTGTTACATCATATCCACTCTTGCAGGAGCAATTGTAACTCCCAACAGTGTTGCTGCAGTTTGAGTTTGGACCGCAGACCTCTGATCTCTCGACACATTCATTCACGTCTTTAGTAAAAGGAAGTTATGGGAAGAAGAACAGTTTGGGTCAGTTTAATCTCATTCCTTGTCATCTTTACAATACAATGCTTCATTTACAAAACTCAATGTAAATTCTGTTCAAATTCTAGATAAGTAAGTAAGGTTAGACTAAACACAAATCTAAACTGTACCTCTACATGTGTTATTGATGCTGATGGTGAGATTTGAGTTTGTTACAGTGAATCCATCCAAACATGAGCAATTGTGACTTCCTATTTCATTTGTGCAGTTGGAATCTGGACCACATACAGATGGACTGAGCAGACATTCATCTATATCTAGAGTGGAAAACAAATATAATGTATAACATACAAACACAAAAGCATGAAAAACATCTGGTGTCCAACAACCTCTACATATATACTAGGACAATAAGAACTGAGAAAGGACAATGACAACATGTTTAAAAACAAGAGACCACAAAACTAAAGTTTTTTAAACTTGTATCTATTTAAAAACATTGTTTTATAGAAAATTAATAAGAATTATAAAGAAGTATGGCTTATTTATATCCAAAAACACTTGCATAGCTCCTGTGGATAAAAACACATGCACTGAAAAGAAAAATAATTGGGGGAAATGTGAGGAACTCTGAGATTTTTTACTAACATCTCGAAATATGCTTTGAATACATAAATATTATCAATGTTACTGTTAACAGTGTATTTGGGGGTACTAACAAAAAAAGAATGATACGTTTCTCAATAGTCCTGCTATTTGTCATGATATTGAACTATGAGCTTTTGCTGTCAGTCATACCTCTACATGTGTTATTGCTGTTTATAGGGAGGTTTGGGTCTGTTACATCATATCCACTCTTGCAGGAGCAATTGTAACTCCCAACAGTGTTGCTGCAGTTTGAGTTTGGACCGCAGACCTCTGATCTCTCGACACATTCATCCACATCTTTAGTAAAAGAAAATTGCAGGAAAAGAAATAAATTAAAAATCAGTTCCCTCTGTAGGTTTACTCTTTCCTCGTACAGAATGTGGAGGTCAACTCATTAACTGCCCAACCTTACAATCTAATATTTTATTTAGAATATTTTATCCAAAGTAGGAAACAGTTAAAAAAAATTCATAATTTTACTATTAAAAATATATTTGCTATTTATTTTAGTAGTATTGTTTAGTCTAATGGTGCACATAAACATCTAGTTTATTATTTAATGTTAGAGAAGAGAGATATGAATCTAGAATGTACCTCTACACGGGTTATTGATGCTGATGGTGAGATTTGAGTTTGTTACAGTGAATCCATCCAAACATGAGCAATTGTGACTTCCTATTTCATTTGTGCAGTTGGAATCTGGACCACATACAGATGGACTGACCAGACATTCATCAATATCTGGAATGGAAAAAACAAAGCAAAGTTAATGTATAACATAAAGACAGAAGTACATAAAACATGAAAGACATCTGTATATACACAAGGTTAACAAGAACTGAGAACGAATTTTAAAAGATTTCTGGCTTATGTATGTCCAAAACACTTGCATAACTCCTGTGTGATGAAAATAATAACATGCACTGAGATGAAAATAATTATTGGGGAAATGTTGGAAGTTTTTTTGTCAATCTCCACACAAAAGACTTCCACAATAATACATTCACAGTTTTATTAAGATTTACAATGTAAATTAAATACATCATGATGAAGTATATTTTCTACATGCTTACCATTGCATGGGTTACTGGTGCTGATTGGTTGATTCATATTTGTTACAGTAAACCCAATCAAGCAGGAACAGTTGTAACTCCCAAATGAGTTGTTGCAACGAGAGTTTGGACCACAGACCTCTAATGTATTTAGACATTCATTGACATCTATATTACAGGAAGATATGAAAAGGGTATTGTTTTTATTAGGAACACAGAAATATGAATGTCACTTTACCACAAATCTATATTTTCTTATGTTTTTTACAGAGGATGCATACAATTGTGTCGCAACAGTAGAAAAAAAATAAACATACAAATAGAATTTCACTGAAAAATTAAATGTCTAAAAAATTACATTAGATTATTCTTCAAACTTAGACTATACATAAATGTAATTATAGGATTTACCTCTACACGGGTTATTGATGCTGATGGTGAGATTTGAGTTTGTTACAGTGAATCCATCCAAACATGAGCAATTGTGACTTCCTATTTCATTTGTGCAGCTGGAATCTGGACCACATACAGATGGACTGACCAGACATTCGTCTATATCTATGGGGGAAAACAAATATAATGTAAAACATACAAATATAAACAGACAAAAGCATGAAAGACATCAGGGCCCGGTTCCCCAAAAGGTTCTTATCGCTAAGTAGTTCTTAACCTATTCCTTAACCTCTCTCTTAACCTTATGTCACGGTTCCCGAAACGTCCGTACGCTAAGTATATCTTCTGTAAGTCACACTTTCGTAAGGTTGGTCTGGACCATTCGTAAGCTCTCTCTTAGTGTTGTTTGAGCTCAAGACGCCAGTCGCCGCCACTGTGCAGCAGTCTTTAGAAACTTACACACATTTTCAAAACTGTCACCTTTTTTCAAAACGCTAAAACTTCCAAAACTTCACACACAAAATGCAAAATGCCTCACATCTCCTTCAAAAATGTAACACTGCATTTAAACTGCCATAAACACATGTCAGGATAAAGCATTTGCATCAAATGGCAAACACTTAAACTAAAAGTATATTCTTTATAATACAGTAAAGGACACAATTGATTGTGGTGGTGGTGGTGGTGGTGTGGGGGGGGGGGGTCTCTGTCCATTGTTGGCATCCATTGTTCAAAACAGGTAATCTGACCTTTGACCTATTATAGGCTTATATTACAGTAAAAGCAGTGATTGGTTAGTGATCAGTAAAGCAATTAGTGTTTGGAGATATAAGGAGTGTGTGTGTGACCTGGTGAATAAGTGTAGCATTTTGATTGGTGTGTTTGGAAAAGGAAAGCCAGTCAATTCCTGCTAGATGGTTTGTGTTTTAGGTGGAGAATTGTGTTTAGTGTTTTATGCAATTGGAAACTGAGACAAAGGCTGAGAAATAGTAGCTTAGGGTTTTGGAGATTTGGTATAGGTTTGAACTTTGAGTGAGAGGTTTCAGGGCTGGAGTGGGACTAATTTTACCCACATGCCCACTTTACAGGTAGTTGCCCACTGAATATATTACAGTTTTTTACAATCACTTTGATAATATTTTCAGAACCTTGATGTCATTTTTCAAAATTCTAGAGACAAAACTCAAAATCAAAACTCAAAAAAAATAAATTACTGTGAAACACCATTGAAACATAACTATAGATCACACACACACACACACACACACACACACACACACAAGCAACCGATAGTTTCACTGTGTCATTGTTCATACAATCATTATATATATTGTAGAACAAAATAGGTGATACAAGTTTCATTATAATACTCCATGTACAGTAAATATACATCTCGTAATCTTGAAACTTTCATGATTTGCTGTAAACATGGAAGGTTGTGTGTCTGTTTCCATACAACTATTTCTTTAAGCGTACTGCAACAGTTACTTATCAATTTGAGCAGTTGTATCAATTGATAGTTAGATCATTGTAAGGAAATGAATAGACACTCATTTGAAATGTAATGTGTGAATTGCCTTTTGAAATAGTAGTACTGTGATGTTAAGTTGTGTCAGTTTGTGTATGTGTATTGTATTCAAGCAATTGAGAAATGGGTTAGAGTTTTGAAATATGTCCATTTTGATCATTGGTTGTGAGTTTTGTCTCTAGAGTTTTAAAAAATGACATCAAGGTTCTGGAAATAGTAACAAAGTGATTGTAAAAAAAACTGTAAAATAATGTAATTAAAACCTCAATATATATATAAGTCTGCAATAGTGTACTCTTCTGTATAGCCTTGTAATTCATTGTATTTTGCAAAAATATAATTTTCTATTCAGTGCAAAAGCCATACACAGGGTTTTATAAATACAGAGGTCCCAAAGGTGATCTTGATAGGGGGTTCGGGGGCATATTATTTTTCACTGTAATTGTCAAAGAACTTAGGCTATGTATATAGGAATCCATTGCAATCAATGTATTCTTATTCTGGGCACTGTATCCAATAGGCTATTGCTTTACCTGCTTTACCTCTCCTCTCTTATCTCATCTCCTTCTCTCGTTCTTCTTCTCTCAGTCTCTTTATTTTTACTTGTAAATATCCCCTTCCTGAAGCTGAGCTTTGATGGATGTTTAGTTTTGCCACTTGCATACTATCTCGTGAAGCTTTGCATTGGGATTCGCTCGCGCTTCTGTGAACACCCTGCTTTGATCGTCATCTCAAACATTTTGACATATCACAATTTGATAATTTAATTAATATTTTACTGATAACTTAAACAATGTTGAAATAAATGTTACTCGAATTACTTGAGGAATGTTTAATTTGCATAAAACATGTTATCTTTCGCGTGAAGTGGAAAATCGAATCCTTAGCAATCGATGCCAGCTAATTCAGCACCTTCACTTGGGACAGCGCCTTTGTAACGTCGAACGTAAGAGGAGCGAGTTAAGAAGCTTCCTAAGAGACACTTCGGGGAACACACTTAGAAACATAGACAACTTCTGTAAGATATATCTTTTTCAGTCTTCTTAGCGCGCTAAGAGTGAGCGTTATCGGGGTACCGGGCCCTGGTGTCTAACAATCTCTACATATACACTAGGACAATAAGAACTGAGAAAGGACAATGACAACATGTTTAAACAAACAAAAAAAAAAAACACAAAACTAAGATTTTAAAACTTGTATCTATTTAAAAACATTTATATAAAATGATAAAGAATTATAAAGAAGTATGGCTTATGTATGTCCAAAAACACTTGTATAGCTCCTGTGGATAAAAACACATGCACTGAAAAGAAAAATAATTGGGGGAAATGTGAAGAACTCTGAGATTTTTGACTAACATCTCAAAATATATTTTGAATAGATAAATATTATCAATGTTACTGTTAACAGTGTATTTGGGGGTACTAACAAAAAGAGAATGATAAGTTTCTCAATAGTCCTGTTATTTGTCATGATATTGAACTATGAGCTTTTGCTGTCAGTCATACCTCTACATGTGTTATTGCTGTTTATAGGGAGGTTTGGGTCTGTTACATCATATCCACTCTTGCAGGAGCAATTGTAACTCCCAACAGTGTTGCTGCAGTTTGAGTTTGGACCGCAGACCTCTGATCTCTCGACACATTCATTCACATCTTTAGTAAAAGAAAATTGCAGGCAAAGAAATAAATTAAAAATCAGTTCCCTCTTTAGGTTTACTCTTTCCTCGTACAGAATGTGGAGGTCAACTCATTAACTGCCCAACCTTACAATCTAATATTTTATTTAGAATATTTTATCCAAAGTAGGAAACAATTAAAAAATGTCATAATTTTACTTTTAAAAATATATTTGCTATTTATTTTAGTAGTATTGTTTAGTCTAATGGTGCACATAAACATCTAGTTTATTATTTAATGTTAGAGAACACAGAGATATGAATCTAGAATGTACCTCTACACGGGTTATTGATGCTGATGGTGAGATTTGAGTTTGTTACAGAGAATCCATCCAAACATGAGCAATTGTGACTTCCTATTTCATTTGTGCAGTTGGAATCTGGACCACATACAGATGGACTGACCAGACATTCATCTATATCTAGAGTGGAAAAAACAAAGCAAAGTTAATGTATAACATAAAGACAGAAGTACATAAAACATGAAAGACATCTGTATCTATACAAGGTTAACAAGAACTGAGAACGAATTTTAAAAGATTTCTGGCTTATGTATGTCTAAAACACTTGCATAACTCCTGTGTGATGGAAATAATAACATGCACTGAGATGAAAATAATTATTGGGGAAATTTGGGGATTTTTTTTTTTTTTGTCAATCTTCACACAAAAAACTTCCACAATAAAACATTCACAGTTTTATTAATCAACATCTCAGATTGTGCTTTATAATACATATACATTGGCGATGTTATTGTTAACACTATTTGTAAAAAAGAGAAATAAAATAATTAAAAAACAAGTTATTAGCTTCCCAATAACCGTTTTCTTTGACATGAATTTATTAGCACTGATTGCTTCATCAGTCAATCATACCTCTACATGTGTTATTGCTGTTTATAGGGAGGTTTGGATCTGTTGCATCATATCCACTCTTGCAGGAGCAATTGTAACTCCCAACAGTGTTGCTGCAGTTTGAGTTTGGACCGCAGACCTCTGATCTCTCGACACATTCATTCACATCTTTAGTAAAAGGAAGTTTTGGGAAGAAGAACAGTTTGGGTCAGTTTAATCTCATTCCTTGTCATCTTTACAATACAATGCTTCATTTACAAAAAATAAAAGTAAATTTTGTTCAAATTCTAGATAATTATGTAAGGTTAGACTAAACACAAATCTAAACTGTACCTCTACATGTGTTATTGATGCTGATGGTGAGATTTGAGTTTGTTACAGTGAATCCATCCAAACATGAGCAATTGTGACTTCCTATTTCATTTGTGCAGTTGGAATCTGGACCACATACAGATGGACTGACCAGACATTCATCGATATCTGGAGTGGAAAAAAACAAAGCAAAGTTAATGTATAACATAAAGATAGAAGTACATAAAACATGTAAGACATCTGTATCTACACAAGGTTAACAAGAACTGAGAACGAATTTTAAAAGATTTCTGGCTTATGTATGTCCAAAACACTTGCATAACTCCTGTGTGATGAAAATAATAACATGCACTGAGATGAAAATAATTATTGGGGAAATGTTGGAAGTTTTTTTGTCAATCTTCACACAAAAGACTTCCACAATAATACATTCACAGTTTTATTAAGATTTACAATGTAAATTAAATACATCATGATGAAGTATATTTTCTACATGCTTACCATTGCATGGGTTACTGGTGCTGATTGGTTGATTCATATTTGTTACAGTAAACCCAATCAAGCAGGAACAGTTGTAACTCCCAAATGAGTTGTTGCAACGAGAGTTTGGACCACAGACCTCTAATGTATTTAGACATTCATTGACATCTATATTACAGGAAGATATGAAAAGGGTATTGTTTTTATTAGGAACACAGAAATATGAATGTCACTTTAACACAAATCTATATTTTCTTATGTTTTTACAGAGGATGCATACAATTGTGTTGCAACAGTAGAAAAAAAAATAAACATACAAATAGAATTTCACTGAAAAATTAAATGTCTAAAAAATTACATTAGATTATTTTTCAAACTTAGACAATAAATAAATGTAATTATAGGATTTACCTCTACACGGGTTATTGATGCTGATGGTGAGATTTGAGTTTGTTACAGTGAATCCATCCAAACATGAGCAATTGTAACTTCCTATTTCATTTGTGCAGCTGGAATCTGGACCACATACAGATGGACTGACCAGACATTCGTCTATATCTATGGGGGAAAAAAATTTGACAAATAAAAATTATATATATATTATTTTTACTGTATTAAATAAGGCAAAGAAGCTAAAGACATGAAAGACTTTGTGTATTTAAACAAAATTATTCACATTATAATTCCAAAAACATTCCAGGATTTTCTACATATAATGGACTTCATTGGGAACCAAACGTTTCAAGGTCCAAATGAGAGATTCAGTGCAGCTTCAAAGGGCTTTAAACGACACCAGACGATGAATAAGGGTTTTATCTAGCGAAACGATCCGTCATTTAAAAAATAAATTAAAAAGTTTAAGTTTTATAAGCACAAATGCTCGCCATGCTCTGTTCTGTGATGAGCATTCGTGACTCTAGTGTTCAAACTCATTCATCAAAATGAACAAATCTTTTTTCGAGTCATGACTCGAAGGGTCCTAGATAAGACCCTTATTCATCGTCTGGTGTCGTTTAAAGCCCTTTGAAGCTGCACTGAAACTCTCATTTGGACCTTGAAACGTTTAATTCCCAGGGAAGTCCATTATATGGAGAAAATCCTGGAATGTTTTCACCAAAAACCTTAATTTCTTTTCGACTGAAGAAAGAAAGACATGGACATCTTGGATGACATGGGGGTGAGTAAATTATCAGCAAAATGTTTTTTTTTTTTAAATGAACTACTCCTTTAAACAGGAACAGCTAAAACTCACACTAGTATTTACACAAACTGTAAAGATATAGCAGCTCTGCACTCTCAATTTTATGATATAAAATAGAAAACAAAATCAGTTGAAAATACTCACCCTGACATGAGTTGTTGTGGCTCACAGGACTGTCTTTATTTGAGGAAATAAATCCACTCCAGCATGAACACTTGTGACTCCCGATGATGTTAATACAGTCTGAGTATTGACCACAAACTGACACTGCATCTTCACATTCATTGATGTCTGAAAAAGAAAAAAAGAATAGTGAGAAGCTATTGCATAAATGTTACAATTTTATAAACCACCAAAACATGTCAAGTGTCACTGAGTAAAATCAATTGTGATCTAATGTGATTTCTCACCTCTCTGGCAAAGCGGACCCTCTGAAGGGAGAGCTTGAATACATCCACAAGTGCCCCCCACAATCTCATCACACTCATGATAGGCCCTGCAGGTGTCATTGGGCCAAACATGACGCTCCTCACACTTGCACTCATATTGTGTTCCATTTAACCCACACACTGTAAGAGAATAGGATTTATTCATCTGCGCTCAAACTGTCAATTTGTCCTGATACTGAACTCATCTTAGTATGTGACGTGATGAAACATTCAGCTCTCACCAGTAGTCATGTCGATATCTGTGATATTTATGCTGTTGCTCAGAGTCAAAGGCAGGCTGATGTTCATGATTAGACTTCTTAAGTAGTTCACCAAGTACAAGTCAAAGAATCTCACATCAATGTCAATCATGTACTTAGAAGGCAGCACTGCAAGAACAAACAGAAGCAGGTTGAGCCAAACAATTCATGCAATTAATTACATTTCTAAAATAACAAAACTATCAGTTTTTTAATGACATTCTTTGTAGTCTAAGCTTTATAATTTAAAAGAACGTCAATTTGTTGTTAATATCTTCATGACAGAACTCCATACAATAGACCATGTGTCTTACACAGAGTTATTTGCAAACAAAAACAAGCACATAATCAGTTTGTTAATCCTAGTAGCAAAATGCAGTAAAATCAAAGCAGAAAAAAACTGAAATTGATTAAAGGGATAAAACTGATGTTGTCGTAGAATGACGCCAGTGTCTCACCTTGACAGAACTGTCCATCCACTGGAAGGGCATTGATACATGTACATGAACCATTAGTGATGTCATCACAGGCCTCGTATGAGTGACACGTGTCATTTGGCCAAACAAACAGACCCTCACATTTACACTGATACTGCGTTTGGTTCAATGAACACACTGAAAAGCAAAAGAAGAGTCCAAACATCAAATAATGTATGTCAGTACTCGTGATGTATAAAGTTTATTCTCAGCTATTTAACATTACAAAGCAGAGACAGAGCTCGTACCAGTAGTTATGCTGATTTCTGTAATGTTAGTGCTGTCACTGATTATGTAGGGCAAATTAAAAGACATCAGAAGAGTCCTCAGCTGATCAGTGACGCTACTATCCACACTATTGATCTGAATTTCAATCAGATATTCAGTCAAAGGTAGAGTCACTGTAGAAAAAAGAGATAAAAACATCCAGAAATTATGACTACGCCTTCCATCTACAAATACAATAATCGAAGTTCACAAAAGGAAACAATTTACAGATTTTTCAACCATTCAGGATTTCATTCAACAGTTTTTTAATTACTCGATTATGTATTTCAGCAGCTTTTATCAAGGCTGAAAACATAAATAACAAACACACACCAAACCATATAATAGATTTAATTGATATTTCTGTCAAATCTACTTAAAATGTAAATTAAATACATCATGATGAAGTATATTTTCTACATGCTTACCATTGCATGGGTTACTGGTGCTGATTGGTTGATTCATATTTGTTACAGTAAACCCAATCAAGCAGGAACAGTTGTAACTCCCAAATGAGTTGTTGCAACGAGAGTTTGGACCACAGACCTCTAATGTATTTAGACATTCATAGACATCTATATTACAGGAAGATATGAAAAGGGTATTGTTTTTATTAGGAACACAGAAATATGAATGTCACTTTACCACAAATCTATATTTTCTTATGTTTTTACAGAGGATGCATACAATTGTGTCGCAACAGTAGAATAAAAATAAACATACAAATAGAATTTCACTGAAAAATTAAATGTCTAAAAAATTACATTAGATTATTTTTCAAACTTAGACTATAAATAAATGTAATTATAGGATTTACCTCTACACGGGTTATTGATGCTGATGGTGAGATTTGAGTTTGTTACAGTGAATCCATTCAAACATGAGCAATTGTAACTTCCTATTTCATTTGTGCAGCTGGAATCTGGACCACATACAGATGGACTGACCAGACATTCGTCTATATCTATGGGGGAAAAAATTTGACAAATAAAAAATATATATATATATTATTTTTACTGTATTAAATAAGGCAAAGAGGCTAAAGACATTAAAGACTTTGTGTATTTAAACAAAATTATTCACATTATAATTCCAAAAACATTCCAGGACTTTCTACATATAATGGACTTCATTGGGAACCAAACGTTTCAAGGTCCAAATGAGAGATTCAGTGCAGCTTCAAAGGGCTTTAAACGACACCAGACGATGAATAAGGGTTTTATCTAGCGAAACGATCCGTCATTTAAAAAATAAATTAAAAAGTTTAAGTTTTATAAGCACAAATGCTCGCCATGCTCTGTTCTGTGATGAGCATTCGTGACTCTAGTGTTCAAACTCATTCATCAAAATGAACAAATCTTTTTTCGAGTCATGACTCGAAGGGTCCTAGATAAGACCCTTATTCATCGTCTGGTGTCGTTTAAAGCCATTTGAAGCTGCACTGAAACTCTCATTTGGACCTTGAACCGTTTGGTTCCCAGGGAAGTCCATTATATGGAGAAAATCCTGGAATGTTTTCATAAAAAACCTTCATTTCTTTTCGACTGAAGAAAAAAAGACGTGGACATCTTGGATGACATGGGGGTGAGTAAATTATCAGCAAAAGTTTTTTTAAAAGTGAACTACTCCTTTAAACAGGAACAGCTAAAACTCAAACTAGTATTCACACAAACTGTAAAGATATAGCAGCTCTGCACTCTCAATTTTATGAGATAAAAATAGAAAACAAAATCAGTTGAAAACTCACCCTGACATGAGTTGTTGCGGCTCACAGGACTGTCTTTATTTGAGGAATTAAATCCACTCCAGCATAAACACTTGTGACTCCCGATGATGTTAATACAGTCTGAGTATTGACCACAAACTGACACTGCATCTTCACATTCATTGATGTCTGAAAAAGAAAAAAAGAATAGTGAGAAGCTATTGCATAAATGTTACAATTTTATAAACCACCAAAACATGTCAAGTGTCACTGAGTAAAATCAATTGTGATCTAATGTGATTTCTCACCTCTCTGGCAAAGCGGACCCTCTGAAGGGAGAGCTTGAATACATCCACAAGTGCCCCCCACAATCTCATCACACTCATGATAGGCCCTGCAGGTGTCATTGGGCCAAACATGACGCTCCTCACACTTGCACTCATATTGTGTTCCATTTAACCCACACACTGTAAGAGAATAGGATTTATTCATCTGCGCTCAAACTGTCAATTTGTCCTGATACTGAACTCATCTTAGTATGTGACGTGATGAAACATTCAGCTCTCACCAGTAGTCATGTCGATATCTGTGATATTTATGCTGTTGCTCAGAGTCAAAGGCAGGCTGATGTTCATGATTAGACTTCTTAAGTAGTTCACCAAGTACAAGTCAAAGAATCTCACATCAATGTCAATCATGTACTTAGAAGGCAGCACTGCAAGAACAAACAGAAGCAGGTTGAGCCAAACAATTCATGCAATTACATTTCTAAAATAACAAAACTATCAGTTTTTTAATGATGTTCTTTGTAGTCTAAGCTTTATAATTTAAAAGAACGTCAATTTGTTGTAAACTCCATACAATAGACCATGTGTCTTACACAGAGTTATTTGCAAACAAAAACAAGCACATAATCAGTTTGTTAATCCTAGTAGCAAAATGCAGTAAAATCAAAGCAGGAAAAACTGAAATTAATTAAAGGGATAAAACTGATGTTGTCGTAGAATGACGCCAGTGTCTCACCTTGACAGAACTGTCCATCCACTGGAAGGGCATTGATACATGTACATGAACCATTAGTGATGTCATCACAGGCCTCGTATGAGTGACATGTGTCATTTGGCCAAACAAACAGACCCTCACATTTACACTGATACTGCGTTTGGTTCAATGAACACACTGAAAAGCAAAAGAAGAGTCCAAACATCAAATAATGTATGTCAGTACTCGTGATGTATAAAGTTTATTCTCAGCTATTTAACATTACAAAGCAGAGACAGAGCTCGTACCAGTAGTTATGCTGATTTCTGTAATGTTAGTGCTGTCACTGATTATGTAGGGCAAATTAAAAGACATCAGAAGAGTCCTCAGCTGATCAGTGACGCTACTATCCACACTATTGATCTGAATTTCAATCAGATATTCAGTCAAAGGTAGAGTCACTGTAGAAAAAAAGATAAAAACATCCAGAAATTATGACTACACCTTACATCTACAAATACAATAATCGAAGTTCACAAAGGAAACACTTTACAGATTTTTCAACCATTCAGGATTTCATTCAATAGTTTTTAACTCGATTATGTATTTCAGCAGCTTTTATCATGGCTGAAAACATAAATAACATAAACAAACACCAAACCATATAATAGATTTAATTGATATTTCTGTCAAATCTACTTACAATGTAAATTAAATACATCATGATGAAGTATATTTTCTACATGCTTACCATTGCATGGGTTACTGGTGCTGATTGGTTGATTCATATTTGTTACAGTAAACCCAATCAAGCAGGAACAGTTGTAAATCCCAAATGAGTTGTTGCAACGAGAGTTTGGACCACAGACCTCTAATGTATTTAGACATTCATTGACATCTATATTACAGGAAGATATGAAAAGGGTATTGTTTTTATTAGGAACACTGAAATATGAATGTCACTTTAACACAAATCTATATTTTCCTATGTTTTTATTACTTTATAAATAGAGGATGCATACAATTGTGTATGCAACAGTTGAAAAAAATGCTGTTCAACTGTTAAATAAACAACAAACTGTTAAAAATAATTTCACTGAAAAATTAAATGTCTAAAAAATTACATTAGATTATTTTTCAAACTTAGACTATAAATAAATGTAATTATAGGATTTACCTCTACACGGGTTATTGATGCTGATGGTGAGATTTGAGTTTGTTACAGTGAATCCATTCAAACATGAGCAATTGTAACTTCCTATTTCATTTGTGCAGCTGGAATCTGGACCACATACAGATGGACTGACCAGACATTCGTCTATATCTATGGGGGAAAAAATTTGACAAATAAAAAAAAAAAAATATATATATATATATATATATATATATATTATTTTTACTGTATTAAATAAGGCAAAGAGGCTAAAGACATGAAAGACTTTGTGTATTTAAACAAAATTATTCACATTATATTTCCTAGACAGGAAAATATATATATAAAAAAATTGTTGTGTGATGTAATACATTAAACAGGAACAGCTAAAACTCACACTAGTATTCACACAAACTGTAAAGATATAGCAGCTCTGCACTCTCAATTTTATGAGATAAAAAATAGAAAACAAAATCAGTTGAAAATACTCACCCTGACATGAGTTGTTGTGGCTCACAGGACTGTCTTTATTTGAGGAATTAAATCCACTCCAGCATGAACACTTGTGACTCCCAATGATGTTAATACAGTCTGAGTATTGACCACAAACTGACACTGCATCTTCACATTCATTGATGTCTGAAAAAGAAAAAAAGAATAGTGAGAAGCTATTGCATAAATGTTACAATTTTATAAACCACCAAAACATGTCAAGTGTCACTGAGTAAAATCAATTGTGATCTAATGTGATTTCTCACCTCTCTGGCAAAGCGGACCCTCTGAAGGGAGAGCTTGAATACATCCACAAGTGCCCCCCACAATCTCATCACACTCATGATAGGCCCTGCAGGTGTCATTGGGCCAAACATGACGCTCCTCACACTTGCACTCATATTGTGTTCCATTTAACCCACACACTGTAAGAGAATAGGATTTATTCATCTGCGCTCAAACTGTCAATTTGTCCTGATACTGAACTCATCTTAGTATGTGACGTGATGAAACATTCAGCTCTCACCAGTAGTCATGTCGATATCTGTGATATTTATGCTGTTGCTCAGAGTCAAAGGCAGGCTGATGTTCATGATTAGACTTCTTAAGTAGTTCACCAGGAACAAGTCAAAGAATCTCACATCAATATCAATCATGTACTTAGAAGGCAGCACTGCAAGAACAAACAGAAGCAGGTTGAGCCGAACAATTCATGCAATTAATTACATTTCTAAAATAACAAAACTATCAGTTTTTTAATGATGTTCTTTGTAGTCTAAGCTTTATAATTTAAAAGAACGTCAATTTGTTGTAAACTCCATACAATAGACCATGTGTCTTACACAGAGTTATTTGCAAACAAAAACAAGCACATAATCAGTTTGTTAATCCTAGTAGCAAAATGCAGTAAAATCAAAGCAGGAAAAATCAAAATTGATTAAAGGGATAAAACTGATGTTGTCGTAGAATGACGCCAGTGTCTCACCTTGACAGAACTGTCCATCCACTGGAAGGGCATTGATACATGTACATGAACCATTAGTGATGTCATCACAGGCCTCGTATGAGTGACACGTGTCATTTGGCCAAACAAACAGACCCTCACATTTACACTGATACTGCGTTTGGTTCAATGAACACACTGAAAAGCAAAAGAAGAGTCCAAACATCAAATAATGTATGTCAGTACTCGTGATGTATAAAGTTTATTCTCAGCTATTTAACATTACAAAGCAGAGACAGAGCTCGTACCAGTAGTTATGCTGATTTCTGTAATGTTAGTGCTGTCACTGATTATGTAGGGCAAATTAAAAGACATCAGAAGAGTCCTCAGCTGATCAGTGACGCTACTATCCACACTATTGATCTGAATTTCAATCAGATATTCAGTCAAAGGTAGAGTCACTGTAGAAAAAAAGATAAAAACATCCAGAAATTATGACTACACCTTCCATCTACAAATACAATAATCAAAGTCCACAAAGGAAACTATTTACAGATTTTTCAACCATTCAGGATTTCATTCAATAGTTTTTAACTCGATTATGTATTTCAGCAGCTTTTATCAAGGCTGAAAACATAAATAACATAAACAAACACCAAACCATATAATAGATTTAATTGATATTTCTGTCAAATCTACTTACAATGTAAATTAAATACATCATGATGAAGTATATTTTCTACATGCTTACCATTGCATGGGTTACTGGTGCTGATTGGTTGATTCATATTTGTTACAGTAAACCCAATCAAGCAGGAACAGTTGTAAATCCCAAATGAGTTGTTGCAACGAGAGTTTGGACCACAGACCTCTAATGTATTTAGACATTCATTGACATCTATATTACAGGAAGATATGAAAAGGGTATTGTTTTTATTAGGAACACTGAAATATGAATATCACTTTAACACAAATCTATATTTTCCTATGTTTTTATTACTTTATAAATAGAGGATGCATACAATTGTGTATGCAACAGTTGAAAAAAATGCTGTTCAACTGTTAAATAAACAACAAACTGTTAAAAATAATTTCACTGAAAAATTAAATGTCTAAAAAATTACAATAGATTATTTTTCAAACTTAGACTATAAATAAATGTAATTATAGGATTTACCTCTACACGGGTTATTGATGCTGATGGTGAGATTTGAGTTTGTTACAGTGAATCCATTCAAACATGAGCAATTGTAACTTCCTATTTCATTTGTGCAGTTGGAATCTGGACCACATACAGATGGACTGACCAGACATTCGTCTATATCTATGGGGGAAAAATTTGACAAATAAAAATATATATATATATATATATATATATATATATATTATTTTTACTGTATTAAATAAGGCAAAGAGGCTAAAGACATGAAAGACTTTGTGTATTTAAACAAAATTATTCACATTATATTTCCTAGACGGGAAAATATATATAAAAAAAAATTGTTGGGTGATGTAATACATTTAACAGGAACAGCTAAAACTCACACTAGTATTCACACAAACTGTAAAGATATAGCAGCTCTGCACTCTCAATTTTATGAGATAAAAATAGAAAACAAAATCAGTTGAAAATACTCACCCTGACATGAGTTGTTGCGGCTCACAGGACTGTCTTTATTTGAGGAATTAAATCCACTCCAGCATGAACACTTGTGACTCCCAATGATGTTAATACAGTCTGAGTATTGACCACAAACTGACACTGCATCTTCACATTCATTGATGTCTGAAAAAGAAAAAAAGAATAGTGAGAAGCTATTGCATAAATGTTACAATTTTATAAACCACCAAAACATGTCAAGTGTCACTGAGTAAAATCAATTGTGATCTAATGTGATTTCTCACCTCTCTGGCAAAGCGGACCCTCTGAAGGGAGAGCTTGAATACATCCACAAGTGCCCCCACAATCTCATCACACTCATGATAGGCCCTGCAGGTGTCATTGGGCCAAACATGACGCTCCTCACACTTGCACTCATATTGTGTTCCATTTAACCCACACACTGTAAGAGAATAGGATTTATTCATCTGCGCTCAAACTGTCAATTTGTCCTGATACTGAACTCATCTTAGTATGTGACGTGATGAAACATTCAGCTCTCACCAGTAGTCATGTCGATATCTGTGATATTTATGCTGTTGCTCAGAGTCAAAGGCAGGCTGATGTTCATGATTAGACTTCTTAAGTAGTTCACCAGGAACAAGTCAAAGAATCTCACATCAATGTCAATCATGTACTTAGAAGGCAGCACTGCAAGAACAAACAGAAGCAGGTTGAGCCGAACAATTCATGCAATTAATTACATTTCTAAAATAACAAAACTATCAGTTTTTTAATGATGTTCTTTGTAGTCTAAGCTTTATAATTTAAAAGAACGTCAATTTGTTGTTAATATCTTCATGACAAAACTCCATACAATAGACCATGTGTCTTACACAGAGTTATTTGCAAACAAAAACAAGCACATAATCAGTTTGTTAATCCTAGTAGCAAAATGCAGTAAAATCAAAGCAGAAAAAAACTGAAATTGATTAAAGGGATAAAACTGATGTTGTCGTAGAATGACGCCAGTGTCTCACCTTGACAGAACTGTCCATCCACTGGAAGGGCATTGATACATGTACATGAACCATTAGTGATGTCATCACAGGCCTCGTATGAGTGACACGTGTCATTTGGCCAAACAAACAGACCCTCACATTTACACTGATACTGCGTTTGGTTCAATGAACACACTGAAAAGCAAAAGAAGAGTCCAAACATCAAATAATGTATGTCAGTACTCGTGATGTATAAAGTTTATTCTCAGCTATTTAACATTACAAAGCAGAGACAGAGCTCGTACCAGTAGTTATGCTGATTTCTGTAATGTTAGTGCTGTCACTGATTATGTAGGGCAAATTAAAAGACATCAGAAGAGTCCTCAGCTGATCAGTGACGCTACTATGCACACTATTGATCTGAATTTCAATCAGATATTCAGTCAAAGGTAGAGTCACTGTAGAAAAAAAGATGAAAACATCCAGAAATTATGACTACGCCTTCCATCTACAAATACAATAATCAAAGTTCACAAAGGAAACTATTTACAGATTTTTCAACCATTCAGGATTTCATTCAATAGTTTTTAACTCGATTATGTATTTCAGCAGCTTTTATCATGGCTGAAAACATAAATAACATAAACAAACACCAAACCATATAATAGATTGAAATGATATTTCTGTCAAATCTACTTACAATGTAAATTAAATACATCATGATGAAGTATATTTTCTACATGCTTACCATTGCATGGGTTACTGGTGCTGATTGGTTGATTCATATTTGTTACAGTAAACCCAATCAAGCAGGAACAGTTGTAAATCCCAAATGAGTTGTTGCAACGAGAGTTTGGACCACAGACCTCTAATGTATTTAGACATTCATTGACATCTATATTACAGGAAGATATGAAAAGGGTATTGTTTTTATTAGGAACACAGAAATATGAATGTCACTTTAACACAAATCTATATTTTCCTATGTTTTTATTACTTTATAAATAGAGGATGCATACAATTGTGTATGCAACAGTTGAAAAAAAAATGCTGTTCAACTGTTAAATAAACAACAAACTGTTAAATATAATTTCACTGAAAAATTAAATGTCTAAAAAATTACATTAGATTATTTTTCAAACTTAGACTATAAATAAATGTAATTATAGGATTTACCTCTACACGGGTTATTGATGCTGATGGTGAGATTTGAGTTTGTTACAGTGAATCCATCCAAACATGAGCAATTGTAACTTCCTATTTCATTTGTGCAGCTGGAATCTGGACCACATACAGATGGACTGACCAGACATTCGTCTATATCTATGGGGGAAAAATTTGACAAATAAAAATATATATGATATATAATATATATATATATATATATATATATATATATATATATTATTTTTACTGTATTAAATAAGGCAAAGAGGCTAAAGACATGAAAGACTTTGTGTATTTAAACAAAATTATTCACATTATATTTCCTAGACGGGAAAATATATATATAAAAAAATTGTTGGGTGATGTAATACATTAAACAGGAACAGCTAAAACTCACACTAGTATTCACACAAACTGTAAAGATATAGCAGCTCTGCACTCTCAATTTTATGATATAAAATAGAAAACAAAATCAGTTGAAAATACTCACCCTGACATGAGTTGTTGCGGCTCACAGGACTGTCTTTATTGGAGGAATTAAATCCACTCCAGCATGAACACTTGTGACTCCCAATGATGTTAATACAGTCTGAGTATTGACCACAAACTGACACTGCATCTTCACATTCATTGATGTCTGAAAAAGAAAAAAAGAATAGTGAGAAGCTATTGCATAAATGTTACAATTTTATAAACCACCAAAACATGTCAAGTGTCACTGAGTAAAATCAATTGTGATCTAATGTGATTTCTCACCTCTCTGGCAAAGCGGACCCTCTGAAGGGAGAGCTTGAATACATCCACAAGTGCCCCCCACAATCTCATCACACTCATGATAGGCCCTGCAGGTGTCATTGGGCCAAACATGACGCTCCTCACACTTGCACTCATATTGTGTTCCATTTAACCCACACACTGTAAGAGAATAGGATTTATTCATCTGCGCTCAAACTGTCAATTTGTCCTGATACTGAACTCATCTTAGTATGTGACGTGATGAAACATTCAGCTCTCACCAGTAGTCATGTCGATATCTGTGATATTTATGCTGTTGCTCAGAGTCAAAGGCAGGCTGATGTTCATGATTAGACTTCTTAAGTAGTTCACCAGGAACAAGTCAAAGAATCTCACATCAATGTCAATCATGTACTTAGAAGGCAGCACTGCAAGAACAAACAGAAGCAGGTTGAGCCGAACAATTCATGCAATTAATTACATTTCTAAAATAACAAAACTATCAGTTTTTTAATGATGTTCTTTGTAGTCTAAGCTTTATAATTTAAAAGAACGTCAATTTGTTGTAAACTCCATACAATAGACCATGTGTCTTACACAGAGTTATTTGCAAACAAAAACAAGCACATAATCAGTTTGTTAATCCTAGTAGCAAAATGCAGTAAAATCAAAGCAGGAAAAACTGAAATTAATTAAAGGGATAAAACTGATGTTGTCGTAGAATGACGCCAGTGTCTCACCTTGACAGAACTGTCCATCCACTGGAAGGGCATTGATACATGTACATGAACCATTAGTGATGTCATCGCAGGCCTCGTATGAGTGACACGTGTCATTTGGCCAAACAAACAGACCCTCACATTTACACTGATACTGCGTTTGGTTCAATGAACACACTGAAAAGCAAAAGAAGAGTCCAAACATCAAATAATGTATGTCAGTACTCGTGATGTATAAAGTTTATTCTCAGCTATTTAACATTACAAAGCAGAGACAGAGCTCGTACCAGTAGTTATGCTGATTTCTGTAATGTTAGTGCTGTCACTGATTATGTAGGGCAAATTAAAAGACATCAGAAGAGTCCTCAGCTGATCAGTGACGCTACTATCCACACTATTGATCTGAATTTCAATCAGATATTCAGTCAAAGGTAGAGTCACTGTAGAAAAAAAGATAAAAACATCCAGAAATTATGACTACACCTTACATCTACAAATACAATAATCGAAGTTCACAAAAGGAAACAATTTACAGATTTTTTAACCATTCAGGATTTCATTCAATAGTTTTTAACTCGATTATGTATTTCAGCAGCTTTTATCAAGGCTGAAAACATAAATAACATAAACAAACACCAAACCATATAATAGATTGAAATGATATTTCTGTCAAATCTACTTACAATGTAAATTAAATACATCATGATGAAGTATATTTTCTACATGCTTACCATTGCATGGGTTACTGGTGCTGATTGGTTGATTCATATTTGTTACAGTAAACCCAATCAAGCAGGAACAGTTGTAAATCCCAAATGAGTTGTTGCAACGAGAGTTTGGACCACAGACCTCTAATGTATTTAGACATTCATTGACATCTATATTACAGGAAGATATGAAAAGGGTATTGTTTTTATTAGGAACACTCAAATATGAATGTCACTTTAACACAAATCTATATTTTCCTATGTTTTTATTACTTTATAAATAGAGGATGCATACAATTGTGTATGCAACAGTTGAAAAAAAAATGCTGTTCGACTGTTAAATAAACAACAAACTGTTAAATATAATTTCACTGAAAAATTAAATCTCTAAATAATTACATTAGGTTATTTTCCAAAATTAGACAATAAATAAATGTAATTATAGGATTTACCTCTACACGGGTTATTGATGCTGATGGAGAGGTTTGAGTTTGTTACAGTGAATCCATTCAAACATGAGCAACTGTAACTTCCTATTTCATTTGTGCAGCTGGAATCTGGACCACATACAGATGGACTGACCAGACATTCGTCTATATCTATGGGGGAAAAAATTTGACAAATAAAAAAAAAAAATATATATATATATATATATATTATTTTTACTGTATTAAATAAGGCAAAGAGGCTAAAGACATGAAAGACTTTGTGTATTTAAACAAAATTATTCACATTATATTTCCTAGACGGGAAAATATATATATAAAAAAATTGTTGGGTGATGTAATACATTAAACAGGAACAGCTAAAACTCACACTAGTATTCACACAAACTTTAAAGATATAGCAGCTCTGCACTCTCAATTTTATGATATAAAATAGAAAACAAAATCAGTTGAAAATACTCACCCTGACATGAGTTGTTGCGGCTCACAGGACTGTCTTTATTGGAGGAATTAAATCCACTCCAGCATGAACACTTGTGACTCCCAATGATGTTAATACAGTCTGAGTATTGACCACAAACTGACACTGCATCTTCACATTCATTGATGTCTGAAAAAGAAAAAAAGAATAGTGAGAAGCTATTGCATAAATGTTACAATTTTATAAACCACCAAAACATGTCAAGTGTCACTGAGTAAAATCAATTGTGATCTAATGTGATTTCTCACCTCTCTGGCAAAGCGGACCCTCTGAAGGGAGAGCTTGAATACATCCACAAGTGCCCCCCACAATCTCATCACACTCATGATAGGCCCTGCAGGTGTCATTGGCCAAACATGACGCTCCTCACACTTGCACTCATATTGTGTTCCATTTAACCCACACACTGTAAGAGAATAGGATTTATTCATCTGCGCTCAAACTGTCAATTTGTCCTGATACTGAACTCATCTTAGTATGTGACGTGATGAAACATTCAGCTCTCACCAGTAGTCATGTCGATATCTGTGATATTTATGCTGTTGCTCAGAGTCAAAGGCAGGCTGATGTTCATGATTAGACTTCTAAGTAGTTCACCAGGAACAAGTCAAAGAATCTCACATCAATGTCAATCATGTACTAGAAGGCAGCACTGCAAGAACAAACAGAAGCAGGTT